ATAAAAGACGTTTCAGATCTTGAAACAGTTAAAGAACGCGTTTTCTGTATGTCGTTCATAGTATCGGCCAACTTATCCTTGAAAGGCTGGACGCCAGTGCATTGCATTTGAGGAGCTACTTCGTCTAGCAAATCTTGATCTTGCAAACGTTAAAAGCAATAAAAGCTCAAGGCAGATCGACTCACTTTACGAGCCGCGAGTCGCAAACCACTACAAACGACTCTTCGGGAGCTACGAGCACGAGGTCGACAAGTTATATGCAATCGCAGATTCGAGAGTCGCCTCCGAAGTCCGTAAACGCTGCAGCAGCATGGAGATTGTTAACTTAGTAACCTCCTCCGTGGAACTCGAGCGCAAGGCGGGTGACAACGGAGATCATCGTGATGCTGATGAGCCGCTTCTCTTCGTCTGAGCGGCCGTGCAGCCCTGTTTTGTCGCTCTGGAAAGTGATGTTATCGTTGGGAAAGGTGATCGAGGAGGTGTAGATCTTTGGAGGTCGCAGCGATGTAATTGAGCAGAGAGTACATGTTGGACATGATGGAGTCATCAGCTGGGAAGGCTTGAGCGTATTGGCAGAACCGGGTAAGAAAAGGCATACCTTAATACAAAGCGCAAGGCATTTTGCAGCCGCTGTCAGAGGTGGGGGTGCGCGCTTCTCGGTATTGAATGCAAACTCGAATATTGAAAGAGGCGAAGTGACGAAGTGGCGGAGATGGATTGCAAAAGACGGAGCGACCTCCGGGAAGCTGTAAAAGATGAGCTAGGGAAGCGCTGCATGTTTCATAACCTGACTAACCTTCGTACAAGTACTGTAGTAGCTTGAGCGCTGATTCCTGAACGAGATGTCCAGGATGGGTGGACTGTCACTCAATATAGTTGTGTCAGGCGGCGAGTGGTGGAGGTACATCATGATGAAGTAGGAACATCACACAACGAAGGATTGAATCTTGTCGTTGAACTGATGGTGCTGTAGCGGCTAGCCATACTTCAGAGACACTTAGACACTTCAGAGACACTTACTTCAGAGACACTTTAGAGACACTTCAAAGACACCATATACTTCAAAGTTCAGAGACGCCATACTGTTGCTTACGAAATCGAACCACGTGACTGTTCAGTTGTCCTCGATCTGTCTCGTTACTTCTCGTCCGAACCGTCTTAGTGCTTCACGCCGAAATTCGGCGTGGATCCAAACCAAAGCTCAGTCCCGCAGCACGTGTTCACTCTTATTACCCCAACTCTCCAGCAACTTCACGACATGCAAGAAAACAGTTGCTCGAAGGAATTAAGGCATACGTATGTAATGAGATCATCTTAGTACTTGACTTGCATTGACCAGATCAGTGGTGTATGCAGAATTGGCGCCGTATTATAAGTGAGTAACTTCTGCGGGTGCTCTTACGCCTCATTCTGCATTGCTCGAATTAGCCATCCGCCAGTTTATGACTGGTGGTGCACTTTTCCTTGACGCACTATCGACATTCACTGCCACTGAACTCACAACCTACAACGACTTCGTCGCTCTCACCATAATCATCGATACCCTCACCCTCAAACGAGTAGATCTCAAGAAACGGGTATGCCCGTTTTCCTAACTGGTATCTCTCACCGCTGATCATATTTCCTGTAGCTCATTACCGCACCAGAAGTTATATACGTTTTGCCCGAAGTCCCGATCCTTGGAGACCTCTTAAACAACCTTTACGACTTTGGTACGTTTCTTCGCGCCCACAATCCACTTCCAAGGCCCCTCTTTGTCTGATGTGATTGATAATGACTGACATGTCCATGCCCATAATGACCCTCGAGCAGACGTTTCTCCTGCCCTCGCGACTCCTCTCGCCTCATACTATGTATGAGAGATGCGCATTTTGGCATACAGCCAACTTCTCGAGTCCTACTGCAGCCTCACTCTTGAAAACCTTACGGTCACCTTTGTTTACATGTAATTTAGGTCTGCGGTAGCGTGCCCTTGCATCAATCGAATATGACATTCACCCTGCCATCCTTTGTGCCCACATTATGAAGTTCGACAACTAACTTTATCGACGTGTCGCTATCACACTGAGCTTCGCAAACTGAAAGCCTTCTGCAGAGAGTTTCTTTATTTCAGAGACATGTGCGACGGCAACCGATTAACCTCGTCTCTGGAAACGATCTCTACATTCCGCCTCATATTAGAACTACTCTTACAGGAACGGAGCTCCAAGCGTTAGTCGATAACCAGAATAACCATCCTGATTCCCCACCCACACCTGTATAATGTCCTCTCCGTCTCCAACCCCAATGCTCATGGCACGCAGCCTTTTAGTGCCTCGCTTCTTCCCCTCGATCCCCAATCTAAGTACCTCTCACTCTCAGTAACTCCTGCAGCCATGATGATGGAAGGGAAGTCGATGGCAGGTCCACGTGTCACAACGTTGTTGGTAAGGACAGTTGAAACAAGCGTACCCCCAGCAGTGTCCACGGGGATATGGACAAGCTCGCCATCGATGCTGAGTGGGCCGGTAATACCAAGAGGAATAGAAATGTAGCCGACGACGCACGTGCGGAGAGCATGGGAGTAGTTGTAGTTGTGCATGGGGATATCCGAGTATTCGAGGGTCTGGGTGAGATTTGCACGGGCTAGACATCATATGAAAACTTGTGCCTATGAGGAACGATGAACGTGGACTTACAGATCAATGCGCGACGGATGGCTAGAAGTTTACGTTGATAGCGGCAAGGTTGGCGAGCACACTAGTGATAGCAGGTCGACTTTGTGCGAGGCTGAGTTGCTCCCATGTATCAATAGAGAAAGGGAGGCGGCTGGGTGGACGAATTGCTCGTGCTAAGGGAAAGTGCATAAGGACCGAGGCAGAATATATGCAGTCCTAAGCAACTAACTACCTAACACTAAAGACCGAGGCTGAATATATGCAGTCCTAAGCAACTAACTAACCTAACACTAAAGACCGAGGCTGAATGTAACACAGATGCACAGCTGAGTTTTGAGCCGGGAGACGAACGAAGTGGAGCGGGAGCGAGCTGTGAGCCTGTAGAGCAGGATGGTAGAAGATCGAGGTCAGCCGGTGCACTGGAAAAAAGATATGGGGTTTACCTCCTCCTCCCCCTGTAAGCCACCCAGAGTGAAGTTTGGGGCCTAGCTCGAGCAGTTTTGACCCAGGAGATGAACGGAGTGGAGCGGGAGCGAGCTGTATATCTGTAGAGTAGGATGATAAAAGATTAGGTCAGCCGGTGTGATGGAAAAAAGATATGGGTGGATTACCTCCACCTCCTCCCCCCTAAGCCACCCAGAGTGAAGTTTCCGGGCATAGCTCCAGCAGTTTTGACCCGGGAGACGAACGGAGTGGAGCAGGAGCGAGCTATGTGTCTGTAGAGTAGGATGAAAAAGCGCGAGGTCAGGAAGTGTGATGGAAAAAGATATGGGTGGATTACCTCCTCCTCCCCCTCTAAGCCACCTCGAGTGACGTCTTCGGGTATAGCTCCAGCGGTTTTGACCCGGGAGACAAGCGGAGTGGAGCGGGAGCGAGCTATAAGCCTATAGAATAGAATGACAAAAGTTTGAGGTCAGAAAGTGTGAAGAAAAAAAGTTATGGGTGGATAACCTCCTCCTCCCCCCTAAGCCACCTAGAGCGATGTTTTGGGGCATAGCTCCATCAGTTTTGACGGCGGAGGCAAACAGAGTGGAGCGGGAGCGAGCTATGAATCTGTAGAGTAGGATGACGAAAGGTCGAGGTCAGAAAGTGCGAGGAAAAAAAGTTATGGGTGGATAACCTTTTCCTCCCCCCCTAAGCCACCCCGAGTGAAGTCTGGCATAAGTCGAGCAGTTTTGACCCGGGAGACGAACGCAGTGGAGCGGGAGCGAGCTATAGACCTATAAATAGAATGACAAAAGGTCGAGGTCAGAAAGTGCGATGAAAAAAGTTATGGGTGGATAACCTCCTCCTCCCCCCTCTAAGCCACCCTGAGTGAAGTTTGGGGCATAGCTCCATCAGTTTTGACGGCGGAGACAAACAGAGTGGAGCGGGAGCGAGCTGTATATCTCCTCGGCACGCAGTGTAAACACCCTCATACGTCATATGAAGCTCGTCATATCCCTTGGTCAACAACTCCCCAATACTGCCCCTCAGCCGTGCAAACAAGCTATCATAAACATTGCTCAGCGCAGACCCGACCGCACCACCTACAACACCCATCGCAGTCTCTCATGAGCACCACATCCTGCATGAGAATAAAAGCATACCTGCAAATCCATGCACCTGGATCTTAGTCGGGCCAGCTCTGTTGACATTCTTACCTTTGAGATAATCGCGCGACCTAGAAGCAGAAGCAGAGTCAGAGTCGGCGTCCAAGCGTGGGGTTTTGTGTGGATGAGATGCCGACCGATCGTCAATGTCGACTACTGTGGACCGGTAGGCGGTGAATGCCTTGGAGGTCTCTGGGAACGTGAGCAGGCTAATCACATCAGTCATCTTGCATAGGGTTTAGCGGAAGCAGTTTTGTAGGAGCTGAGCTCGAGTATGTTGTTCCCATCTCCTTCTGTAAACAGCGAATGTGGAATCCGAATTACTAATGATGATTCGATACGAGCAGCAAAACATAATACGAACAACAAAATATAATACGAGCAACAAAACATGAGGGATTAAATACAAGAATGTGCAGAACAGGCGGTTCAAGCGAGGGAAAGGGTAATGTAGATATAAGCGAAGTGTTTCCACAGGACGAGGTCACTGGGTTCCCTGTACATTGACTCCAGCGACCAAGGACGTGGTGTCGCACTTGAAAGCGGGTCGAATCTCGTCTCGCTAGGGTCTTGTGGGGGAGGATGGTGTTCCCAATGAAGTGGGCCATTGCGATTAGTGTCGTCAGTTGTAAGTGTGTGAAATGGCATCGAGCGTCTTTCGTGTTCTTGCGTGTCATGAAGTTGTCTCCTGCGGATAGCGTGGGGTGTCATGAGGGGCATCTTCAGATAGCGTGGCGGCGTTTTTCGTATTCTGTCTTCAGTGTCGTAAGCGGTCTCCTTCGGATAGCGTCAGTCGTGGTGTCTTGAGAGTCGTGAAATGGTTGTGGTGCGGCATGTGGCATTCTCTTTGGCTCTCGTGGCCTGTGAGGTTTATCCTGGCTAGGCGGCGGTGCTTCTGTGCGCCGAAGTGAAGCGGGTGGGTGTGAAATGTTATGATGAAATGTGTTTGCTAGAGTAGTGAAAATGCGGTGGCGGCGGTTGGGATTGGGAAGCTGAAGTTTGCGCTATAAACAATGATCAGTGCCATAGTCTAGCGATGAGTAGGTACATACCTTTTGCTGTCTGGCGGACCTGAGTTTGTCTGAGAGGGACTTCTGGTCACTTCGGGGGGAGTGGGTGGCCTTCGGCTTCTGAGCCAATGCGTCAGCAGGGTGTGTGGATCCAGGAAGAGGCAGGTCAGTATCAAAGTTAGTGTTCGTAGTGAGGGTCCATAGTTGACGTCGATAGCTGTTGTTGTGACGGGTAGGATGTTGAAGTCACCATGGTGTTCGTGTTTGTCAGGTGTAGTGCATGCCGGTTCGTGGTTACAGGTCGAGGCGAAAATCGGCAAATCGAGAGACATTGATTGAGATACAGGTGACGAGGATGTATGGAATGGGAAAAATGGGGGTAGGGTGTCGATGTCGTATTCATGCTCGGCTTCGTCAAAGAGGAAATTGTTGTTGTGGACCACGACAGAAGCATCGGAGGCGAAGGTGGGCAAATCGAGAGGCATTGATACAAGTGACGAGGATGGATGGAGTGGTACAAATGGGGGTAGTGTGTCGACGTTGTGTTCATCTTGAGCATGCGTAGGGTGTGCGGTAGCATATTCCTATAGCGAAAAAAATGTTAGCCAACACATGTCTAGGGTATGACACTCTGTACCTCGTGGAAAGTCCTCTCGTCGTCAGACAACTTAATGTCTTTGATCCATGAGGCTTCGTCCGAGAGAATGTCATCATTGTAGATGACGAGGGCTAGAGTGAGATATGAACAGCGGTAAGTGAGGAGCCAACAGGAAAAAAAGATACAGACACCACCAACTCTGGGACATGATATAAAGCTATATAATGTAAGAACCCAATGACCCATGCGTCACAACGTAGGGCCTGGCTAGACCCAGCGTAAGCTCTGCAAGGGAGTGAAGGGATTTGTGCAGCCCCAGCAGCAACCCCTCCCAGGCAGTACAGCCCAGGAATACTATGCCCTGTAAAGGGCAGAAGGGGTGCCCTGCCTGACATAACTCCAGAATACTCCAGAAGCACCCACTATTGCAAGTAGGTGTATGCACAGACAGTTGGGTACAAGGAATACATGGATGGTGGTAGACAGAAGAAAAGAGGCATGGCAAAACAAACGAAAAATCAACCTTGACCAAACAAAGGCAAATACACCACACACACAATCATTGAGCACGTGACATAAAAAGTAAGCTTTTACAAGGGAGTCCAAGGCACCGAAAAAACCATGAATATAGTCTTTTGTGTGCAATTTTCTGTCTATCTGATGATGTTAATCTTGGTGGGATAGGCTGGTTGCTAATCCTTTGAGCGTGATGGTAGATTAATTTGTATGCAGTGCAATAAAATTGTGAAATATGATAATCAAGTTTGAATTGATGTATTCTGTCTGATCACAAATGACATCTACATATTGTATGGCTCAGTGCGATGTGGCTTGGAATATGCTGGTAGGGGGCTAATGGGTTTATGGCTGGTGATGAAGACTTTGTATTTTGGAGTATCAGTATGGAAGGATCAAGCGAGAGACGAGAAGAGGACTATGGAGATGATACATTCCTCTCCATTTTCTTTTATTATCTTACCTTGTGCTCAGACTTCACGATTCCCTTGCTTGACCATTCATCTCTAACTCACCATATGCTCCTGATGCTCATTCTGGCCTAGTCAATCACTCAAAATTGTATATACAGCCCATGTAATTCATATGATAGCAGAATGTACACTGATTCCCCGCTCCAAGTACAACCAATGCCTTAGAAAGTCTTTTTCTAACAACCTGTCTTTGTGTCATCAATTAGCACATCTCAAAGCTATGATGTTTTGTTCACATTTTCCTGTTGAACTGATAGTCAACCTTACATGAGGGACAAGTGAGATAGAGTATTTTGCAGTGTTTGAGAGATCGGTGGATATGATGGAGTGTAAAGGATAGGGAGAGATAGATTAGGGGGGACAGGAAAAATTAAGGAATACCTAACCTTTTGTTGTCCTTTGCTCTTAGTGATGATTTTCCTAACCTTTCCTCTTAGTCATGCTTCTTTTCCTTTCCTCTTAGTCATGATTCCTTCCCTTTGTACCTTCTTTCCTTTCCTCTTAGTCATGATTCCTTCCCTTTGTACCTTCTTTCCTTTCCTCTTAGTCATGATTCCTTCCCTTCGTACCTTCTTTCCTTTCCTTTATGTCACCATTCCTTTCCTTTGTGTCATCTTTCCTTGTTCTTGGCATTAAGTCTAACCATTTTAGACATAGTTCTTCCTCTGTAACCAAGTATGTAATGCTTCTTTCCTTCTGTAACCGATTATATAATTTCCTCTTTCCCTCTCTAACCATATTAGGACTTTCCTCGAAGGAAAAATCTATGCCACCTGACTTAGGAAACGAACTCGACCGCTACCTGAGCACTGATGTTGAGAATGGTACGACTAATTCTATCGCATGGTGGCATGAGCGCAGTACTTTGTATCCTCGTCTGTTGCGGATGGCAATGGACTGCCTGACAATACATGGTACATCTGACTTGTCACTCGATCACTAACGTTCTGACATGGTTGGTAGCTACATAGGTGGATGTGGAAAGTCTTTTTAGATGTGGTCGGCTCCTGCTCACTCATGTTCATTCGCGTCTGTCTGCAGAGCCAACACGTGCCTTGCTGTCCAGACAGAAGATGCGTTTAAATACACTACCTTGCCTGATGTTCGAGGCGATACCGAGGTGGGGCTCGAGAATGGGCGGGACAGAATTAAAAGTCAATTAATCCATAGCTACGTTCACTGCAGAAACGAGAGAAGACGGTCCTACCCTATTCCGAGACAGATGTCTTGTTTAATCGTACCCACACCCATGTCAACTACTAAACCCCACCCAAAGTCGATGTGCTGCGAATTTTGAGAGATCCTAGGAAGGCCACAAGTGTAAGCAGACCGCTTTCCGATGTCGCCTTATCGGTTTTCCTGACCCATGCCTATACCTCGCAAATGATTGCTATTCTATGACTATTCAGATCTGCAAATCCAACATTTCGCCGTCGGTTTGCAGTAGACTTGCAGCAAGGTAAAATTTCGAAATTTTGTCCGAGTTCACGTCACTCAGTAAGTACTTACTATGCTATGGCAGACCACAACACCATAAAGCTTTTAGTTTAATCACACCAAACTAACCAGAGTTTTCTACTGCTATGTAGGCTATTGACATATCCATGCAAGAGCCTCTCGACTCAGAGCTGCCGTCTAGCACTGCATATGGTGCTGACGCCAGTGAAATGTTCATGACGAACGAAGCCGGCAGTGCTTACCAATTGGTTGGAAGACCAGACAACTATAAGTTCTTTTGTCATTCTATTGATTTACACTATTGAATCGATATCTAGCAGCGAGAATCATTTATAGCACGGGCTGTCAAGGCGGGATGGCATGTATGGGTATGATGGAGAGGTCCCAGCATCTGGTGAGCACACGTGCTTCTGTTAGTCTGGAGCTGCATGATCAAGCTGTTCTTGAAAGGATGGGAATGTGGGATCGGGCTGCAATCCAGAAGTGAGTGACTTGTCATGAGTTACCTTCGCCTTGACTGATATACTCACTCCCATGGATTGCTCTCGGCGCTGAATACCTGAGAGGCCCACATCAACATGCGACCCATTGCGACCGAGGTCAGCGAGAGGCGACTGCTTGGGCTGCGATGCGCCTTGAATTTGGCCCTGCATGGGGTAGGCACCTGTCATATCTTGTCGTGCATGCTCCAGGCTCATTTGTGGACGGTTTGACATGGCAGGGGCACCAGTCAGACGTCTCTGACTACCTTGGGGGTGGATACATCGTGGAGAGAGAGTAAGCCTGCAGGATGTGGAGGATCCCTAGGGCTGCATCGTATACATGCTTCCTGTCTGTACGTACATCAGAATCACAACCGCTTTCACTCAAAACCCGACCTTAATCCAATGCGCGGATCATTAAAATCAGTAGCAAACCCAAAGTCTGCTTAACACGAAGGCGGCAAACCCACGTCTGGAAATCTCGTTGTTTCACAGTCGGTTTTGCCTGTAAAAACTGAATCTTTCTGTATCTGGATCGGTGTACCTTGCTTCAATTTGCATTCTACGCTTTGTATGTATTTACAGGCTGTATTCGTGGTCTATGCAGATCCGTTCATATTCTCGTTTCCGCAGTGACTTTGTGTTTGTTAAAAGGGGTGAAGCCAAAATACCCCAGAAGCGAAAGTTATGCCACCTCTAGCAGAGATGAAACCCCCATGAAGGGGTGAAGCCAAATACCCTCGGAAGCGACGTAATTTGGCCATCTCTGGCAGAGATGAAACCACCATGAAGGGGTGAAGCCAATAGCCCAGCTCATATATCCCCAGAAGCAAAAATTAGTTGGCCACTATTATCAATAGTATAACCCCCATGAAGGGGTGAGACCAACCAGTCCTGGGGTTTGTAAAGTGTAGGAATCGATTGGTGATGATCCTAGAGCATCTGAAGGTCAAAATAATGAGGTATGTCAATGGGGCTCAACAGTCAGTATTTTGGCCATATCTTGGGTTAGTTATTTTGCTGATTTGATGCTATTGGGATGCTTGATCTTGTCTGGGGCGACGCATCGGCCGAGGTCAAAACATCGTTTCAATTTTGCTTGACTTTGCTTGACTTTTGCCATTTTATGGCTCTGGCATTGCTTGATCGCTATCATATAGCTTGACTTGCTGTATGACCTGTGACTTTACAAGTTATCGAGGTGTCTAGGTGTCTAGGTATCAAGGTCTTGGTGTAACGAGCTACCGGTAGCAATCCGTAGGATGGATAAGTGTTGACTGGGTATGGGGCTTGATGTAGCTAATATTCCTGCAGGATAATGAGATACATAGTGGTAACTCATCTCTCACCAACAATTATGATACAGTACAGAGCACTTGTTGGCCCCATCTAGCAGAGGTGATATCCTCATGGTGAGATGAAGCCAAAAATACCCCTTAAAGCGAAATTTATTGTCAAACACTTGTTGGGTTTCTGTCACCACCTTACAATGGACTGTCAAGACACATTCAAGTCTTTACTAGATACTGAAATTTACATTGTTGTAACTACTCCTTAGTTCATGTTCTATGAAAAGCGAAAATCCTGGTCACCTCTAGCAGAGATGTGTCCCCCATGAAGGGGAGAAACCAGGACCTTGCTTCCCACATAGCCCCCAGAGCGAAAATCCTGGTCACCTCTAGCAGAGATGTATCCCCCATGAAGGGGAAAAACCAGGACCTTGCTTCCCAAATAGCCCCTAGAGCGAAAATCCTGGCCACCTCTAGCAGAGATGTGTCTCCCATAAAGGGGAGAAACCAGGACCTTGCCACCCAAATAGCCCCCAGAGCGACAACCCTGGCCACCTCTAGCAGAGATGTATCCCCCATGAAGGGGAGAAACCAGGACCCTTGCTTCCCAATTAGCCCCCAGAGCGAAAATCCTGGCCACCTCTAGCAGAGATGTATCCCCTATGAAGAGGAGAAACCAGGACCTTGCTTCCAAATTAGCCCCCAGAGCGATAATCCTGGCCACCTCTAGCAGAGATGTGTCCCCCATGAAGGGGAGAAACTAGGACCCTGCCACCCAAATAATCCCCAGAGCGAAAATCCTGGCCACCTCTAGCAGAGATGTATCCCCCATGAAGGGGAGAAACCAGGACCCTGCCACCCAAATAACCCCCAGAGCGAAAATCCTGGTCACCTCTAGCAGAGATGTATCCCCCATGAAGGGGAGAAACCAGGACCCTGCCACCCAAATAGCCCCCAGAGCGAAAATCCTGGCCACCTCTAGCAGAGATGTATCCCCCATGAAGGGGAGAAACCAGGACCTTGCTTCCCAATTATCCCCCAGAGCGAAAGTCCTGGTCACCTCTAGCAGAGATGTGTCCCCCATGAAGGGGAGAAACCAGGACTTTGCCACCCAAATAGCCCCCAGAGCGAAAGTCCTGGCCACCTCTAGCAGAGATGTATCCCCCATGAAGGGGAGAAACCAGGACTTTGCCACCAAAATAGCCCCCAGAGCCAACAAGCAAGTGAAAAGGTGAAAAAAGCGAAAATAAAAAGGGTTGACCACCTCTAGCAGAGATGTATCCCCCATGAAGGGGAGAAGCCAACAAGAAAGCAAAAGTCACATAAAAGCAAAAATCCTGGCCACCTCTAGCAGAGATGTATCCCCCATGAAGGGGAGAAACCAGGACCCTGCCACCCAAATAGCCCACAGAGCGAAAATCCTGGCCACCTCTAGCAGAGATGTATCCCCTATGAAGAGGAGAAACCAGGACCTTGCTTCCAAATTAGCCCCCAGAGCGAAAATCCTGGCCACCTCTAGCAGAGATGTGTCCCCCATGAAGGGGAGAAACCAGGACCTTGCCACCCAAATAGCCCCCAGAGCGACAACCCTGGCCACCTCTAGCAGAGATGTATCCCCCATGAAGGGGAGAAACCAGGACCCTGCCACCCAAATAGCCCCCAGAGCGAAAATCCTGGCCACCTCTAGCAGAGATGTATCCCCCATGAAGGGGAGAAACCAGGACCTTGCTTCCCAATTATCCCCCAGAGCGAAAGTCCTGGTCACCTCTAGCAGAGATGTGTCCCCCATGAAGGGGAGAAACCAGGACTTTGCCACCCAAATAGCCCCCAGAGCGAAAATCCTGGCCACCTCTAGCAGAGATGTATCCCTCATGAAGGGGAGAAACCAGGACTTTGCCACCCAAATAGCCCCCAGAGCCAACAAGAAAGTGAAAAGGTGAAAAAAGCGAAAATAAAAAGGGTTGACCACCTCTATCAGAGATGAAGCCCCCATGAAGGGGAGAAGCCAACAAGAAAGCAAAAAGTGACAAAAAAGCGAAAATATAAGTAGAAGTTGACCACCTCTAGCAGAGATGAAGCCCCCATGAAGGGGAGAAGCCAACAAGAAAGCAAAAGTCACACAAAAGCGAAAATATAGGCAGAAGTTGACCACCTCTAGCAGAGATGAAGCCCCCATGAAGGGGAGAAGCCAACAAGAAAGCAAAAGTCACACAAAAGCGAAAATATAAGTAAAAGTTGGCCACCTCTAGCAGAGATGAAGCCCCCATGAAGGGGAGGAGCCAACATCCCCATGAAGGGAAGACAATCAGTAGGACCCCCAGACCCACAAAAAAGCGAAAAAAAAAAGTGAGAACAGAAGGAAAGACACTCTGGTACTATTAGCAATAGTTTGTTCCCCATGAAGGGAAGACAACCAGTATCACCCTCAGACCCACAAGAAAGCGAAAAAGTGAGAACAGGAAGACACACTGGTACCATTATCAACAGTCTGTTCCCCATGAAGGGAAGACAACCAGCATGACCCCCAAACCCACAAAACAGCGAAAACAAAGTGAGAACAGAAGGAAAGAAACACTGGTACTATTAGCAATAGTTTGTTCCCCATGAAGGGAAGACAACCAGTATCACCCCAGACCCACAAAAAAGCGAAAAAGTGAGAACAGGAAGACACACTGGTACCATTATCAACAGTTTGTTCCCCATGAAGGGAAGACAACCAGCATGACCCCCAGACCCACAAAAAAGCGAAAAAGTGAGAATAGGAAGACACACTGGTACCATTATCAACAGTTTGTTCCCCATGAAGGGAAGACAACCAGCATGACCCCCAAACCCACAAAACAGCGAAAACAAAGTGAGAACAGAAGGAAAGAAACACTGGTACTATTAGCAATAGTTTGTTCCCCATGAAGGGAAGACAACCAGTATCACCCCAGACCCACAAAAAAGCGAAAAAGTGAGAACAGGAAGACACACTGGTACCATTATCAACAGTTTGTTCCCCATGAAGGGAAGACAACCAGCATGACCCCCAAATCCACAAAAAAGTGAAAGAAAAGTAAAAAAAAATGGCACCATTATCAATGGATGAGAGTGGGCAGGGAGAAAGAGAAAAACTTGTGTGAGCGCATTTTTGCTTATATAAGCAGTCCCACTGTCATGCTGCCTCCCCCCAAGATTGATTTCCCCAGCCTTCATATGACTCGTCTGTGTTTGACTAGAACTTGTTCTTGAAGCCATTGAACCATATGAACATGCTGGACATGTCTTCTTGGTCCATAAAAATCAAGTTCCAAAGTTGAGTTGAGTCCACTGCCCCTATCTTGCTGCCTCCCCTCAAGATTGATTTCTTTGGCCCTCATATCGCTTGCTGGGGTTCCTGCAGCACTTGTTCCCAAGGCTATTGAGCCCTCTGAACGAGCTGGCAATGCTCGATTGGTCCAAAAAAATCAGGTTCCAAAGTTGACCACCCCTGTCATGCTGCCTCACCCAAAGATCGATTTTTTCAGCCTTCATATGGCTTGCTTGTCTTTAGGTAGGACTCGTTCCAGAGGTTATTGGACCATACAAACACGTTGGTGATGCCAGATTTGCCTCTAAAAATCATGTTCCAAAGTTGACCACCACCCCTATCATGCTCCCCCACCCAAAGATCGATTTTTTCAGCCTTCATATGGCTTGCTTGGCTGTAGCTAGGACTCATTCTAGAGGTTATTTGACCATCTGAACACGTTGGTCGAGCCGGATTTCGCTCTAAAAATCATGTTCCAAAGTTGTCCACCCATGCCATGCTCCCCCACCCAAAGATCGATTTTTTCAGCCTTCATATGACTTGCTTGGCTTTAGGTAGGACTCATTCTAGAGGTTATTGGACCATACAAACACGTTGGTCGTGCCAGATTTCGCTCTAAAAATCATGTTCCAAAGTTGGCTGCCCCTGTCATCCCCCCCCCACCCAAAGATCGATTTTTTCAGCCTTCATATGGCTTGCTTGGCTTTAGGTAGGACTCATTCTAGAGGTTATTTGACCATCTGAACACGTTGGTCGAGCCGGATTTCGCTCTAAAAATCATGTTCCAAAGTTGGCCACCCAAGTCATGCTGCCCCACCCAAAGATCGATTTTTCTAGACTTCATATGACTAGCCTGTCCTTCAAAAGCATTTTTCCTGGGGGCTATTGAGCCCTCTGAACACGATGGTAAAGCCAGAATTGCCTGGAAAAATCGTGTTCCTGAGATATACAAGGTCCTCCTCCTCCTCCTGACCTCATGTATGTCACTATCCCGGTATTCCACCTCAATACCGATACTGCAAACATTGCTCCTAAGGTATTTGAGGCCTGTGAATCGATTGGGAATGGTCCCAGACCTTCCAGAGGTCAGCATTATCGTGATATGGGAGGTTGGCTCAAATATCAGTATTTTGGACATATCTCCACGATCCAACCGCCGTTTTTCTTAATTGTTGGCTCATATCCATCCTATTGATACCCTCTATGATATGTACCAGCCCGCCAAAAGATATTTTTTCACAAGTTTGAAACCTATTTCTATTTTGACCCTATAAGTACGTGTTCGCTTCAACAAACACGATAGTACCATATCACCAACAACACAACTAGAAAGAGCAAACGATGAGCCATGTCCAACATAGGGTCTACGACCCCAAAGGACTAATTCTGATGCAAAAAAAAAAAGCATGAGGGAGCTACAAGGGGAGCTACAAAGGAAGCAGATAAATAGTGCAGAAGTGCAAAGGAAGTGGTGGGAGCCGCATAGCTAGTGCTAAGGTATGTGACGAGTTTGTCAGATTCCCTGGACTTGAAGGTTATTGGACCATAGAAACATGTTGGTCGAGCCAGATTTGTCTCTAGAAATCATGTTCCAAAGTTGACCACCCCTGTCATGCTGCCTCACCCAAAGGTCGATTTTTTCAGCCTTCACATGACTTGCCTGGCTTTAAGTAGGACTCATTCTAGAGGTTATTCAACCATCTGAACACGTTGGTCGAGCCAGACTTTGCTCTAAAAATCATGTTCCAAAGTTGACCACCACTGCCATGGTGGCCCACCCAAAGGTCGATTTTTTCAGCCTTCACATGACTTGCCTGGCTTTAAGTAGGACTAATGGATAGGTGACATCAGTTTTGTCTCAAAAAATCATGTTCCAAAGTTGAGTGGACTGCTCCTATCATGCTGCCCTAATGAAAGATCAATTTACTAGCCTGTGATATGATACATTTGTTATTAGGTAGGACTCATTATTGAGGTTATTGAACCCTATGAATCGATTGGAGATGCCAGTTTGATCTCTAAAGATCATGTTCCAGAGTTGACTACCACCCCTGTCATGGTGCCCTACCCAAAGATCGATTTACTAGCCCATGATATGCCACATATGTCATTAGCTAGGACTCATTCTCGAGGTTATTGAACCCTATGAATCAATTGGAGATACCAGTTTGGTCTCTAAAGATCATGTTCCAGAGTTGACTACCACCCCTGTCATGGTGCCCTATCCAAAGATCGATTTACTAGCCCATGATATGTCACATTTGTTATTAGCTAGGACTCATTATTGAGGTTATTGAACCCTATGAATCGATTGGAGATGCCAGTTTGATCTCTAAAGATCATGTTCCAGAGTTGACTACCACCCCTGTCATGGTGCCCCACCCAAAGATCGATTTACTAGCCCATGATATGCCACATATGTCATTAGCTAGGACTCATTCTCGAGGTTATTGAACCCTATGAATCGATTGGAGATACCAGTTTGGTCTCTAAAGATCATGTTCCAGAGTTGACTACCACCCCTGTCATGGTGCCCTATCCAAAGATTGATTTACTAGCCCATTGATATGACACATTTGTTATTAACTAGGACTCATTCTCGAGGTTATTGAACCCTATGAATGCATTGGTGATACCAGTTTTGTCTCTAAAAATGATGTTCCAAAGTTGAGTACCACCCCTGTCATGGTGCCCTACTCAAAGATTGATTTTTTCAGCTTTCATATTCCTTGCCTGGCTTTAACTAGGAATCTTTCTGAAGGTTATTACACCATATAAACACGATGGTCATGCCAGATTTGTCTCTAAAAATCATGTTCCACAGTTGACCACCCCTGTCATGGTGCCCTACCCAAAGATCGATTTGTTTAGCCTTCACATGACTTGCCTATCTTTAATTAGGACTCATTCTCAAGGTTATTGAACCATATGAATGGATCGGTGATACCAGTTTGGTCTCTAAAAATCATGTTCCAAAGTTGACCACCACTGCCATGGTGGCCCACCCAAAGGTCGATTTTTTCAGCCTTCATATGACTTGCCTGGCTTTAGCTAGGATTCATTTTAGAGGTTATTGGACCATATGAACACGATGGTCGAGCCAGATTTCGCTCTAAAAATCATGTTCCAAAGTTGATCACCACTGCCATGCTGCCCCACTCAAAGATCGATTTTTTCAGCCTTCATATGACTTGCCTGGCTTTATCTATGATTCATTTTAGAGGTTATTGGACCATATGAACACGATGGTCGAGCCAGATTTCGCTCTAAAAATCATGTTCCAAAGTTGACCACCCCTGTCATGCTGCCCCACCCAAAGATCGATTTTTTCAGCCTTCATATGACTTGCCTGGCTTTATCTATGATTCATTTTAGAGGTTATTGGACCATCTGAACACGATGGTCGAGCCAGATTTCGCTCTAAAAATCATGTTCCAAAGTTGACCACCCCTGTCATGCTGCCCCACCCAAAGATCGATTTTTCTAGCCTTCATGTGACTTGCCTGTCCTTCAGAAGTATTTTTCCTGGGTGTTCTTGAGCCCTCTGAACACGGTGGTGATGCCAGATTTCCCTGGAAAAATCATATTCCTGAGATATACAAGGTCCTCCTCCCCCCCTGATCACCTGTATGTCACTATTCCGATATTGTACCTCAATACCGATATTGAAAACAATGTTACTGGGGTTATTGAGGCCTAGGAATCGATTGGTGATGGTCCCGGAGCATCCAGAGGTCGACAATGATGTGATATGTCAAGTGGGCTGAAAAGTCAGTATTTTGACAATATCTCCACAACCCAACCGCCGTTTTCTTTGATTATTGGCTCATATCCATCCTGGAAGTACCCTCTAACATATGTACCAGCCCACCAGAAGATATTTTTTTACAACTTTGAAATGTATTTCTGAAATGACCATATAAGTGACCAAAAGAAGAAGGGGACGGGTGGACGGTTGCATAATGCGTCTGACCAAAAGGGGAAGGGGACGGGTGGACGGTGGGACCGTTGCATAATGTGTGTTGCCAAAAGGGGAAGGGGACGGGTGGACGGTGGGATGGTTGCATAATGTATGTTGCCAAAAGGGGAAGGGGACGGGTGGACAGTGGGAAAGTTGCATAAGTGACTTTAACCAAAAGAGGAAATCCAAGTGCAGAAAAAACACTGATGGGAAAAAAAGCCAGGGGGACGGGTGGACGCTTATGTAAATTATGTCCAAATAAGGCAAAGGTGGACGGGGACGTTTGCACCCTGTAAACAGTCACAACATATAGATAGGTCAGCATTATTGTGATATGGGAGGTTGGCTCAAATATCGGTATTTTGAACATATCTCTACAATCCAACCGCCGTTTTTCTTAATTGTTGGCTCATATCCATCCTATCGATACCCTCTATGATATGTACCAGCCCGCCAAAAGATATTTTTTCACAAGTTTGAAACCTATTTCTATTTTGATCCTATAAGTGATGCCGTTAGCGGCATGATAAACACAACCTGCAATGCCTGGCAGGCTGGTAATGTTGATGCTTACTTCGCTGTGACAGGTCATTGGATTGAAGCGAAGACAGCTACACAATGGGAGTGCGAAAGTGCGCTACTCGGCTTCACGCAAGTCAACAATTCACACAACAGCAAGCGGCTTGGTGGGACTCTTTTCAAGATTCTGGACCGTCTTTGTATTGTACATAAGGTATGCTATTGTGACTAAACGATTCGTAGTTTGATAGGATTTTTTTTATAGCTCGGCCACATCACTTGCGACAATGCCGCTAACAATGGTACAATGCTTGAAGAGTTCGCTCAACTGTATGAAGTCCAATATAAAAAGGAATTTCCGTGGCAGGCTCGCAGGATCAAGTAAGTCTGATATTATTTCGTGTCGGGTGTACCCTCACGTTACGACTGTAGCTGCCTAGCGCATGTTATCAATCTCAGTACACAACTCCTCATTAGCACATACAGCAAGGCTCCCCACTACAATCCGCATGACTCCCGTGCTTTGGATCCTGACATGTCAATTCAAGGTGACCGTGACAAGATTGGACTTATTCGCTTGATCTGTGTAAAGGAACGCTCATCGGCCAAACGAAAAGAGCTTTATAAGACTATTCACGCTAAGGCTGGCATCTCGAACCCCACACAGCTCCTTCTCGATATGAAGGTTCGCTGGTCTTCAACATATGTAATGATCAATCGTGCGGAAGGCAGTAAGGAGGTGAGTCTAATATTCATGAGGTATTTGCTGAATTTGATCCTGGGCCCCAGCACGTCAATGTTTTTGTGTACGAGATAGGCACACAAGAACGTAATCTGGAAAAACATGCCAAAATTGATTACCTCCGGTTGACCTCGACTGAATGGACCCGCATCGGTCAGTTTGCTGATCTACTCTCAGTATGTTCTGTTTCACATCCACACAAGTCTACCGCTAATTTGCTGCTTCAGTATGCAGATGTAGCTCAACAGGCTTTCTCATCAGACAAGGGGACTACACTTCATCTGGCTATTCCTGCCCTCGAGACACTTCATCGAGCCTGGTCGTCTCAAGCAGACCGACCAAAGTATGCCCGTTTTTCAACTGCACTCCATGCTGCTGCGCAAAAGATTGACCAGTACTATGAAAAGACAACTGACTCACCAGCATACATCATGGCTACGTGTACATCTCATCCTGTTCATTCTGTTCTGCGTGCGACTGATGTTTCCATACAGCACTTGATCCAATGGGCAAGATGGCATATTTTAAGAAACACTGGCCTGAAGACCTGCAAGACGAGGTCCTTGCCTGTGTGGAACTAGAGGCACGTTCAATTACGTTGCAATTCATTTTGTATTATTGATCCAGGACTTAGTTTAAAACTCGCTATCTTGCAATGGGAAGATCAGCGATACCGGTGCAAGCATCTATCAAGAAAGGCAAAGTTAATGGCCTCAAAAAACTAATTCGTGAGACCCAGAGTGAGGACGAAGACGATGACCTCGGTTTTGGTGCATCAGCAGCTGATGTTGATCCTTCCAGACCCTGGTATGCCGATTTCAAACACTACATCAACACTGTCGAGGCAAAACTGCCATCTGGAATGAGTACAGTCACATGGTGGGGTGTACGTATATAATATTATATTCCAGCTCATTCCTCGTTACTGATGCTTACTTTTTGATAGATGAATGCTCACAGATACGGACCAGTGTGGTCCTCCATCACTCAGGATTACTTGTCCATCATAGCATCATCCATTTCGAGCGAACGTGCCTTCTCGCAGGGGGGTATTACCATCAGCAAGCGTCGTAATCGCCTCAAATGTGACATTGTTGAGGCACTGCAATGTGTCAAGTGTGCCATTCGTCACGACCTTCTCTTCCGCCTGCCTGGTCCACCATCGTCCACTGAGGAAGCTGACAAGTTTGATATTGAACTGGATGGTAATGAAAACCTGGCGAGTGAGGGTGATGACGAAGAAGATGGTTGGGATGTCTTGCTACTGGAGGAGGACGAGGATGACATATATATTGATTGATTTTTGTTTTATTTACCATTATTCATTCATGTCATTGACCTGCTCATTTTTCCTACTCGGGCCATGGCTCCGGCCAGGCCAGGCCAGGGCCAAGCCATGGTTGAGGGCTTTGGCCCGGCCTATGATTTCTGAAAGCCCTGGCCGTCTGCAGCCAGGCCAAAGCCGGGGCTTTCGAGCCAAGCCGGGCCGGAACAACACTATCTGAGACATCTTTGATCGCGGACGTCATAGTAAGGCCTCCCCGGAAGGCCTGAACCTGCAAGGGCAAATCAGTATTTTGGGTGTCTCAGTTTGTACACAGACTCAGAGCAAGGTATAAGTACATTAAGGTCTCGCAAATATCGAGGTTACGATATATGACAATACACCATGGCTTTTCAAGTTGTACACATGAGAGGGTACTTACGTCGGTCAGTTTTTCAGTGGACACTCCACGCGTTACGAAGGCGAACGCTGAGCTTCTCACCCACCGCTTCGGAGTCGTTCTCGTAACGCACGAGCGCCAGTCCGTACCAGTGAAACCCGATATCAATAAGGGTTAGACAGAATGCTGACTTCAAGGCTGAGAGCCTATCATATTGCGCTGACTCAGCGACTTTCGGTACGTCTGTCTTTCAAGTCTTTCTTCATCTCTGGGAGACAAAGCTAATGCTGGATATAATTGCCAGGCAGCAGCTGTGCACTGTACCGTTGCCCTGAAGCCTGAAGCTTGAAGGCTCTGTATTGAATACTAATAACTGAGTATTCAGCTACTTGGTTGAGCCAACTCGTCACAGCCGTTTACCCGTCCGCACAAGTTATACCAACCGTTCGTCGAACTCCAACAGCTACTCGTCAAGCAACACAACTGTTGCCTGATGCCATCGTTTCTCGTTGTTCCAACATCTCTGACGACGATATCATCTCCACTGTTCAGAGACATTTAATTTGCGAGCAAATCGAACGACAGCCATATTTGCTGACACTCCTGGCACTGTCAGCAGATTTGAAGGGTTTATTGGTGCTAACAAGAATTCTATTCACGCACGTAGATTGATGTCTTGTCTTGCACCAAACACCAGTTGCAATTGCACTAACCCAGAGAGGTCGCGCCATCCTGGAAGGGAATTGGACCTCTGTTATTGAGTCCAGGCTTAATAATTTGCAATTTGTCGCACTTTGCCATGACCACTTCGTACCTCTCGACACCCTCCCATCGATTCTGTCTCGAGCTCCTTTGCTAAGCGTGATACTCGATCATCATAGTTTTACTCCCCGCAGTGCTACCCAACTTAAGCCAGCGGGTGAGAAACGCTGTCCTAGGTGTAATCATGTTCCAGCTCTCCTGCATTTCTGGATGAGGTGACGGGCGCAGTGCACTTGATGAGCTATGAAATGCAGGCATCAAATACTCCACGTGTGCATAAGTACAGTGTATCGACATGGCAATGTGACGCGTGATTGAAAATGCTTAATATTCGTGCACAACCGCCAGATGCAATTGAGCACTAAGCGTCGAGAATAGCGTTGAGCAAAGTCAGGAGGAAGACTTGGTATATTTCCCCGTGTGGTGTGGTATGTTTTGGAGTGAGCGAAGACACATTGCGGCATGGACAGCGAGGAAGTGTTCATACCTCGCCGATCGACTTGCTTCCCATTTCATGATGTTGGATGGATGCTCTGGCAATTATAACCGACGTGACAACAGCGCTTGATTCTCGGTCAACTTCTCGGCGGCCCATGAACAAGACCAGCCAACTCAGTGTCAGTGTCGTTAACTAGGGATTGCAATGTGTAAATGGTGTACAAATTTGCGAAAGTAACATGAGAGGAAATGAATTCATGGTATCGACTTGACCACGTAACTCCGTCGAGCAACCATATCCGTGCCCTACTCGCTCAGGCCTTTGATAAACTCCAATGCAAGACGAGGACTGGTGTATGCGACATTAACGACTGACAAAAAAAACACATGGAACGCACCTGTCTACCGGCTTGACGGGCATCTTCTTGTCCAAAAGCTTGCCACCCTTCTCAAAGACGAAATGACTACGTTTCGTCCTGTTACCGTCGGCTGCTCCAAGAGCGCCTATCAATGACCTCTTTGGATCAGAAATGAGCGGGTATGGGAGTTGTTTCTGAAGTGAGAATTGGTTTCAGTCGTTGCATGACACAAATATGCGTGACAACGCACCTTGGTTTGCCATTTACCCTGGGCAGTTGAGGAGTCGGCACTAACCCCATAAACATCATAATCGAGTGAGGTAAATTCCTGCCATATGTCACGGAAGCCACATGCTTGCGTCGTGCATCCAGCTAGAAGGAGAGAAAACATCATCGGGAAGAACACCAGGAAAGAGCAAAAACCTACGCGTATCAGCCTTCGGGACAAGAAAGAGAACGACACCTTTCTCTGCTGCAATTGAACCAGTATCAATGTCTTCGCCTTTCTCGTTTTTGAGCGTCATCGAGGGCAGAATGTCGCCGATATCGATGGGCGCTGGATCTGCTATATCGTTATCGTCATCGTTGACCGTTTCGTCTTCATTCGCTTTGGCCTTGAATATATTACAGTCAGAATCAGGAAACTTGGCTTCAAATTGCGTACTTTCTTGTTCTTTTCGTCATTATCAACCTCCTCGGCTGCCCTTTTCGTCCTCGCTTTGGAGGGTTTTCTCGGGTTTTTAGCAGGAGCAGGAGCCTCGACTTTCGCTTGCCCTGAAATTCTTGAGGATCGCCTTGGAGCTTGAGCTTCCAGGCTGGATTCGCCGGGGGCCATATTGCTAGGGTGGATGGAGTACGTAGTTGGAGGGAGAGTTATGCTAGGCGGACCCCAGCATAACATTGCTCGCACCCTTGGCGTCTGTCAGGGGCTCCAATTACTACTTTTATTCAAGTAATTTTACGGTATATTCTCAAATAAACTCGACGGCTAGCTTGGAGGACTGCCATGATCTTGAGACTGCTGTTGGTGGTTGCAGAGTTTACAGGGAGCAGAGCCTACGAGCAGTTCACAGGACCCCAAACTGCCTAGTCACTAGCGACGCTCGGCTCCCCACCCCACTATCACCGCCTGACATTGGGAACGTCTTCTCGCCACCACCCCGATCCGACGCGAATTCCCGATATCTAATTTGTCCGTAATCACTAAGTACCAGCACCTCAAAGAAAGAAAACCACACTCACATCCTGTTCCTCACGCGAAACAGATGGCCGTGTTGTTTTATGCTTTCAGTAGATGCTCTTGGGTGATTTCGTGCTGCGGAAACATCATTTTTGATGGAACTATACCAAGAGAATAAGGAAGCATACCTTTTTAGGCGTCACCACGGCCCTGCTATCCGCTTCTATGCCTTCGGATTTCGCTCCTTCTTTGAACCCCAAGCCTGCCGTGTACTGTGGGTCTATCTCCAGAGTCTCTATTCCACGTTCACCTGCGGTAGAATTGAATGAGGCAAGGGAGGACGCAGAGGCCATGCCGGTCCAGCCAACATAGACCTCTCTTCCTTCGACATCGGTTGGCTTGAGGTGGACAGCAAGGGTTTGTGGACGCTATTGTTCCAATCAAAGACAGAGTAAGAGAATGTCAGAGTATGGCATTAGACGGACAGGCCATGCGAACTTACAATCTGTCTCTCGAGAAGGGGTCCGTATATTGATATTGGAAAATTGACCAGTGATGATTTCAGTGATACAAAGTGTAATCTTGCGCGCCGGGGCATTCTGTGGACGACACTGAATACCACTGAGTGTCTCCACAGATTCAGACACAACGTGATAACTACTTACATTTTCCCGTCACACCAAATGTACAACGTAACATATACATACAGAAAGCAGGCAAAGAGTTTATAATATCCTGGAACAGTAAATATTTCACATCTTGCGACTACTATGGATAGCAGGAATATGGCGAGTCCGTATAGGATAGTCAAAGTAGTGAAATAAATGGTGTACGAAGGGCTTGAAACCTTATCGAGACTCGGTGGGGGAGCTTGCTGAAAAGCTTCCTGGAAACGGCCGTGAAGTGGGTGAGGTGGGGCTTCTCGCAGCAGATATCGAGTTGATAGGTGAAATCGGAGAATGTAGGTCTCCCGTTGATCCATTTGAGGACGTTGAACGAATACGAGAGATGTACGGGCGAGGTGAAGGCCGTAGAGGTTCCTCTGTTGGAGGAGAGGCTGCTTCAGGCGCACTCACATCCAGATCCATGCCAAATTCATCGATGATTCCGCGAGGAGGAGGGCGTTCGACCATGGCCTCCAACAACTACAGCAGTCTTCAAAATGTGCGCGGAACTGAATGTCAAATATACTTACCTCACGACGGAGCTCTTCACCGGCGTACTCTCCTTCCATCTCCTCGGGTCCGAGAAGGACAGCACCCTTTCGGAAGATTTCCCCTTCTTCTTCCACCCAACTTTTCGACCTTTAGACATAATTAGAGCACGGAGACTCTTCTCTAGCATAATGACCTACCTAACCACAGGGGAAGGGACGCTAATCTGGTCTTCCTCGCCCAAGTATCTGCTGTCGTCTTCATCCTCGTCCTCTGATTCGGTTATCATGAAAGTGGGACTCAACACTTTCTCCGGCTCCTCAGGCTCTGGTTCTGCTCGGCCTTTTCCTTTGTCTACCTTGGGAGTTAGAGGTTCTTCATCCTCCGACACATGTGTGGGACTCTCGTGCAGAGCATCTCCAACTGTGGAACTGACCGCTTCGCTGGAAATAGTTAACCCAAGACCGTGAAGTAGTGATCTGCTGGAAGGACTGGATGACAGCTGTGCAATGGCACTGTTCAATTTATCGCAGAGGCTCAGCAGCTCTTCTAGCAAGACGACGTCTGTCGTAGTCTGTATCTTGTCTGTGATTTCATCGACGATGGTCTTGGCTTGCTGAACAAGATCTTGATCCGCAGGTGGCACGACGGTTGGGGAGGAGGTGCCAGAAGATATAACTGAAGTAGACGTCGGGCTATTCACCGAGCTCTCGATTTGAGAGAGTAGCGCATGTGCTCTTGACACAGTTTCAGCGCTCTTCAGGATCGTAAGCAGGCTGTTCATATATGCGGGGATATCATTTACCTTGAGCCCGCCACCTTGACGTATCGATTTGGCTAGTTCACTTTCCTGGATCATGTTCCACACACCCTTACCAAGTCCTCTGTTGCTCGTTTGACTGCGAATTCCATCAGAAACGTGTGCCGCCTTTTCTGCTTCCTCCGTGTTCCGGATACAGGTATTGAGAATCTCACGACACATTCTGTGGACGCTCGTATCCATGAAACGAACTGTACAGATGACTAGACACTCACTTGGCAAATTCCTCATCATCTGGGGGTATCATAAGGTCGAGACACCGCATCGTGTGATTAGCCTTGAGTCCCGAGCTAAGCGCCATAACGGCAGCGATGTCTAAGTTGTTGACTGTGAGATCAAGGTGGAGCAAGGAGTTTGATTCAGGGAGGAACTCTGCGAGCGCGATAGCGCCCTGTGACGTCATGTTGGTAGAGGAGAGGAATAGGCGCTTGAGAGCAGTATTCAAAGTGAAGGCCGTTCGGAGTGATTGAATCTAAAAAGACATTTAGTCTAAGTACCATATGCAGGGAATGATTAACGCACGCCTTCGAGACCAGGACCAGAGCAGGGATTCCGACTGAGGTCCAAAGTTTCTAAGCAAAGATTATATTTCTAGAAGCTCCTTCAAACCTAGCGATCGGTAAAGAGATTCTAAAGACTTACCAGCGCTTCGGCAATCGACACCAAACACGGAACATCCAGCTTGTTCTCGCTCAAGTTCAGGACCTTGAGTGTCCTGTTTCGTTTGAGTACTTGCGCCAGATAAGTAACCCCATTCTACGCCAACATCATCAATGAACAATGCCATACTCGAGGAAAGTACTTACGCGGAGGTCGTTGCCTCGTAAATCCAACGTGCGGAGTGCTCCAAGCCTTGGCAACGCATCGAGTGCGCGCACCTTGTCCAGGAGTGCGGCACTTGGACCATCATCATGTTTGTGGCTCGCACCGTTGGGATGGAGGCTACCCTCCGACCGTTGAGGCCCGAAATTTGGTGTAAGATGACGGGTGGTAACACCACCCTGTGGATTTGATGTGATGATAGGGACGACTTGACCAGAAGCCGAAAGCGGGGGAGGTTGTGCGGCTGCAACACCTCGGCGAGTGCGAGGTACATACGGCGTGTAAGTGGTTTGAGGAGGCATGGACGATGGATGGCGCGGAGGAGGTAGTACGGGTCCTGTACGGGCGACAGGTGATGGTGGAGGTAGATGAACGTTGGGGGGAATCGGGGAGGAAGGTGGGGAAGAGATGACACTTCCCGGTTGTAGAGGGAATGTAGCTGAGTTGGGAGTGGTAGGGACTACGTCGGGGTAGTCTCGGATCATGAGAGCGAGTGCGACGGCTCCTGTTGCATTGATGCGATTGTGTCTCAAAGAGAGGTTGCGAAGAGACGAATAACGAATAACTCGGGCTGCAACACTTAATGGAAATTAAACACTGAACATTGGTGACTTACCAAGTACGTCCAGCGCTGCTACTCTGAGTGAGCAGTCATCTAGACGGAGAGAGATTAGACCCGGTTCGGGTGCTGTTGCCAACGAGGCCACGATATACTCTACTGCCTTCTTGTCCAGACTTGTTTGTGAAAGGTCGAGGAATTGTAAACTTTTCGCCTGGTAATAGGAAGATATAAGGATTTGCCCTAACGTAATCTGCGGAACTAGCGCACTTTTGAGGCATAAAAACCTAGCACTTTAAACGCGGGTGTCTTTAAGCGACGGTTTGACGCGACGGAGAGGAAAACAAGGGTGCTAGGTATAAGCAGCGCATGAAGCATAAGCTTTAATTTCTAGGTCGCGGTGAGCACAGTAGAGGCAGCTAGGGGAAAGCCGACTTACATATTCGTCCAAATCACACTCTCGAAGGGTAAGTTTACGAAGGCCCCACTCAATCGTAAACACGTCGGAGAGGATCGCGGCAGATGTGGGTGTCAATTGTACACCAGAAAGATCAACAGACCGAGGGTTCGTGTTTGATGCGCGCTGTTGGGTATAGCATTTGAGAAAAGTTTGATGTTCTCGTACAGTGAATTTTGTTACCTTGAAAGCAGCAGAAATCGCAGGATCTGGTTCTTCTTCTCTTGATGCGCAGCATTCTCTGTAGAACGATTCCACTTTTTCCAAGTTCCACCAATCTTCCGTTTCATTAGGACCAATTGAGTTGCCTCTGACAACCCTCCTGCGTCTCTCCGCCTCTCTCTCCTCAATTGCCCGTTTCTCATCTTTAAGCGTGGGTGTTGATGGAGGGTTGAGAGAGGATATAGGGTAAACTATAGCGAGTTTAGGAAGGATGAAATGGGCGCGCTTGAGGGGTTTGACGTCGTCGCTAGCAGAAGCGGGAGATTGTGCTGGAAGAAAACCTTTGATTCTCGAGAGTATGCCAGTCTGCGCGGGTGGAGGACGCTTCAAAATCGACTTGCCAGGTATCGGAATGGTTACCGCTGATGAAGACGGCGAACATGATGAAGACGGACTTGACATGTCCCTGAACTATGAGTTTGAGTCTGAGGTTTGACGTTTGGCTATTCCACGGTGCTCTAGCCTTCATGACAAGTAATACTATGTAGGGACCGATAAGTAGTTACAGTATGTAAGACTAATCAACTTTCGCATTATCAAGTTGCTCTACTCTCACAAAAAAAACCACCCGGCCCCATGAAGTTTCGAAGCTTTTCTAGCGAACAAGTACTGTAGGATCACGGCGCGGCGTATTTTTTCCAACTTGATTGCAAGCGTATCTCCGCATAATTATATAAATCATTTGGGTCAGCCTGAGGCGCCCTGCTAAGTAGAAGTCTTGCGCCCTTCTCTTTCGGATCGTCAGCAAGTAGCCGCAACTTCAAAATTTTAAGCCAACCAGAGGTGGTTGATACCTCCATTGATATTGCACCGATAAATACATTTAGGCGTTGTGTTTGCATGTCATTATATACACGTACGACAAAGATCATTGTAATACGTCCACTCTCGGGGCGATCCAATGCGCCAACTGTTTCGACAAAGGGGAAAAATATAAGGTGTACAAGGGATAGCCGGGCACTGCGTCCGATCATCATGGCGATTAAAATACATCCATATAGCTCTTGCACCTTTCCCATAAATTCCCCCACCGCCCTCCATTCCACTGCCGAATCCTCATCCAGCCATCATGTGGAGCCACTTTCTCTATCCAAATCAGCACAGACACGATGGCGAAGTCAGCATAGGTGAGTTCATGGCCCATAGCAACTACACCATCGCCGTCCGTGCCTGAGTTCTTCTGAAGAATATTCGCCAGAAAATCGAATTGCTCTTGAACTGCCCTCCAAGCCTGCTCTCGGTCTAGAGGAACGTCAAGATAACTAGGTGTTGTCCCGCTGCGAAAATGATTCTGGCTGCGCTCCGGCAAACGTTGGTGACTAAGAGGTACCATGATAAGGAGCAGTGGCTTCACGAATATCTCTTGGATGAAGTGCACAAACAGTGCCTGCAGTGCACGAGATCCCTCTGGAAATACTTGACGCGCTGCAATTCGTTTAGGTGCAAGGATCGCAGATAGAAGGGTGTACTGGCCTGGGTAAGTGACCTCCAAATACTCAGCAATGTTATTCGCATTTGAAAGGACTACGGGGGCTTGCGGGGACCTGATAGGATCCACAATGACTGGGAGAGAGAAGACAGGTCGACCATCATTTTTAACAGACGTTGGTTGAGCCCCGATGCCGTGGAGGGTTTCCTCGACGTCTGGAAATTCTACCCAAGCAGTGCGGTAGGGGAGCCGTTTATAATTGAGTATCAATCTGGAATATATTAGCGCGCGCACATTTCCGAGCGAAAATGTCTTACCGTACTCGCCAGATATTTGGGGCCCAAGGTTGCGGGATATTGGATGGCACATCATAAAGTATGATCATCGGCTGAGACATCATATGCTGGTATGGGCGATTTTTTGATGGCCTCCAATCGTGCTTGCGGCAACTTATTAAAGGGGGAAACACAGGTACGCTATCTTCGTCGTGCGTGATCCCACCTCTTCTGTCGGTGTTTGATGTGCTTTACGTGTAACCACCTATCTTATTTGAGGTTCTGCGTCTTTCTCACCTTCTTGTGTATAACATGAGGTAACCACTGAATCGCCGACCTTGTTTCTAAGCCGTGAAATCATAAATGACGTCGTCACTCATGAAATCTTTATGAGTACTATGGATATGAAGCTTCGAACGACCAAGGTTGTGCAATTGGTTCCGCACATCAATCTGGGTATGCCATGAGTCATGAAGACTCCCTGCACTGTGCGACCTGTGTATTAGAAACCAGAAAGAATGCGCGAAGGAGCCGATCTCCCTTCACTGGCTGTGTTTTGTAACGCTGGAACCTGTAATTTGCCTGACGTGTGAAGAGATTGCCAAATTTAGAGCTGCTCACCAGAATTCTCCGGAGGCGCCTGAAGTGATGCAGCGGCGACCAGCATCGCAATGTGTATCGCCCCGAAAGATTAATGGGATAGGGTGACTTGGAGACTGTTCTACTGTTAAAACGCCAGAACTCAAGGTCCGACTTAAAGCCCCCATCGCAAGAGCAAAGTTGCGACCATGTCTATGGGAAACATGCAATCTAAGGTTTACAAATTAGCTCTTATCTTCAACAACACCGAGAGAGAATAATCGGCGAAAGTCATTATGCACAACAAAGAAGATTGAACAAAAGCCGGCGCCGACCAGGGTCCTAGTTTCTAGACCCTTGACTAACCATTACATAGTGCAATCATTACGCGACTTGCTTTGGGATGTCATCAATCAAACGCTATAATCAAGACGAACAGGTTATAAGTTACTTACCGGTGCCGATGCTAGAGGCACCTCACGAAGACTTCAGGGTCAAAAGCTAATCTGATGACACACAGCTCCTCATTGAAGCGGCACTATCAAGACCCGTTGAGCCTACGCGGTTAGAGGGCAACGGAAAATCATCTTTTGTGAACCACCGACGTCTAACAGTGCAAAACAATTTTCACATTGCACAAGAAAACAGACCTTTAGGAAGATTTTTTCTCGCTGTACAAAGTCCGATCGCAACATACCGGTGATTAAAGATCAATATGGGTGTTTGCTTCGTCGGAGTCTGCAAGTAGTCCGACATCAACAAGCCAAGGCGAGACAAATGTAATCGGGAAGATTTCTGTGACGGCCACATCGAAGTTGAGTGTATCAACAAGCTCGCGTGCATGTCGGTCAGTGTCCATCTCCGGGGGAATGTGTTCTGCAGGACATGAAGAATTTTGATTGATAGGCCAGCCATTCACGTTCTGTCAATCAAGCGAGGACGTGGCGCACCAACTTCAAGAAAGTATTAGCGCATATCGAGCGCATAGTTACCTAGAAGTTAGTGCGCCAACTTGACAATGAGGACCAGGATCGGCACTTGAAGCAGATGTCGTGCCAACATCTCAGGATGGAGAGACCTCCAAGCCCAATCCAAGCCACAGGCTTCTCTGAATGATGAGACGATAGCATAGCCCGTATGTTTTCTCGAATGGTGGTTTGAGTCATGCTTGGAGTTGGTGGATCTTGACGGTCATACAAACAACAGAGCAACCGACATTGAGGACGCTGGGGTCTGAGTCAAGTCAACAGGAACAGGTCAAGAAAATAGAACTTACAAGGGCTCCAAGTTCTACATTACCCCCGAGCAATCCTGAAGCCCTGAGGCATCGTTGCCATTCTCTCTTCAGCGTATGTATATGATCTTGGAGTCCGAGTCCTCCTTGTAATGGAGACTGCAAATTGACCAGACAATGCTTGCTTGCTTCATTCAGGAGTTCAGTTGCCTAAAGTTTCTAGTGGTGTTTGGACTTCGTTCGACGTACCTGAGCGTTGACAGCTTGATTCAGTTTGCAGCTGGCAAATTGTTACCACTCGATATCTTCAACCTAGCTTCGTACTTACTTCACGCCCACGGCAGTCCCTTCCGCTTGCACGGCCCTCTCAAGCACTTTTGGAACAGTAAGACATAGAACAGCCCCGGTGCGCACCTCACTTGCTATGCAGAGGTGACACGCGCGCCGGTGCCGTGTACAAGAGAATAGGGAATTTTCGTAGCCAATTCCATCATTGAACGCAAGGATGAATGCTCCAGTCACCATTGATTTTGCATGTTATGCGGTGTTGAGATGTTGAAGTCACTGGCAATCGAAAGTTACTGCTGCCGGAACAAATGTACGTGATTCTGAATAGCATCTGAATACATATGATTTGGCATTTGAGTCCAGTCAACCTTGCGTATACAACTTATTATGCATATGATAAAGACGAGAGTTCGGGTATGCATGACGATAGCTAATGAAGTAAATGGCGATAAAATGCGTGAAAATAATATAACAATGAGGATCTTGCCATGGAAATCAGCAGATCCTCTGCCCAGTAGCTCCGCGGTTCACAGAAAATACGAGGCCCACCCCGGGCCCTCATTCCAACCACTAACCACCAAGTTAGTCGCATGACTAATAGATCACATACATGCATCAGCGGAAGTCTTGTCTTCGCGCCTGTGGCTCCTCATCAAGCTCCAACCTCCCCATCACTTCTGCGGACCCGCCACTCGAAGCTACATCGTTGGCGCTCATGCTGCGTAAGGAGCCAAGTCTCGGTCTTGACGTTTCCCGCCGGGTCGCATCCTCCACACGTCGCATGCCCCTGGTCTCTCCTTCACCTTGTCCACTCAGACTTGACCTAGGACTGCCACCTGCTGAATCCCCACCCATACTACCCCTTCTCCTGCCCCCACCGAGCCCCTCTAAGCTCGCAAAAAACGCCTCATTCATGTGGCGTAAACGTTCCTCGACTTCTGCTTCCCGTGTCAACATCGGACCCGCGGAACCCACGGAGTCGGACTTGGCATGTGAAGGTGCGTTGGATGGGCCCTGGGTAGACGCAGATGGAGGTCGGCGTTGTGTGTTGAGTGGCTTCCGTGCATCGATATCCTGGACAAAGATGGATATCTCATCGTCATCAGTAGGTGCACCAAGGAAGGAGGCACTCTGCACAGAAACGTTGTCAGCGCTACGTCCTATCTATAAATAAATGATGACAGAAAATGAAGCAACGTGCGATGCAATGCCATGCCAGTCAGGTCGGTATGAAACGTGAAAGATGATGTATAATAAGGCAAGGAGGTAACTCACCTCCGCTCGTTCCCCACTTCCTGCACTTCCAACACTCCCCCCACCTCCAGCTGTAGCGTAGCGATGTCCAAAACTGCTAGAATAACGTTTCCTGGTTGGAATCTTCGGAGATGTGTCCTCGCCTTCTGACCGTCCTCCGATACTATTGGGTGAATGCCTACTTCCCATTCCAATCGGGGAGGGGGGAACACGAGACGAGTTCGGTGACGTTGGCACCGGCCGAGAAGGCAGCGATGGATTGCCTGCGGCAAGTGGCGATGGTTGACGCAGAGAAGGCGAAGGTGAGTGGAGGGATGGAGAGCCGGACGACAATGTAGATGCCTTGAAAGGATGAACCGGGTTGATCCCCGGTCTTCGGATCGGAAGCGGCCCTGGGGCAGAGGGAAGGTCCTAAAGACGTGTCAGTTACCGATAAATGATATCAGATGATAACACTGACGGCATTACTACTCCTCCCTGCCATACTCTCTCTCCTGACGCGTGCAGCAGCAGACACGCCAGCAAAAGGACCCGTTTCTTCCTTGGACCAAGCGGCACTTGAGTCTTGGCGTGAAGACGCGATCGAGAGGGCAGAGGTTGATCCTGTGGCCATCCCAGCGCCGGTGGAGGTACGACTCATGGGGAGAGCACCCAGACGCGGGCTAGGCATGGAGTTCGTACGCGAGTGAGAGTTTGCGGGGGGAAGGACGAAACGATCTGCGATCGATGATGGCGGTGACTTTGGAAGAGATGTGCGCAATGGTAGGCTTCCGGGAAGGCCCGTTAAGGAATCACGCTGCTGGTTCTTGGCCAGGGTCGGGGTGAACTCCGGTCCTTCATCGAGAGAGAGGAAACGGGAAGAGAGGAGAGACTCAAGTTCGTCGAGCTGAAAGTTGGGAGAAGAGAGGTAGTTGATGGACAAGGAGAGTGTTCCCATAGGGTGTGGAATAGCAGGGAAGAGATGAGTTTGATGTTGTAAAGGGGCTGCATTGGGTGCAGGAGGCGTGTCTTCATTGGACGGAGATGAACGTGACGAAGTGAGATGAAGCCACGAGGTATGAAGGTAACGTGACTTACCGAAATCGAGGATGTCAGTCACGTTAACGCCGTCGTCGAGGCCCTTGACACGAAGGTGGATACTTAGATTGCCGTTCCGATATGCGTTGCTTGTGCGCCTCCTAAGTTTCTTGTAAAGCTTCCAAGAGGGAAGGATACGAAGTAAACTGTAGATACTGCGAAAGAGGGGTATCCCGTGCTTGTATATGGTAGATGGTGCCACACTGTCAGCGTCACTGTCACTGCGAGCTTCTGTTAAGCTAGGAGTAAAATTGAGCAACCAATTCTCGAGTACGATGTGCCTGGGAGTCGGGTCGACGCGCAAACGAGACGAGTCATGCGCAAGGTGGACCAAAACTTGATTAGTGGTGAGTTCTGGGACGGAGAGCAACACTTGGAGTTCCAATGGTGGTAGCGCATGTGCAGTAGATACTGCCTTGTATGTACGAAGATGGTCCTTAAAGAGGTCAGAGTCTGGTGTTTCAAGGTTAAACTGGAAGTTGGTTAGCTCAGTCGGGAAGATCAGAAAGAGTCACTCACCCATTTGTCAACTCTTGATTGAGACCTTGACTCAGAAGTGGCCCTAGCATTTAAGACGACCAAGCAAAGCTTTGTGTAGAATCTGTGTGCTATCTGGTCGGCCTTCTGTATGTCATTGGACATGGTAAGTGGATATGGTATTGATGACTCGGACAGTCAGACTAGTATGAAATGGGTAGTAGAAGAATTAGAAAAGAAACGACATTAGAGTTACAAGTCTAGAAGTATGAGTCGAAGTATTAGAAGGTCGTGGTCAGAAACGAGATGTGGCGAAGGCGTGTTCAGCACGCAGTTCCGACCACCGCAGGGGTAAGACAGCAACAGTAGGCAACAAGTAAGAGGCGAGCTTTCCTTTTTCAGCTGTCTTCCGATCTAACTCAGCTTACATAAGCTCAGTACTGCAACTTTGACCGTGCTGACGTGGAAATGTTACATGAAACGGGGCTACTCTGGTGTGCTGCAAGGATTGAAAATATAGCCACTGCAACATCTATCAATCTGCCTGGGGTCTGACCGACGACGCCCGAGCGGTACGGCAGCGTAGGTGCAGTAGATACACACTGCTCGGTATGGAATATTGGTCCCTGAAGAGTTCGGAGTTTAGCGTATCACGGCTAAACTTCGGGACTAGCGGTACCGCACTCGAGAGACCTACTGTCACCTCCACGCGTGACATTTGAGATCACCAGCTTTAATTGGTCGGGTGTAGAAACTATCCTATCTGACCGGCCCTCTGAATGGCATTGATATATTGTACGTGGCATGGGAGCAAGAAGTGGGCAGACTAGTGTCGAATGGGTAGTGAAGAGAAGTCTGAGATAAAATTAGTTAGGGTACAAGCATGCCGCATCTCGAGGTCGGAAACGAGGTGGGGGCGTTGGCGTATTTAGCACGTACTTCACAGGAAGTTATTTAGCATGCACGAAGACTCACGATAAATTCAGTGATACCGTGAACAAACTAGTTTATCTGTGGGGAAACACAAGCCACGTTTCGAATGTCAAATACATATATCGGGTGTGCGCGATCAACATTGTTAATAGTATCAAGAGGAAGGGACAGCTCGAGATGTGACAGGGGAAGAATCATATCGGATCAGCCCGTCGCAGCTCTAACATTAACTACCACGTGAGGGACGAAGCATTCAGGGTATAGCAAAAAGAAAGGCTCTTCTGGAATCGAATGGTCTGCCTGGCTCTGCCAACGGCAAAAATCTCCAGATCCAAAAAAAACGCACGGAAGCAGAATCGTCACGAGTCTAGCATACGCCATTGTACGTCCAGACACCGGCAACTCCTAAAAATCCCAACGGGTTTCAGAAAAACCGGCAGTGTCACACCAAAAGCTTTCACTTACCGCCAGGAACACTGTTCTCCGTCCACCACATCGCAGTCCAGAGGTCCCCGCTGTGATAACACGAGATGTTAGATGCAAGTCCACAGGTGTAAGTCACCTCGTACACGCACTTGTATGTGACTTCGTTACCTCCAATGTACTAAGGAGGGTGGTTAGACTCTCAGGGCTACGCACGGTAGGTTTCTGGACTCACTGTAGCACCCATTTGCCATGCTACCACACCAGAACAAAATACAGATGTCGTCGGTGGGGGGGTGGATGTACTACTTGTCAGTGCATTCTTAACAGATACGTCGTATCTACTATTCGCTGAAGAGTATAATAAATTACTGGTGCGTATAGGGAGTGTATAACCGCTTTACCGTACGCCTGAGACGCGTCCCACAGCATGACGCCCCCGAAGGATGAATATTTGGTCATCGTTTGCTGGATGATTGTGGTAAACGTCGATGGACTGACATATCCAGACCCAGCTGCACCGGATGATGCCGAGGCACCTATGTAGACTTTGACATTTGGATTAGGGGATACCGTCTTTGCCCAGTTGTCCCTGTAGTTTCGTCAGGCCCAAAAAACTTCGGACGGTTAAAAGAAATCGTATACCATGTCCCAAAGTTCCAGGCCTATGGATCACATCCATTCGTCAACAATGATGATGATCGACCTATGAGATTTCTTACGTTAGGGTTGTTATAATTCGTCAAACCGCACCAGTTGTTATCTTAAGGCGTGTGAGACGCAGAAATTTAAAACCAGAAATGTCACTCACAAAACTGGACATATACGGCGTCAAATCCAAACTGGTTCAGTGTAGTACTAATATAGGCATCGGGGTAAAAACATTGAGGCGCTGATACGATTACACAGGGATCAGCAACACGCGTTGTGTGAAGCGTCGGAAATAGAACCTGCAGTGATGTAGTACCTTTGAGAGCTGTTAGAAAGCGAATTCAAAGCCTGAAGAATGAATGACGTACGGCTTAGTGCCACCATTCATCAAGTTACGAAGGGTAGTCAAGAAAGATACAAATCCGATCTGAGAGCCACCTTCGATGTCCATGTCAATGCTGGATATGTAGTTAGATCGCACATTTCTTGGGTAGATGCGGCATCATCACCCGTCCAGAACAGCGGACCCAAAAGGACGCGTGCTACTAGAACCTCCCAGGAAAAGATCCCAAATTGTCTGGGCATATGCCGCTGCTTGGGTGTCACTTGTAAAGCCATTAGAACCTGTTGCTCCTCCCAGCGAGATAGTGACGATTTTTCCTGCAGCTTGACAGGCCTCAATACCTGATGCGAGGAACGAGCAATCGAAGAGGTTCGTCCCTGCGAAAACAGGGTGGTTGGAATGGCAAATCTGCAGCAGAGTTAGACAGGTTCAGGCAATCAGAAACGAGAACTCGCGTTCGCTAGGTTGATGGACGGGAGATTTCCTATCGAGTAGAACTCATCTAGACAGGCTATCGGAAGGGTGTTGATCACGTTATCCTGCAATTAAGATTTGAGATGGATTTTCAATTTATAAATTGGGAATAGGCTAACATTGCAATAGTAAGAGATCGGCTGCTGCCAATTTGCAGTATCACCTATATTCGCAGCTCCATACGAATTCTGGCCCCAGTACCTGCAACCATGTTTGTTGGCAACGGAGGTATCGATTTCAGGCTTATGTTCGTGATCCACTCACACAGCTAGCTAGTCAAGGTTGTCAATCGCACGTCAAACAAGAGGCAGGCTAGAACTTGCATTCTGGTTCGATGACATGTCGAACGCCACAATAGGACGGGAAACGAGACAGAGAAGCAGTACATATGTCAGGCCAGATTTAGAAAGCATCGCGGCGATCGTTGTTGCAGTAGAAGTTCGACAGTCGTGACTGGATAGGACGGAGGTCGATGACCTACGACATATTCATGCACAGTACCGCCGGACCTCTTTATGCAGCACGGAATGCGGATGCGATCATTGTGATGACAGATAAAAGTCTCAACGAACCTGATACGGAAGGGCCATGCTTCATGATGATGGTTTGACTGCATCGATTTAGTCTCAATCCAAACGTTCTGTGAAGCGGAGTTGAAAACAACACCGCTGGCGTTTCCCAGAACGTCTGGCGACTTTGAGGTGGCAGCGCTGGCATCCGTCACGCTTGTTATTTCTATCTGTAGATTTGTGTTAATGATGTAAATCAATATACCCCTCTCCTACTCGTCATGTCAGACATCGAGATGTCGGATGACTAGAATGCAGGACAGTCATTCGAAGACTCGGACAATGATCCATTCGCTTCATCTAATGTGCCATCGGCGTAACCCGAGGGACATCCTGGAACGTCTAGTTCGAGATTAGCATCTATTGCACCTGCCACATTGGCGATGAACAACTCAGTGGACCATTCGGAGCTGCTGAGTCTTGCTCATGCGAGAACTGGGTCGCATGTTGTCACATGCCAATTGGTTGGATATGCCAGAGCTCTGGCACACCGTCCATGTGATCATCAGTGAACTGATGAACCGCAGATAAAGTCTTATATGACGATATATATATTGTCATATATAGAACTCCTTTCCTTTATATTGGAATATAAAGTCATATAAAGTCGTGCAAAACGCCATAATCGACGTAAGGTACCCTGGGTAGACTCACAAGTTCTCTGATGCACACGACCAAACAAGATCATGAACGTTTATAAGTGACGACCGCAGCGTTGGAGCCAAACTTATGAGTGTCCAATACTAGGGGTCACCTGCTAAATTTTCGTTACCTCTGTCCCACCCAGGAATATGTCATCTACCACCTGACGAAACGACATTGAAGCATCAGAGAACTGGTGAGCCGCAGATATTGTCATATATAGTTTTGCGTTTTCGTCGGCATCGGAATATAAAGCAATATATGATCATGTAAAACTACCGCAATCCGGATAATAGCCAGCAAGGACTCGCCGGTTCACTGATGCTTAGGGTTACAAGTCTAGAAGTATCAGTCCAAGTATTAGGGTCATGGTCAGAAACGAGGTGTCAGCAGACCACCGCATGGGTAAGACAGCAGCCTTTAAACATGGCAGCTGCGTCATACGGCAGCAAAGGGTAACCGTTTCGTTACTACCCCCAAATGAAGAAGGCGACCCACGGGGTGGCATAAGTATCACCAGAAAAGGTTATATTACATTGTGTGGTTTGCTTCACAAAGTTTATTGCAAGCCACCCGAAAGCGCGTCCAGAGCAGCAAGAGATAGTGGGGAACTGAATCAATGTTGAAATCTACTGGTACGAGGACACGACCACAGCATACATATTTGTTGTACATAAAAAGAATTCGGGCTCTTCTGGGATCGAGTAGTCTGCCAACGGCAGAAATATCTAAATCTAAAAAATCCCACGGAGGTAGAATCGTCATGAGTTCTATTAGCATACACCGTCGTACGTCCAGTCACCGGCAGAACCTAAAGATCATCCCAATTGGTGTCAAGAAAACTGGCAGTGTCACGCCAAGAACTTTCACTTACCACCCGGAACATCATTCTCCGACCACCACTTCGCAGTCCAGAGGTCCCCGCTGTTGTAATATGACATGTTAGAGGCAAGTCCACAAGCTTTAGTCACCTCGCATACGCACCTGTATGTGACTTCGTCGCCTCCAACATACTAAGGAAGGTGATTAGACTCGCAGAGTTACGCATCATGTGCTTCTGAACTCACAGCAACACCGGTTTGCCATGCTGCCACACCGGAGCAGGATACGGTCCCAGATGTCGTTGTGGGAGAAGCACTTGTGCTAGTCGTGGTAGTGGTCTGTGTTGTCGTTGTCGTTGTGCTGGTGCTAGTGGTCATCGTAGTAGTAGTACTAGTCGTCGTCGCCGTCGTCGTCGGGGTGTATGTACCACCTGTTAGTGCATTCTTGACAGATACGTCATATCTGCTATTTGCTGAAGAGAATGTAAGTCACAGGTAGGTATGATAGTGCATAAACGCTTTACCGTACGCCTGAGACGCGTCCCATAGCATGACGCCCCCGAAGGATGAATATTGGGCCATCGTTTGCTGGATAATTGAGGTAAACGTCGATGGACTGACATATCCGGACCCGGCTGCACTCGTTGATGCCGGGGCACCAATGTAGACTTTGACATTTGGATTAGGGGATACCGTCTTTGCCCAGTTATCCCTGTGCTTTCGTCAGGCCAAAAATTATTATTAAAAGAATTCACATACCATGTGCCAAAGTCCCAGGCCTATGGATCGCATCCATTAGTCAATGATGATGATGATCGACCTATGAGATTTCTTACGTTGGAGTTGTTATAATTCGTCAAACCGCACCAGTTGTTATCTGAAGGCGTGTGAGACGCAGAAATTTAAAACTGAAAATGTCACTCACAAAACTGGACATATACGGCGTCAAATCCAAACTGGTCCAGTGTAGTACCAATATAGGCATCGGGGTAAGGACATTGAGGCGCTGATGGATTACCCAGGCATCAGCAATAAGCATTATGTGAAGCATCGGAAATCGAACCCGCAGTGATGTAGTACCTGTAAGGCTGTTAGAAGCGAATCCAAGGTCTGAAGAATGACGTACGGCTTAGTGCCACCATTCATCAAGTTACGAAGGGCAGTCAAGAAAGATACAAATCCAGTCTGAGAGCCACCTTCGATGTCCATGTCAATGCTGGATATGTAGTTAGATCGCACATTTCTTGGGTAGATGCGGCATCGTTACCCGTCCAGAACAGCGGACCCAAAGGGACGCGTGCTACTCGAACCTCCCAAGAAAAGATCCCAAATTGTCTGGGCATATGCCGCTGCTTGGGTATCGTTTGCAAAGCCATTGGAACCTGTTGCTCCTCCCAGCGAGATAGTGACGATTTTTCCAGCAGCTTGGCAAGCTTCAATACCCGATGCGAGGAATGAGCAATCTGGGAGGCTCGTCCCTGCAAAAACAGGGTCATCGGAGGTGTTGCAAGTCTGCAGCGGGGTTAGACAGGTTCAGGCAATCAGAAACGAGAACTCGCGTTTGCAAGGTTGATGGACGGGAGATTGCCCGTCGAGTAGAACTCGTCTAGAAAGGCTATCGGAAAGGTGTTGATCACGTTATCCTGCGATTAAGACTTGAGGTGAATTTTCAACTATAATATGAGAATAGGCCAACATTGCAATAGTAAGAGATCGTCTGCTGCCAATTTGCAGTATCGGCTGAATTCACAGCTCCATACGAATTCTGACCCCAGTAGCTACAACCGTAGGTCATTGGCAACGGACATATGCATTTTATATTCGTGATCCACTTACACAGCCAGCTAGTCAAAATTGTCAATCACACGTCAAACAAGAGAAAGGCTAGCACTGACATTCTGGTTTGATGACATGCTGAACGCCGCAATAGGGCGGGTAACGAGACAGAGAAGCAGTATACATGTCAGGCTAGATTTGGAAAGCATCGTGGCGATCGTTGTTGCAGTAGAGCAGTGATAGAATGGGGTTCAATGGCCGACGACGTATTCATGCACAGTACTTCCTCCTCTTTATGCAGCACAGAATGCGGATGCGATTATTGCGATGGCAGATAGAAGTCTCAACGAACCTGATACGGAAGCGCCATGCTTCATGGTGATATGACTACATTGATTGTGCCTACCACATTGGCGATGAACAACTCAGCTGGACCATTCGAGGCAGTTGAGCCATGCTCATGCAGGAGTTGAGTCGCATGCCAATTGGATGGATATGAAGTTCTGGTACACAATCCATGTGATATGACCAAACAAGACCATGAACGACTGCAGCCTTGTCGGAGCCGAATGAGCGTCCAATGGGGGCCACCTGCTAAGTTTTCGTTACCGCTGTGCCATCTAAGAATAAGTACGCCATCCAGCACTTGACGCGCCCTTGGGTATGGCACTGGAAGAGTAGCTTCTGCGGCGGTTTAGATAAGGGTTCCCCAGCGGTTTCACTAAGAATAAACGAAACAAGGCCAGCGTACCTGAGAAAATCCACAAGGTGCTCCTCGCCAGTCGTGACTCAGATTGGGACCATCAACTGGCCGTCAGAGCCAGGTATAACAAGCCTAGTGTTAGAAAACCCGACACGATTATAAGCCTAACCTTGAAGCACATGGTATGCCCACGAAATACTTCCGATGCGTATCAGAAGATCTGTGGAATGCCCCGAATCCGATAGGACCTATTATGGAAGTACTAAGGTGTTGTGAAAACTAAAAGTCAGTTTCAAAAAGATCTTCTCGGACTTCACACTCAGTGAGCTGGGTGCTTAATTGAATTAACGGATACCTTGGAGGTCTTCATTGTCAAGCTCGCGCGTGCTGCGACGGCCCATCAACAAACCACGAACTCCGAGTCAGCGTGATCGTGATTCATGTGGAGTCGGCCAAACGTAAACGGATGAAGCTCTGCGCTTTAATAGATCAATTTAGATCTGTTCTGGCAAGTGCTCGGCGACAGGAACCTCAGACCTGGTCGTAGCTAGCGCTGGAGATCCAGACCTTGGGTTCCATACGACTCTATTCCACCCAATGAGATAGCATGATGCTAGTAATAGTAAGTAAGTGGCGTCTATTTGTTTGCCTCGGCAAACCAACGCCAAACAACACCGGACGGTTTTCAAGTTGTTATGACTAGAAATTTGAAAAGCACATTATAGTATCTCTCAACATTCAGGACGTTCAACCTCCATTCTAGCACTTGTGATCACCAGCGGAAGACGTATTATCGACACACACGACGTCGGCATCAATGCTAATAGGCAAGACTTTATCAGACCCCGGGGCATGAGCCATCGTCATTCCAGGCACCGGCATATCCTGTCAGTGCTGTCCCGATGCTTTCCGTTGGGCACAGTTTGGATAGACACACGGGAGCAAACCTTCAGGTGAGTACATCACCATATGATGACCACTTCGCCGTCCAAACATGTCCGCTAAGATCGGAATTTTAATTTGGACCCTTAGGTGACGAGACTATTCGCCGCCACTTACTTTTGGCACATGCTTTAGAGTTGCAGCATGCAATAGCGTAGCGCTATTAATGCCAGTCCAAATTAATGTCGACGTACTCCTGGCGGTCGGGTCGCATGTGAATATGAATGATGAGTCGGTCAAAGTCTCGCATTGTCTTCCACCGCGGTTTTGTTGATCAGCCGCCTTGTCTTGCGTGACCGGTGGACTTACACTGCATTACGCACTCCTTGTCACTATAATATGCCGCGGCTGGTCATGAGCCCAAACGACGAGCAGATCTTGAAGGTCGTGAGACCATTGCACACTTCAAAGCAAAAGGTGAAGCTATAGCTCATCGGTGTCTCGATTCCGACGGGGCATCAATCACGCCTGCCCTTTATTTGTGCTAGCGGCTTGAGGACGGACGGACGCGACACATACTAAGTATCATGTCCCAGGTGAATCGTTATCAATTTTCTTATTTACGAGAAGCACTAAATACGTATACCGCAAAACAAACATATTTTTCTCGATATGGTACATGTACTCGTCGCAGTCGCACCTTCGGCGTTATCCACTCTTTTATATCGACCTTTGACGGTCCTGACAGTATGCAACGGAGTGGGGAGTTGCTGAGAGACTTCTCTACATTTATATAATAGAACCAACCATTTCTAACAAGACTCGGTACCCTGGTAGTGGGGGGAAATAACTGAGGTATGTAGTTGTTATATAATTGTCGGTCCATCTTGAGTAATACCGCGCACTTTGTGATAGGTTTTGCTTGTCACACTCGGATTCGTCTATTGAGCAGAACCATCGTCAATTTTTCAAAGCTTTTTTGACTGCTTTGTCATAGCGATGATTCCCTGAGGTAGTCAAATTATAGCGGGCCAGGAAGACAGGGCACGTTCGACGCACCATACGCATCCGATACATCCCATAACATCACGCCGCCAAAGGAAGAGAATTTAGACTGAGTCTGCCGAATTATTGACGTGATAGTCTTGGAGTTGACATAGCCAGATCCCGCAGCGGGTAACGCGGGTGCTCCGATATAAACCTTAATGTCATGATTGGGTGAGACGCTTTTTGCCCAGTTGTCCCTAATAAGGGTTAGAAAGTAAGATATGAACCACCCGCGTGGGGACGTACCAGGTGGCAAAGTTCCAGTCCTGTGCTCAATGACGATGTTGAGGAATAGTACAGGACAGACGGCATCATAACTCACATTCCGATTTTTGTAATGCTGCAGACCGCAATAGTTGTTGTCTGTGAGTGATTATCAACCAAAAAAAACGAGGTCATCAAGACAAAGACGGACAGAACTGGACATATACTGCATCAAATCCCACTGTATTCAGTGTGCTACCGATGTAAGCGTCTGGGAAAGGACACTGGGGTGCTGGAGTAAAATTCGGTTATGACCAAACGAGTGTCAATTGAAAGCGTTTCGCCTTACCAGCAGTGATATAATACCTATACAAGCGATATAAACCAATGCTCACAGCGGAAGAGAAACAAGTTTCACTTCTTCTTTCCCCGGTTCATAAGTTTCCGAAGTTCAGTCAAAAAGGAAACATAGCCTGTCTGCGAACCACCCTCGATGTCCATGTCAATTCTACCCGACATTCAAAACGAGTCCAGAGAGCCAAAAAAAATAACTGACCCGTCGAGAATTGCAGATCCAAACGGACGCGTCTTGCTCTTTCCACCCAGAAAGAGATTCCATATTGTCTTAGCATAAGCAGTGGCCTGAGAGTCGTTCCTAAACTGGATATGTCCAGCTCCGCCACCAAACGAGATGGTGACCGCTTTTCCTGCCGCCTGACACGCTTTGATGTCCGAGGCAAGAAACGAGCAATTCAGTAAGCCAGTCCCTGGAAAATAGTTGGCATTTCCGGAGTTGCAAGTCTGCACATGAACCATAACTCAGCACGATCCGGAATGAAGGACACGAATCACCCACATTCGCCAAGTCGATCAACGGGAGATTGCCTTCCGCATAACTATCAACGAGGAAGGCTATCGGAAAGGTGTCGATGACATTGTCCTGAGAGACTCGAGGTCAGGTGGCGACTAAGAGCTTCAGATAAAAGGAAATTAACCTTGCAGTAATAAGAAAGTCTCTGCTGCCAGTGAGCAGTGTCATCGGAATTGGAGGCTCCATATGAATTCTGACCCCAGTAGCTGTCACACCCGAAAAGTCTGCTTCTGACCTCACAGATGAGACATAAATGAGACTTACACGGCCAGCTAACGGAGAAAGGATCAGCAGTTGATCAAGAAAAAACACATGCAGCCTCACATTCTTGTTGGATGACATATTGAATGCAGCTGTTCTACCGGCCATAACGCCAAGAAGCAGTGATGATAGCATGAGGCGTGACGAATCCGCAATAAACATAACTAAATTGTTATGGTGCGAATAAACAGGATCCAAAATTTTGACGGTGAACCCCCATCGTACAGTCTGGGTTTTATGCTGGCCCCAAGGATCTTCGTGCTACTTTCAACTCAGAAGGAACAAACTGTCGTCGACAACGGTTCGATTTCCCCCCAAATCGGAACGAAGCGCAAATCGTGAAAGGCCGCCAGGGACAACAATTACTGTTGGCAAGACATCAGTTCCATCATGCGATGCGTGCTGGAAACAGAAACACGAGTGTGCAGAGGGAAGTGTGAGTAAAGGAGCTGCCACGCGCTATACATCGTGTCCAGACCAAATTTCGATCCCCGGTTACATACATAAGGCAGAATGTCTGTCTCCGACTTTCCGTTCTTCTCGGATACGTATCTAGTAAACGATATTAGTCGTATTCGATGTATACTTATGGCGTATTATAGATTCACCTTTAGCCGGTTACCGATATTGCTCAATACCCCTACATTCAAAAAGTCGCTCGCAAGCAGATCGATAAAGGTCGCACCAGATGTCCAATTTCAAAAATCCTGGCTCTAACTTGAAGGTGAGTCGCGATATTTTTGCCGAGTCCACGAGGAGAGGTACTGAGTAGAAAGTTGGTTCGATATGAAACCCGGCTGTATACTAGAAGATCTACTTTTGCATGGCTTCAGCAGTTGGTTACAGCTAGTAGTTACTTACCAAGAATAATGAGATTCTCATTCGAGTGCAGCAAATGCGATCGAGGGAATTACCATTCTTCGTCACCTACCCTGTGGTAGCCTACAGTTTCTTCCAATAAAGTTCGGATGCGCACTGTTCGGCGTGCCGGTCGCCAGAGTGACATGAATTCGAATCCGGGCCTCTGGCATGACAGTAACTAATTAGTAACAGAACTTGAATTCTCTTCCATTTTGTCTCGTCTCGTACTGATATCGTTCCGCCACCGTGAAGGATGCAGGCCGCGGCCGCGGCTGCTAGCTAGGCTTGGTTATCCCCCGTGTTATCATGTTGGTCTCCCCTAGACAGTCCCCTACTATAGAGGATAATTGTTGCTTCTGATAAAGATCTTCAATAATAAGCGTCCCTTCAATAAGTTGGTTCGCACCCTTCTCCACCGTCACGGTGGTGCGTGCCAACTTGCCAAGTACTCAGACAGAGTAAAGTCTTATTCGACTCGACCAGCCTACGGTAAGAGGTCACGTGTACTTACATAATACCTTCAAATCTAATCACACGTTGTTCTGTCAAGACTCAAAATGATAGTGCCAGTGAACCAATTTGAGCACATCACGCAAATCCTTTCATCTGTACACTACACAGTCTTAGCCCGGAGCACCAGGGTCGCAGGATATGTATATTTCGTCTTTCAATGGTCCGTACAAGTTTTGCCCTACTGCCTATGCGCGCGATCTCCAGGATGCCAGACGATGAGAGTGGCGTGCCGCTTCCTTCTCACTGGAAGGTTCCAGGACTTTGCCATCCTATCCTTGGTCCTCTTCCAGTCGTCGTTCCGAGGTCTTTGTCTGTTCTCAGTTCGCCCGTGCTTGGATCACTACTGGAAAAAGATCAAGAAACAAACATAAGCATATGAATCAGCTAGTACCGCCAATCGACTTTGCGGTGTGCCCAACCCATGATTTACTCCCCGTACCACTTCATCTTTACTGCCGATTACTCTTGGTCAAGACTTCCGTATTTCTATCGACCCCATGACCCTTTCCGCTGTGCCCATGAAGAGAGCCTCTAGCACCATGGGGAGGTAATATCATCAGGGTGGCGAGGGCTAGGTAGCAGAAACGAGGAAGCTACAGGCGGGAACGCTCCTAGTAGGGGGCTGCGACATCTTGAGGGGGGGTGGGTCCGCTGTCGTATTCATTCAGATGCTCTATTGGTACGTTTCGAATTTCAAAGCCCGAGTGCACAATTCTCGCAATGGCAGAGTGAAAGAAATTATAAAAGTGCCAGTGGTGCCCCATGATCATGATGACGGTCCTTTTGCCAAATTTGTTTCGTACCTTGTGAGTTCATATTCGGATCCAACATCATTATTGACAAACGATGTTTAGCACTTGCGTAACTCGGGTATATTATTACCTACCCTCCCTACTGAGGAAAACAAGCCCGAATCCCAGTCAGGAAATGAATCCAGTTTTCAAACTTCAGGGCTTGACGCGATCCTAGCCTTCCCTACTTCAGTCCTCGCTGTACACTCATTCCAAATTTCAGACCCGGGATGCTATTATGCACACTTACATGTCTTGATTCAGGGTCCTGCCTCAAGGCCCAGCACGAGATTCTACTTAGTAGCCTCATCTAGAAGTCGGGGCTGCTCATCGAGCGAAGCCTGCATGTAGCCGAGCGCTTAGCATCGCCTAAGCACCTCTCCACCAATGAGAGCGCACGATTATGGCTGAAGAAAGGGTCAAATGTGAACGTAAACTAGGCCCTCTCTGAGATGCTTGCCTGGCTCTTTATTGACATCGCTTGTCATCATCCCTTCGTTTGATAACTTTGATTGCAGTCGGCGTCTCATGACTTTTTACAGTATTCCAACATCAGACTGGTCGTGGTCGCAAACTAACGCATATTTGGATATTGCTGCGGTCGAACGAGGTCATATCAGCCTCCAAGCTCAAGTACGCTGAGCAGGAGCCAATGGAAGAGAACTTAGTAAAGGGAGTCATAACAGACTATGACGGAGAGTCCGAGTCGGATCGATGACGTATATATGGATCGTTATAGGTTTATATCACACCCACAGTGTGATAATTCAGCATCAAATCGCCATATAAACTCTTTAACTTGATCGTCGTCTCGGCTATCTTCTATTGAATCATTAACAGGTCTTTGTGCCCCGTTATGACACTGCCTGCTACTTACTAGTCATAATATTCAGGATCATTCTTCGTACACTTCGGGACCCCACTTTGGTAAATATTGGATACAGTGACACGCTACGCGTTCCCTTATAAACAGCTCATCGGGTGGTAAGCACTCCTCAATCAACCCCATGATGTCCCTCGCAAAGCTCCCATTTATTTTTGCAGCTGCAGTCGGGTTCCATATCTCTGTTACAGCCCCAGAAGTCGCCAAAGATCGGGTGGTAACTCCAAATGCAATAGAAAGGGTCCTCATACCCTTTAATGCGCTCATAGGGCAGATTCTGAAGGTGAGGTCCATGCTTACCCATACAGATAAGATTTTGACGATTAGCTAGGGCACGATATGGCTAGCGACTGCTGCTGAGACTGCAGCCATCCTGACGCGTTACATTCCACCGCATTATATGTCACCAGGAATCGCGGATGCCCTGGGGAAACTGGGGAACCCTGACGCAAGCAAGATCACTGCGGTATCACTTTTTGGGAGCTTGATGTTCGTGATGTCAGGCTACATTCGTTGGCAGTGCTACAGAGAGTTGGGCCGCTTCTTCACGTATGAGCTATCTATCCGAGACGGACACAAGCTTGTCACAAGCGGTCCCTACTCGGTGGTGAGGCATCCAAGCTACACAGGGGTAGCACTGTCCCTTGTCGGCGCGAGTGCAATGTACGGTGCTCGTGGGTCCTGGCTCCGAGAATCGGGAGTCCTCAACTTGCCATTCGTGTGTGTAGTTGCGAATACATGGGCGGCGATGATGGTGATGGTGGTGGTGTGCTTGACTATCAGGATTCCGCAAGAGGACAAATTGTTGGCGCAGAGCATTGGGAAGGAGTGGGAGGAGTGGGCCCAGCGCGTCAAATATCGGCTCGTTCCTGGCGTCTATTAGCATCATATTTGTGTCTATACTTACATTTGAGCTCAACGGGGAACTATAAATCACGAACCACTGGTGCGGTTGGCAAACATATATGTAGTCTGGTTCTTACTGAGCCACCAACTACAAGATGTGCGATTCTGATTCCTGGTATGATGCATGGAGCCGTGAACAAGTATTGCCCTTGAACTGATATTGCAGTCTGCAGATTTAACTGGTAAATAAGACATTAAACTGGTACCGCAATGAAATATCGACGGGCTAGAAGCGCAACCAGGCAAACCATGAAAGTAAACGAAAGAAATGTACCTGGGTGTACGGTATAACATCATCACGGATATCAATTCATCACTTGTCACTCTCAAAGTGCCCGTCTGCAAGATTATTGAGTGTATCCTCTTCCTTATCGAGCTTACGAACGACGATCCAAAACAAGATGCCACCAACGCCCGCAAGGATGGCGCTGATGGCGTAGTTCCATACGAGCAGTGGATCCAGCGAAAGGGCTGTTGCATTTTGTGAGTGAGCATTCGCATAAGACGACAGAAGAGGACGACGTACAGACGAAAGCTTCGCCAATGGCGGCTGAGGCTGCACTCGTGAAGAGAAACACAGACATGACCAAACTACGCATGTTCCTTGGTGCTTTGGTGAACGCGTACTCGAGACCCGTGATTGATGCAAAAATTTCAGAGAAGGCAATGAGCACATATCTGTACGCATCATCAGCGTCCTGTGTGTGCAAACATCGGAAGTGTACTCACGAGCCAGTCTGAATCCACACATTCAGGGGGGAAACAAGCGGGTTCTTGTCTGCGTCCTCGCAGGTTCCAGCGGAATGCCCACAAGGGCTCGTTTTGTAAATATAGTACTGCACGACAGCGGCCCAGATCATTGATGCAGCTGCCGTGCCGAAGCCCCAGGCAATCTTCTTCAGCGCGGTGAACTGGATACCCCAACGTGCAAGTGCTGGGTAGATCTGTGATTGCCTTATGAGACGAGGGAAATTATGTTCCTGACGATACATACCACCAAATCACATATCGGGATGAAAATGATGAGAGCGAGGGGATCAAGGTTGGATAGAACGTCATTAGGTAGGCCGTTAGTGGTCATCGTCGCAGCTTGTGAGATCAGGTTATTATTAAGTTGATTGTAGCAGAGCCCTGTGCGGCGTACAATGAGCTACGAAGGAAACAATAAAGAGGGACGAGTAGGGAGAACTCACAGTAGAGCGGGAACCAGACGAACACGCTGCAAGCTTTGAAACCACGACGGACCTCGTCAACCCACTGGTCGTCAAAGATCATCCATATGGGCTTGTCGCCAACCTGCTTAGAGGGCTTGGCACTTTCCCAGAAGTCATCGGAGGTGAGATTCTTGTATGTCTTGTATGGATTCCACGACCATCGTCCGCGTTGGGCGTACCGCCAAATGCGGAGCGAGGTCGGAAGAACGGACCCTTGAGGTGGAGATCTGCGATAACGACCGCGGCCGTACCAAAGGACAAGAGGGGAGATACAGAACACTACAGTAGGCAAGGTAAAGGCTAGCCAGAAGCCAACATACTAGAGTACCGCATCAGAAGATTTTTTTCAGGGTCGGTATGGGAAACATACCTTTTCAGCATAAACCATTCCAATCTGACCAATGAGAGCACCGATGTTGATAAAAAGGTAGAAATACTAGGGTTGGTGTGAGTACTTGGCACCTTGAAATATGCATTGAACTCAGCGCACCATATAGATTCTTGTAGTGGTCATGGCCGGGTCAATAATGACGCGCTCGCCCGAACTAGTCGTAACAACGTAACATTTTGTTATCCGGTATTGCTCTGCAACCAAAGGGGAGACATTCGACTTGAAGCCGCCGGTGCCAGTGCTGGTAATAATCATGGATAGGATAAACACGCCGAGTGATGCACGGCCACCGATGATGCCAGGGATTGCAGAGATGATCATTACAACGTGGCCCAACATGGCAATAACAAGACTCCAGCAGATTGTCTTGTAACGACCCCAGTAGGTATCAGCAATATAAGCGCCGGCGATCGGAGAAATATAAGCCCTAAATGAAACCGCGATTAAGGGGACTGGCAACAAGATGTGGGCGGGAGATGGACGGACCAGAACTGATAGAACGTGGTCAGGCCTGTAGACATTTGTTGACCGGCGTCAAGGGCGCCAGATTGGCCATTCGCACCACCTGCGCCGGTGCGGGAGCCTGGAGGAAGGGGTTGCTGGATGTAGTTCGTCTGCAGGAGGATATATACTCATACACATCATTCATCGGTGATTAATGGATATTCTACTTACGAAAACAACACTAGAACCTTTGAAAGTGACGTATTAAAAAACTGGCATAATTTGATGGCGATTAAGGTGTGCAACATACCATAGTACTAAGAAGGATGTTAAGTAAGGCCTGATGGTTTGACAGATGTCATAAGATGGACTCACAGAAAATCGCTCTGCCAGTTCCACGACAGCGATTACTGTGAAATTAATGTCGAGTTGAACAGGTTACTTTTACGCGAGAGACAAACTTACGATATGCATTCCATGGGATTGCGTCGGATACACGTCTGAGAGTGAGTAACTCCTCCTCAGTGGGGAACTGCAAGCCCTCATGGATGCTGTCGATCTCTTTGTCAAAAACAATACTCTCCGAGTGCTTTTCCTCTATGTCATAGACAGGTTCGCTATGCCTAGGAGGATCCGCGAGTCCTACGACGAGATCATCTGCCATTCTGGACGATTAGCAGGTCTGCTGGGGGGAGAGTTCTGGCAGGACAGAAGGTGATCATCTCGTGATTTCGATGCTTTTTATGATGGATCAAAGTGGTGCAAAATGAAGCCAAGCGCGAGGTAGCACATGTGCAGTTCCTGTTAATTACTAAAAAGAGTGATTATGTAATCAACGATGTTCAATTTGACTGATGTTAAAAGTCTGTTCAAGTCTCTCCCGACCACCTTCCAATACATGTGTTTCTACATTTTATGATCCGCATGTACGTTTGATGTACACTGACAGTGACAATAATGTGTTTTACCCCCCATACACTCCCTACATCAGCGCACAGTGCGATTATTCCCATGGCGCCGTTAACTTACCGGTTCTTGATCTTCTGATCAGCCTACAAAGTACCCAACATCCCACAACCACCCACAACAGTTCAAGCCTTGGCACCAACTCCAAGGCAATGACCTTATCTTCTCTACATGTGATATTCTCAACTGCTCGCGTGTCCCTGCGTGCCCAACGACTGTTTCCGGTGGCATCGTTCTATCTAGGCAGTTTGCGGCTTGTGCCTGTGATTCAGTTCATATCAATCATCCTGAGGATCTTGTAAGAGAATCGGGTTAAGTAACGGCATGATGTATGTAGGTGCTTCCACGACAGACTACTACCAGCCGTATTGGTGTCGATCAGGTCAATCAAGTATCGGTTCGCGGTCTCTTCTCCGTCCGAGTCTGGACTCTGCGCTACTTCGTTCGGATCATTTACCGCAACCTGAATCACAGCTGCTCGCATATACATTATATGCTAACAGTAGACGGGGCTTCTTCGGGAGCGATAGGTGCTCAAGACTCAGGCTTAGAAAATGAGCGGACAAGATAACGAGCATGGCAGTCTGCGAGCATGTGTTTCTCCTGTCCGCATGGCGCCTACCATCCAACTAGATAGCCAGCTGTCATGCAAGCGTCTTTCTTAGATTTGGCGTACACCTGCACACGTCATACATCATATGTCTGGACTCCGTGGTTAGGTACGGTATTTCCGTTCATTAATTACACTGAGGGACACCTCCGAACCTCGCTCTTTAGTTCTCCGGACCATGATATGATATCTTCGGTATGACGAGTGACAACGCCACCTGGTGATCCCCGAAGTTGTAACCCCTTGCCCAAATCAGACCATCACTTCCCTCCTTGTGCAATCACATGCACGCCCCATCGGTGACAACCGTCCCATAAAAAACTATATGTATGTATGATGACGTGCAATAAAGCATTTCCGAAATTCTATGCAAGCGAGTGTCCCGTGAGTGAGCGTGTGGTAGGTAATGGGTGAATGGATGAGATAGAAATGAATAACGAAATAGTCCCTGGCTTGTATAATATTTGCATGAGGAGATAAGTTTAGGTTAGTATATGTCGCGCTGGGTAGCGTGATGATGGGTCGAGGAACAGCTAGCACCCCCCGGAATACTAAAAACGAGAACTATGAGCCACCACGCCAGTCAAAACGCAAGGTCAACGCACCAAGCTGTTCTTCGGTTTTTGATAATTCCACGACGTAAGATTAGGATCTAGCAGCAAATCCATCAATATCATCTTCAAAAGTATGCAAGATCGACGCACTCATATACGAATCCATATGCCGCTTGATATAGTCCTCCGTAGGATAGTCTGTGGGGCTGCACCCGACATTCGTCTGCCCTTTCCGCTGATACACACGCACGTAGTCGACACGCATCTCAGCAGGGAAGATCATCGTGCTCAGATCAATCGTTTGCCAATTTGCTGGAAAGGGTGTCAGTGAATATTTCTACGACGAAGAAAACTGAACGTACGTGATATGCCCAAGTTGAGGACGATAGACTAGAGGATGGATACGTCAGGCAGAATGAGACGGGGAAAGATGAGTACAGACCATTGGTTCTACAGAGATCAACCGTTGCGATACGCCTGTGCCATCTGGTAAAGGATCAGGACCAAGTGCTCCTGCACCGAGATGCGCAGACTGGACGCCGGCTGTCTGCCATGTGATGTATCCATCTGAAGGATTTGAGGGATCCGACCAATACTCAAAGCCTGCAAAACGTCAGACGATGAGCAGAGCCGAAGATCGCAAAATTACTTACCGAGGGTCGTGAACTGCGCGCCAGATTCTTGGAAAATATTATCAGGAAGAACGGTTAATGCAGATACTGCTTGTTGGCTGATAACACAAGACAGGTGTCAGTTCCCAGAGAAACAACATTCATGCGAAAAGTGCCGAGACCACAAATCACAACGAAAAAGGTACTCACACCGCACTCCCTCGATAGCTATTTGGAGTTGTGATTTCAGGCGTGTTAATGTTCCAGTTATCCTGGGTGTCATTGAGGTAGAGATAGTCGTGCGTGAAGGGCGCGAACTGGCCGGACTGCGAGACGACCTGCCCCGAGCCCAGCTGGTTACGCTCAACCTCGAGAATATCGATTTCAGGGGCACCACGACCAACATTCACGGATGGTCCGGGATGGTCTTCTCCTGGGCATGTACATGAACTAAGGAGTGTCAGTGACGTGTAATATACAAATATCGGCGAATAAGTTGGGTGGGACTTACGAGAGACGCTGTCCCGATAGCCATGATAGCTCATAATCGTACTTGGACCTCGAGGCGTTCGAGTGGAGAGCAGCAGCAGGTCCAGAACCATCCGGCTCCGTCTGGTTCGGGAACGTGCCAACATCACAGGAGTCATAGCTGAAGCATGGTAAACACTTGAATCGCCTTCAAAACAAATTGAACTCACGAGTAAGGCCACACGCCGTCTGTCGTGGCTCCATATCCCGGGCGTGCAAGATTACCCATTGTCCATGCACCCGGCCACTAAATTGATTCATTAATTAGTACCACACAACCCGGACTACTACCCTAGGCCTGCTCAACGCCACAACCACTCACATAACCCTGAGTCTCCTGATTCGGCCCCGGTAAACTGACTGACACTTCGATGTAGCCACGTGTGAAGCAAAACTTGTTCCAACTCTGGAGCATACCGCTCCGATATGGTAAACCGTTCTTGGTGTTCTGGTCCATGACAATGCTCAGATACCCATCTTTTGTTGTTATCTGGCCGGGGTCATACCACTCCTGATCGCTCGTACTCCAATACCAGATATCGGCAGCTTCCCAAAAAGAATCGTCCCCTGGCCAGAAAGTACGATTGGGGGTGTTGAACTCGTCCGAGAAGACGAGCTCGTATGGGAGGCCGTCAAAGCCCGTCCGCGTCGCTGCACTACTGGGCGTATCAGGATCGATGAGTTCCGCCATTTGAAATCTGGACAGGCACAATCGTCAGTCAGGTTGTCCACATCACACCAAAGAAAATAGAACAGCGGGGAAATAGTAGAGTGGTGGGACGCACAGAACCGCAACCTGACCGGTTCCATTGACAAGCACGTTTCCCGTTGTCACAGCTGTCTGGGCATGATTTTGGAAATAGTCGAGGACGGGGTAGATGATGAAGAGACTGAGGAGAGCCAAAATAAGGAGGACGAGCACACCAACGTTGAGGACACCTCTGAGGGGGAAGCCACTGCTGTTGAAGATGCGGTGGTCGTTAATATCGTGAAGGGGGTCATCCTCTTCTTGCTCATCGAGGGTTGGGTCATAGGCATAGGGCACGAGAGTACCACGTGCATGCGAAGAACCAGAAGGGTACTTGCTGTCGTATGAGAGTGAGAAAATAGAATCTTCTGAGGTACTAAGGACCGAATCACGGTTAGGGAGTGCTTTCGGTTTGAGCAATGTACCACGGTCGTCTTCTACAGCTAGACGATAAAGTATCATTGAACCGCGCTGACCAGCAGGAAGAGATCCCATGTTGGACCCGGCGAGGACCTGGGAGTCCTCCGAGGCTACGCGGTTGAAGTGCATGCTGCTCTGGCGCGACTGTGACCGAAAACGCAAATTGGGCTGGGGAGAACCTGGGGCCGAAAGGGAAGGATTGGGGTTCAAGGGGGAGGATACATAGTTGTGGATGGCATTGTAAGATAAGGAGCGTGTGGGAGTCTGTCGGAACTGAGGTGAAGGTGAAGGTGAATCTGGAGGCAGGAGGGGCGTTTCAAAGGTGGACGTGCTGGGTGTTTCTGATGACAGTATGTACTGGGCGACTGCCGGATACCGTGGTTCATCGCGGTTAACATACCGAATTGCTTGGCCGTCATCAGTCTCGTGTGGATCGACAATGCGGTCTTCACGTTGTGAATCAAACTCGTGCACAACAGAGTTGTTTATGGAGGTGTCCTCGCCCTCCAAATTTTCGCTGCCAGAAGAACTACTCCCTTCTGCCGCCATGGGACTAGTCGGCAATCCACCAGTAGAGGGAAGTGGTTGTTCCTGCTCGATGACCTCGACGGCGGCGCGTGAGGGAATACCAGTCGTCAAAAGTTGCAACCTGCAGGAGATGTGAGAATTGAGAGTGGTACACCCGTTCTCGCCTTACGGCTAGCCCAGGAACTTACTTACCCGCGCTTATGTATAGCGTCGTGTAATTCAGCACTCACTACAGTTCCGCGGCTTCCGTTGGGCATGGCATGGCACACACTCTTTTCGGCCGCAATTCAATTTTTAAATCAGCCAAGTCCATTTCTACTTGGCTTGTATCATGAACTTTGTCGGGTAGCGTCGGACTGCATCATCTTGACGGGTGTTCCCTGTAACGTATGGCCGCTAGGATGTCACCAACGAGTCTGGTGGCGGCAAGTGTTTTTTTTGGCGTGTTGGTGGTAAAATTTGATTGAATGATTGAATTTTGACGTATGTGCACGTCAATTCATGAACATAACAAGCTGCAGCTTCTCAAGCATAAGCCTAGACACTGCGGAGACTCGTGCACGGAACGTTGGACAGGTTATGGCGAAGCTTGGCGTGGGAAGCTGCACCGCCACTTCGATCACACTGGCAGGTACTTAGCGCATCTCTTCCAACTCGAATTTGTTTCTGACGCTCCAAGTGAAATCGCATGATCTTGTGGTGGTTCCGCGACCAGCCTATGCCCCGAATTCTAGTCTCCACCTACCCAGACCTATGGTTTGAAGGAAAATCCTTCTCATCACAGGGTCAACGCCGATCGAACAAGAAGACGTTGATTTTTTTCTCGTCCTTCCGTCATCGAAGTCTTCATCGTGGAATATGTCATAGTCAGAGTACCGTCGGCGGAGCTCGTCTAGATCTTTCTTGAGCCATTCAACCTCCGAGTTATTGGGAATAAGTAGGGCTCGAAGTTCCGAACACATTTCCAACATAAGTACAAATTTTACTTGGCACGAGGATTTATAATTCGTCCAGCCGCCTATATGGATTTTGGGGTGCGTAAGATTCAACCTTGGGTTTGCATTTGCAACGCCGTTTTGCTTCTTGGATTGGAGGATAAGCGGGAAGCTGGATTTGTATTATACTGCCAATGCATATATGTTCTCATGCCTCGAACTTCCATAGTCTCCCCTGTATGTACCTTGAGGTATTCTCTTGCAGACAAACCGAGGTTCTTGCAGCATCCTGGATACGTTCGTGGGGTGTAAGGGTCTGCAATGGGGCACTAGTATGAGGCTACTTTCTAGAGTGACGCGGTAGATGTACAAGATTGAGTAGTAGTTACTGTTTTTGGTAGTCACGTTTTTCTTCTAAACCTCCGCCATCAGAATCGAACTGCAGTCAGCTCCGTCTCGATTTTTGTTGGGAGCAGCTTGTAAAAGAAGTTGGAGGACACCCTCGCATATATCGACGAACTTCGCGGCCCAGCATGAGGGATGCCAACGTTTTTGCATTCCGCAAGGCCATGCCTCGAATGGTCAGTTCAATAGCTCTTCTTTTCAACTCAAGCCTAAACACGCAAAACGTTTCTAACAGAGCTGGTCTCCGCGTAATCTGTACAACCTCTGGAGGCGCTCCTGCGCAGCCGAGGCCGAGGCCATTGACTTCACCCGCTCGCCTAAGACGCTGTTCCAACAGCGCTGGATCTCGAAAGCCCTCGTGCGTGCATACCATGGCGACTTCATCAACGAGAAAATATTCAAGCGGTGGTACCTCCCTGACACACTTCCCGACGTGCGGCCTCGTCAGCACGCGCTTTCCAAGTAATGGTGATCTCGACGCGTTTGCCGGACGTACTGAACAGTTGCAGAGAGCGAAGAAGAAAGCGTATGACGAGCAGAAGAAAGGATTGGCTCCTGTGGGCAGTTTGATGCTTGCAGAGGTGGAGAGACGCATTGACGTGTTCATCTTCCGGTGCTGTTTTTCGCATAGTGTCTATGAGGCACGGAGACTTGTCATTCATGGATCCGTCCTGCTAAATGGCAAGAAGGTGCGCTAGTCTTCTTCCCTGCTCTTAAATTTTGTGCACTAACGCTCAATTTTTAGCACACGAATGCCAATACGCGTCTAGCCCCAGGCGACATGATCTCGGTTGACCCTGCAGCTATCCGTTTCCTCCAAGAGCCCGGCTCCTCCATGACAGATTCTGAAGGTGAACAACCCTCAGACTCCGAGCCTAAATCCGATTCCTTGGATCCCTCCCAGCCCAATCCTTCCGCAAAAATCGCTTCCACAAAGTCCTCGTTAACTCCTTTCCACCTCCCATCATACGCATCTCCATTCATATTCATTCCTGCCTATGCAGAAGTCTCAGTTCCCTACCTGCAGCGCCATATATGTGCGCCACCCAACGGCACGCCCAGGATACAGTGAAATTCCAACTCCCTACGATGCTGATGGTGAAGTCATTCGGCTGGCATGGGAATGGTACTCAAAGATGCGACCAAGGACCAGGAGTAAGAGTCCAGATGGCAAGGGAACCAGAGAACCGCAGGGTTGGCGGTCAGTAGGTGTGTGTGGCTAGGATATGTCACATGACACATAGGAATTCCAGATAAATTCAATTAATCTAGAGTGTTCTTTCTACGTAGAATGAGGTCTACGCGGGAATGAAATCTCTTGACCAAATACTGCTTCCTTGCTTTTACTTCATAAGTACACAACGACTAGTGCTCGTCGTAGTCATTTTCTCGCGCCCACTTACTTATACCCTTACAGAATTACGAGCCAGAGGGGCTTATCCATCGTGCGGTGGAAGCGCTTATTGCGCATCTTCTAGTTCTCCCATCTTCTCGCCTCCCGCCGAATTTTCCTTTCCGAGTCCCGACAGTGAACAGAGTGCACTGAAGCAAAGCCGAGCTCGGCACTGGGATGGTGGTTTCCACGAGTCGCCAGGAAGATCTGGAAGCGGGTTTTCGACATATGGAAAGTAGCGTATTTTCTATCTCTCCGTGAAGTGTGGAAGGTGTTTCGACACTAATTTTCGTCGGGTCCTTGGAAATGTCGCTGTCCGAATCGTAACCAAGCCATCCGAATATTTATGAACATGGCTACTGATGGGTCTTATTGAAGAAGAAAAGAATCGTGAGAGGATGTCAGCGGGAGCAGCGAGACAGCTACCTCGGCGTTGTAGATCCAGCTGGTGTTAAAATAAGTTTCGAACGGACGCTAGGTAAGTAACCTAGCTAGGTGCGAAAAAGGAAATCACCGTTGACGAGCGACGTCGTAATTTCATGGACATATGTCGCGCATCAGTGTAGCTGCCTGGGGATATTGACGACGACTCCATAACATCGATGGAACGACTATTTCGATACCTTACCCGTGGCAACTCGTCACAAGCAATTAACTCCTATTAACTTACCCTTACCGACCGGAGCCGAAACAACCACTGTGCCTCTGATTTTGGACAGAACCAAGATGAGCTTGATTATACCGCTTAAGACCCTATAGCGACACTGGCCTTCTCTCGGACACAATACTCTGCAAAACTCTGCCTGGCGCAAACTCAACCGTCACTGACTACAACGTGCGCGCTTTCATTCGTGATTTATAAGAACTGACTGAGTGCAATGCTAGAGAATACGCGGCAGCACCTAGCTGTTGAAACTGTTGAAACTGTTCGTCGACTCGAGCCTGAGTCAACCAGAGTCAACCTCGAGTCGTACGTATCGTACAATTCTATCTACGACACAAGATTTACTGTCCCAGCTAATGGCATTAATGATATACTGCGCATATACAAAGGTGAGACTTATCAGTGATAAGACTTTCTTGAAACTTCACCCTCCTCTGTGGCACGAACGCTGGTGCTTTCATCCGTGCCCATATGCGCTTCGTCTTCGGTGAAGACTGAGGCTGGGGAGAAGAAAGGCTTCGTGCAAACCTATGCAGACCTATCATGTGTCTCGAGTATTAGATTACTCAAGGATCACTCCCTATTACTCCACGATTCAGTGAAAGATTGTACGTTTTGCCGGAGCCGCAACTTGTGGTGTGGTTGGAAACCAGATGGGGTCTCTGGAAAGGCTACCGATCTCACCAGATTTATGACGGGGAACTTAATATGTTTGACGTGATGCCATATGTGCGGTACCGAACACCTCATTCAGCTCGGCTAAATCACTTTTTAGACGTGGCAATTATCTCATCAGACATGTTCTGTCCGGTAGTGAGAAGTTATGAGCCCATCTGCTAAGTAACTATATGATATGACGCCTGGCTAACACCTCCCAATATTCTAGACTTTTAGTAGGCCCATTTGTCGACTGAAAATGCTCTCAGCGGCCCATCTGTGATCGACCTGCCAGCACAACCCACGTTGAACTGGCCCCGTATTATTCTCATCATTCATATTTATTTGCCCCTTTAGTGCGTACGCTTTCCTGCCTTCCTGCCTGCTCCTGTGCTCTAACCTGTGATAATTACTACTTACATAGTCCCGCCTGAGATGACACCAGCAACCGCTGACGGCTGCTTGAACCATTAGCGCATTCCATCAATTTGCACCTTCACCATTGCTAAATCCAAATCTTCTCCGTTCCAAAGCACCCCAACTGCACCGCACCACCACATACTGACCATTAACTCATCAATTTGGGCTCGTTGCGCCCCAAATTTACTTGTTTCCTCTAACACACATGTCCAGTATCAGAGACAACAACAGTATACTCAATCCGCCCTCCGGCACTGCGTTCTCCGATTTCTTGTCGACCTGGAATGACGGTCACGTCGCGCGGTGGCTCACCAATATCCACTGTAGCGCATTTATCGAGACATTTAGAAACCATGGTATTCGTGGTGATCTTTTGTTGGAGATAGATCAGGACATCCTCAAAGATATGGGGGTTACAAGCATCGGAGACAGGCTGCGGATTGTGAATGGAGTGAAGGGTCTGAGGAACAGATGTTTACTCCCGGATGCGAACCCTTCGGTGTCTGCCATCGCGCACTCGCGGCCGTCGATGAGTTCTCTTGAAATACCGCCACGAGAGCCTCGCATAACGAACGCCACTTTTCAATCGCATTCACGCTTACCCCCACGAGAATCCTCATCGAACAGGCCCGATCTTTCCCATATAATCCGAGAACGTCGATACGGTGGCTCCATATGCAATGCGCCCGCCATTCCCCCACCCCCCCAAACCCGTCCGTCCGGACAGTCCACTACACTAAGAAGTGACACGATTACGCGGTCATCGTCACTGCCCCTTTCCCCCGCGCGGCCACCTCGGCCTCCAACCACGCGCGCGGGCCCACGCACTCTCGATCCCCTCATCATTCCACATACACGCACACCCAAGAAAGCCCACCCAGCCAACCACGCCAACTCACCCCTCTCCCCAGCACCCACGTCCGCAGGCTCCAACACGCAGACAATTTCTCCCGTAAACTCTCAGTCCAACCGCTGGTCAACTTGTTCCTTTGGCCTGCCTGCAAATCCACGATCCCCCCCACCCAACATGAAACATCAGATTCGATCACCAACACCACCAGTATCGCGACCGCCGCCATGCGCTGCCAACCTTGTAAGCAACAGGAATATCTCGTTCAATAGCATTACTTCGCCCCGCGAGCGAACGCCCACGGAAGGGAATCTCGCTCCAAGGCCGTCGACGCCTGGAACGTTTGCATGTCCGTCCGCGCGAGCACCTACGTCGCGTAGCTTGCGAACCCCCGGTCAGCATGGCTTTCCACTTTCACCTATCATTGAGTCGTCACGATCGTCATCACGATCGTCGTCAACCCTTACAGCGTCGCTTAGGCGTCGTTCATTCAACCCTGCTTCTCACGCTGCCGCACCATCCCTGGATGAACTCCGTCACAAACTGGTCAAATTCATCATGCCAGAAGAAGGGCAGTCTTATGTCGTCGATGTCGCAGACTGTGCAGACGGCATCGAGATAGTGGAGAAGGTCCTGAAGAAGGCTGAAAAAGCGGGCTTGCGGAGGAACGATGCATCCGATGTCATGGGCCCTGTTAATATGGATGGTGGAGGATTCAATGTGGACGGATGGTCTGTATATCTCGAGTGGGACGATGCCAATGACTCGGGTGTGTTCCCTGTCAGTCTTATCTTTTTATTCAAACTCTGATATCTATACAGGGGACCCACTCTCCGAAGCAGAGCTACAGGCAGTGTGCCATAGTTCATCCTACTACTCGGTCAAAGTACGCGGGCTAACACTGCGTAAAAAGACAAAACGATCCAAAGATCTCCACCAAATGTTCGGCGAAAACCCACCCCGATCCCTCATCAGCTCCACTCCCCGTGTCCTCCGACCGAGGTCGCCCGAACCCGATATCGCCGCATATGCCAGGGCTATCAGTGAATTGCAAAGCAAGAAGTCGCGCACCATCAAAGGAGCCACCACAATCAGCGTCCGCAGTGTGCATGACCCCCCATCGTTACTGCAAGGCCGACCAAAAAAATTACACCCATCTGCAAACTCCGTTAAGAAGCACCCGAAACTGCGCAGTTTCCTCCGCCACGGGGCGATGGTCGCGGCGCACTTGACGGGACACTTTCCGTTTGTGGAGGGGGAGGTGTTGTGCAATGCACGGCGTGGGATGGTACTGTGTGCTTCGGACGTGAGTGGGGACAAGAGCGGACCACCACTTCCCTCGCGGTTCAGCGCGAGTACGCACGGCTCAAAATTGGAGCAGGGCTCGAGAATCTCGGTCACTCTGACCGGGCTCTGGGAGTCTATGAAACGCAGTCAACCATATAAAGGACCAGTGTAGTATAATATCGACTCTCGAGACCATGTACCAATAGTCTGATACCCATCTCCATCATCTTACACTAGTCTGCGCTCCGGCTTCCCGCTCTTGTGATTATTACGGTTGGTCCTGTCGAGGAACTCGAGGAATCGTTATTTGTCTGATAGTTGTTCCTGGTTAGAATTAGTTGTTTCGCAATGTCTCCAAGCCAACGATGACGCAAGTGCCCGCTCAAATATCCTGTTGCCAATCAGTGCCAATCTCCTTCATGCCCGATCTTAACCTAGGGGTGTCTCAATATCAGGCAATTTACCTTCCCAAGCAAATTGATCTGCATAAAGTTTGCTTGGATGGTCAATGATGCAATTCTAATTATAACCTCGAGACCGTAGCCATCCAGCTCCATCCAGTCACGACTCACGACTCATCAACGAGTGCGTCCTCATCAATTGCTGTCCCGTACCGGGGCCGTAGCTTATTGTAGACGTCATGCACCTCCAGCACATGATCCCCCACGCCTCTGCAAGGGCTAATCACCATACGTTCACCAATCTTCGCGAAGGGTCCATAACAGGTGGAATCGCATATAATTCAGACTCTATCGGGTACAACGCGGTGCCGTTGCATCCCCGCAAAAACCTCCATCTACCCAAACATCCGCATTACCTAAATGGTGGCGTGAGCAACAACAGACCAGAAAATCGGTGATAATTTCACCTCCCGGAACGTCATCCGTGGTCCACCACTTCGCCATCCACAGATGTCCACTGCAGATAAACGTCAAATTTGAACGCAAATCCTTGCTCATCCAACTCACTCATATGTCGCTCTGTCGCCTTTGACGTACTGTACAGAGTCATGAACAGTTGAGGAAAGAGGAAAACTTATTCGCGTACAATTGTGCTCTTCTTCCAGGATTTTATCCCAGAGCAAGAGGTAGATGAGGAAGTTGGAGACGTAGTGGTAACGGTCTTCGTCACGGTTGTGCTCGTTGCTATCGGACTAACAATAGTCGTCGGAGAGCGGTTTTGAACCAACGCATTCTTAACAGACTTGTCGTAGCGATTGTTCGCTGAAGGAGTCAAATCATTCACTGGACTTGATTAGTCCTGGAACACGAACCATACGCCTGTGAAACGTCCCAAAGCATGACGCCACCAAATGAGGAATATTGAGCCATAGTCTCTCGGATTATTGTTGACAGCCTCCAAGCATCGACATAGCCCGATCCCGCTGACGGTGAAGCCGGAGCGCCGATGTATATCTTCACGTCGCGATTAGGAGAAATGGTCTTCGCCCAGTGGTCCCTGCCCGCATATTGATATATGAGACTCGATCATACGAAGCAATGCGTACCAAGTGCCAAAGTTCCACGCCTGGGAAATTGCGGATCAGAAGCAGATGCTAATGAACACGATTTGACTTACATCAGCGTTATTGTAGTTTTGCAGACCGCACCAGTTATTGTCTGTCTGCGTGACAGAGATTCCTCACGACATGATCGCTCACTTACAAAATTGAACATAGATAGCATCGAATCCTACGGCATTGAGCGTATCGCCCAAATACGCGTCTGGGAAGACACACTGAGGGGCTAGCAGGGGAGCAACCATTAACCATCAATTAATACAATTTCGGTTGTTGCACAGTAAGCACCTGCGGTGAAATAGAATCTATGATGGCGTTAATGTGTTGAAGAGGGGGATCCGATCCGACGTACTTCTTCTTGCTAGTGTCCATCAGCTTGCGAAGTGTATTCAAGAACGCTGCATATCCTGTCTGGGAACCACCCTCGATGTCCATATCAATGCTAGCATTCAAATCAGTCCACACTCAAATAGTTCCGTGATGGGGAAGTTCTTACCCATCAAGTACCGCAGTTCCAAAGGGGCGGGTGGAGCTCGTTCCACCTAGAAAAATGTCCCAGATAACCTGAGCATATTCAGTAGCCTGAGCATCGTTCTGGAACCCAATGCTTCCAGTGGCGCCACCGATCGAGAGAGTAACGATCTTGCCAGCAGTTTGACATTCTTCGATATCCGATGCAAGGAAAGAACAATCGAGGAGTTGCGTTCCCGCAAACTCCACGCTGTTACCACTGTTACAAGTCTCGATGCGCACGTGCATGAGGACGGCAACAATGAGAAGAAGCCGGAATACATACATTGCCGAGGTTTATGGAGGGCAGGTCACCCTCCCCATGGAACTCGGTGAGAAATGCGATGGGAAAAATATCAACAACACTATCCTGAATCAATGCAAAGTCTAAACTCGTGGTTAGTCTGCAACAGTATGACAGACCTTGCAGTAATGTGCAAGCCGCTGCTGCCAGCGAGCTTTGTCATTGTAATGGGACGCCCCGTAGGAATTCTGACCCCAATATCTGTCGATGCAGTGAATCCCAATGAGACCCGTAAAGGTACGCATTTGTGCTCACACAGCCAACTGCACAGTCCCAGGTCATTAGTGTAAGTTACATGGCAGTAGGAGAGACTCACGTTCTTGTTTGACGAGATGTCAAAGGCGACGACAGCAGAGGCTGTCATACCATAAAGCACCGCCGAGAACATGACATGGACAACGTGCTTCATGAGTGCCATCGATGAAGTTGGGGCAGAATCATACTGCCTGGACAAGCTCCTTTATATCCTCTTGGAAGCCAGTTTCGCCGTGGAGTCGCGACGGAAGCACGATACGAAGATTGACAGCATTAGTAGGCCAAGGTACATGATGTACCTCGACTTGAACAAGAAAGTACGAACGTAACACGCCCAGAGAACGTGGCATCGAAATTGGGCCGCTCACGCAGGAAAGGCAAAGATGATGTACCAAGTAAGCAAACAGCTCGGACAACAGGGACAGATAATATAACGTTTGGCAATTAAACTTCTGAGTTGGCTTCTAGTGAAGATCAGAGTCTGGGCTCAGAATGTGTGATCCGCAGCGAAGCCGGGAAGGATCGCCTGATTTACAGAGTGGCGAGGGCTACGTGACGGTACATGGATCTGTGTCAAACGTCTATGCGTAGTGCCACTCGCAGTCCGAGTCGACTCGGAGAAGATTGCGATCTATTCTCAAATGCGTTGGGATTCTTATTTCTTTTCGAAAAAAACAAAAACAAAAGCTATTGCGTGGCCTAGTACCAGCGTCAGAATGGACAATATGACAAGGAACGAGATTCACCTCTTCCTGCAACTCTTGCTCGATAGGCTCGATCTCAACCTGGATGTAATACTAACTGGTTGCTTAAGAATTTCGGTATCAGCGCTTGCTCCATAATTCACGTTGGAATTCACATGGTGCAAATATTGTTAGGAAGACCTGGTGGTAAGTATGAGTACGGAATTGAAGGTGTTGCTCAACGCTATAGCCCGAAGCAGTACTAGTGATCCACTGAGTCATGTCGGAAGTTTCCAAATGTGCCTTGCAAGCCTCTTGAGGTAATTGCAAGACCCGAAAATTTTCCGGGTTGGGAGGGACTTTGTAAGCGCGTTGCAAGGGCCGAGCGAGCGAGTGGCTGTAAATAAACCTTTTGTCCCTGCATCCCGGTTGCAATAATCGATTGACGTCATTTGAGGGTTACGACCAGTCTACTAGGCCTGCCTGATCTCGCGGCAAAGTAGGGTGCCTGACAAAGGACGAGTTGACTAGAAGAGATTTTTGATTGCAGAATTGTGCATGATAGTACCAGATGCGCATTCTTTCGAAGCGGGTCACAGAATGAAGGTTATGGCGGGCGCCAAGCTGCGAGTCACAGCGTGTACGACAGGGAGCTGACAAGAACCGCGGACAAGCGCCTACATGAGTTGGGTCATGGGCAGAAAACCAGTGGTACTTACCACACATGAGATCCACGACGTGACCATATCCCATAAAAGTACGCTGCGAGGGCACTCAAGATTAGTATCGGTAGTGGCGTTCTTCGCAGACGGTCGAAGGGTGGTTCACCAGACGGCACTGCGCATTTGGGATGCAGTGCAAAATGGAACATTGGCAAGAGAACCATTCGAGGAACACCGGGGCAGGGGGTTGCCATACCACCAACGACAGACGAATTGCGAGTGGTGGAGATTTAAAAATCATTGCATCTGGGACGTCGAGATCTGTAAGCAGAAAGTATTCGATCCCCTGGTGAAGCATACAAACGGGCCGACGGTGTGCTCGGTGTGCTTCTCCCCCGAGACTCACCAGCTCAGGCTGTATGTAACGTTGGTCCTTCAATTTTGGACGGTCCACCTGCCCTCTAAAGATGTTAACCGAGAGGAGTGCAGATCAGAGTCTGAGCTCAGAATCTGCGGTCTGCGCGAAGACGAGGAGAATCGTGCCATCATCACCGAGCAGCGAGCGCGACATGACGTATTACATGAATCTGTCAAGCCTCTATACATATTGCCACTCTCAGTCCGAGTCGACTCGAGCCCAGGTTGGAGACTCAAGATTCTCAAATGCGTTGTTGCGCAGGCTAACCGAAATACCAGATTCAGAATGGAGAATATGACAAGGAACGAGATTCACCTCTTGCTGCGAGGACCTGCGACTCTTGCTCGATAGGTTTGATATCTGCCTAGTAGCTAACTGGTCGCTTAAGATCTAGAATGTCTGTATCAGCGCTTGCTCTGCAATTCACGTTGGAATTCAAAGTCTCCATGAAAATGATTCAACTCAACACTAACCGTTCAAATATAGTCTGCCACGCATTACTCAACAACGCCGTCCGTGATTATGACATCCTGCTCATAACGGAACCATGGTATGGTGACATCGGAAATAACACAAAGGGCCCAGCGTCGTTAACCGGATGGCAACCAATCCTACCATTACCGTCTGTTCCCCCGAATGTCATTCCTCGAGTCATGGCATACATCAAAAACAGACCTGACTTCATGGTTACCCTTCGTTCTGATCTCGCAATGGATGCTGACATACAAATTTTACAGATCAACCAAGGAACACATCCGCCTACAATACTTGTAAATATGTACAACCAGAAAGCAGGCGAGGATCCATTGAACTGGTCAGCAGACCGTCTTTTCAACATCGAACTACCAAACGGAATACCGGTCATCATCTCGGGAGATATGAACCTACACCACCCAATGTGGTCAAACACAGCTGAGAACCCCAATCCTCGTGCAGAAGCTTTCGTTGACTGGCTAACTGACCAGGGATTCATCATGCTAAACGAACGTGGGGCAACAACATACTTCGCACACGACGGTGAATCCTCGTCGGTCTTGGACCTAACATTCATCAACGACAGAGCATACGAACTCGACACGATCAAGGACTGGTCAATCGACTACGGTAAAGCCTACGGATCAGACCACGCAGCGCTCACATGGACACTAGACCATGAACGTGTCCCCATCGAGAATATCACGGCTCAACGATTCAATTGGAAAGATATCGATGAAGACACGATCAAAGCATGGAAAGGAGCGTTCATGAGAGAACTGACGGATAGAGAAGACGCATGGATACCGCTACGTGTTTCAACTCTTCCTAATATTGATGATATTGAAAGAGCTACCACAGCACTACAAGATGCACTGGTGCAAGCAACAGAAAGCTCGGTCCCCATCCGCAAATCTAGTGCACATGCGAAACCATGGTGGACTCCCGACCTCACGCAATCACTCAACCGCATTGCAGAAACTCGTGAAAGGGCTAGACAACATCTCATCGATACAGGTTTTGCTGACCACGACCTTATCCAACAGATCCGCCAACTACGCAATCAGTTCAAACGGAAGACACGCCTTGCTAAACGACAGTGGGCAAACGAGACTCTGGGAAAAGCCACTCCCGATGACGTCTGGAATTTCACTCGATGGCCCAAAGGGATAAGAAACTACCCCACGCCACCACTCAGACGAAACAACGGTCAAAACATGGCAATAACACATGAGGAAAAGTGTGCTACACTACGAGGTGAACTGTTCCAACCGCCCCCGAATCTAGACTTAGCTGCACCAGATTTAGAACAGGACCTCCCGGATGACATCCCATGGGAACCCATAACATATGCCGAAGTGAAGAATGGTATATACCGACCAAATCGCAAAAAAGCTCCTGGACCCAGCCAAATCAACTACATGGCTCTCCGATGGGCCTGGGAGGTTGCATCGGAATATATCTACTTACTAATCTCACGCTGCGCAAATGTAGGCTACCATCCCATCGCCTGGCGACGCACAATCGCAGTAGCCCTGCGCAAGCCCCGAAAACCAGACTATTCGAACCCGAGAGCCTATAGACTAATCCAGCTAGAGGAATGTCTTGGAAAAGTCCTCGAAAGCGTACAGGCAAGTAGATTAGCATATCTCACAGCAAAATATCTGCTGGTACCTTCTTCACAGTTCGGAGGCCGCCCAGGAAGCTCCACAGTCGACGCAGCCCTATCATTCGTTCATGATATCGAAGCAGCCCGTAATCACGGACTTGTCACGTCGTGCATCACATTCGACATCAAAGGATACTTCGACTTCGTCAATCATACACGGCTACTCCGAATACTTCGGGACAAGCACCTACCGCTCCCTATGGTAAAGTGGGTGAAATCCTTCCTCAGCGAACGACAAGCAGCAATCTGCCTGGACGGAGTACTGTCACCATCGGAACCAGTCGAAAACGGTATACCTCAAGGATCCCCAATATCACCGGCCCTTTCGATTATCTGCACAAGCCCACTAAACGAAGCCTACAATGCGAAAACTCGAGCTCGTGAATTACGCCCGGACAAAGCCACACCGACCACATTAGCATGCTACATCGATGATGGAAACTTATATGTCTCCTCTCCATCCTTGGAGAACAATGTCGCAATACTCCGGGAGGAGTTCATTTTTGTGAACAATTGGCTTCGCGAAGCTGGACTGATGGCGGAAATTGACAAATCTGAGCTCATCCATTTCACATGGCGTCGTGCACCGGATCGACCACCTATCCTGCTGCCTAGTGACGAAGGACAGGTGACAATTAACCCCCGTGACTGTATCAAATGGCTTGGTATATATTTCGACTCTAAACTCTCTTTTCGCAGGAATGTATGTGAACTGGCAGGCAAAGCGGAAAATATCGCCCAAGGACTACAAATGCTTGCAAATACGGTAAGAGGTCTCTCGCAATCACTATTGAGAACTGTATACTCGGCTTGTGTCCGCAGTGTAATGACATACGCAAGCCCCGTTTGGTGGACGGGCGTGAAAACCCATGCAAACATGCTTACCCGCGTCCAAAACAAATCCCTTAGACATATCTGTGCCGCTTTCCGAACCACCCCAATAAAGGCCCTAGAAATAGAGACATCAATCCCCCCCATCAACCTCTTCCTCGAACACGCAAACGATAACGCCGCCACTCGACTACTCAAACTCCCCTCGTTCAACCCAATCCTACAGAGACTTGATCAACCCTGGCGACAATTTAACCTCGCTGACCCCCCACCCGCTCTTCCCACCGACAAATACCGTCCTCGCAGCCGCAAACCACCAAAATCGACCAGACTCACCCGTCTGTCAAAACGAGCATCCCCGAACGCGGAACGCATCAACATATTTGCGCTGCCACCTTGGGCAAACACGAAGGAAACGTACCGCGGCCGCCTAACGATCTCGGACAAGCAAAGAGGAGGCAAGAAAGAAGCCGCCAAAGCGCACATACAAACCGCTCGTAATCTACGAACGGAGGACACGCACCTTCTCGTTTACTCAGACGGATCGAAACAATCAGTCAGAGAGGAGGAAAGAGCTGGAGCAGGATGGGCCGGCTATCACAGAGGAAGAGAAGTCTTCTGGGGTCAGGAAGGAATGGGTCCCAAAGCAGAGGTGTATGATGCAGAGATGGTAGCGCTCCTTCGAGCAATATCGCGAGCTATCAGCTTCGCGCAAAATTCCCAGGTGACCCATTTACATTTCTACGTCGATAACAACTCTGTGGTGCAGGCTGCATATGCAGCTGCACCCGGACCCTCACAATACATTGCATTACAGATCAGACGCTCGATCGAAGACTACCTAACCACATCCCCCCTCCATCATGTCCAAATTGCATGGATCCCAGGACATCACAACATCATCGGCAACGAACGTGCCGACGAGCTTGCAAAAGAAGCCACTGGACGTAACGACTCGTACCACTCGACCTATGCAAATGCGCGCCGAAGAAACAAGGAAGGGATCTTGCAGAAATGGACAGAGAGTTGGAATAGAGACGTGGCAGCACAGACTGGACGCTTCGCTCTCGCAAATCGACTCCCACCAACGCTCAAACCCCGCCAACATTTCACTCACACTCCTCGAGAAGTATACGGCCGTCTTATACAATGCCGCACAGGACACGGATTCATGGGAGAATACTACGCTGCATTCGTTCCAACCGAACCCACCCTCTGCCCATGTGGAGAACCACGTCAAACACGAGAACATATCATACGTGACTGCCCACTATTTGCGCGACAACGCATCCATCTGCGTGAGGTATCACACAACATCATACTCAACGAAATTTTGGGTACGGAGAAGGGCATAAAGGCACTAGCGAAGTTTATTCAAGAATCCAGCGCATTCAAGAAGGTCGCACTGGAACGAGAAGGAGACTGGGAAGAAAGGAGAGGGACAGAAGCCTGAGTAAGGGCAAAGAAGGAAGTGACGAGGGAAGGAGGAGACGAGGAGAGATCAGAAGGAGGAGGAAGGAGAGAAAGTGTATCATATTATACTAAGCCTGGACACCAAACGAGCCCACACGCACACCAAAACTCATCAAACGCGGACCGCTTGGCTATTCGTACTATACCTACATCCCTCACCCTGTTACAACACTCCCCAGCACAGCCCTAACAGGGCACCGCGTCTTAACAGCTCACTTTGTTTGTTGCGGTATATAAATATAGAATTTCTCTCTCTCTCAAAGTCTCCATGGGCTAAAATTAGCCTCCGGCACACTGGGTTTGACTTTGCGCCCCGATAACGCCGAGAAGTCAATAACACGCCACCGGCAATTCGCTGTGTCAAAATCTCTCCCAATGGAGAGCTGCTTACAATCGAGAACACACTTCCCGCAGTGATCCAGCTGTATTCCTCAGGCAACTCCTACTTTACGCACCGCAGTAAGGTGAATATGGAACAAAACCTATATCCGGAGGCCTTTCACGATAGAAAAGGTGCAGGCGATTTTCGGCATTGTTCTAGCAAGTGTGCTGACACTGCCGATCCCACTAGGTCATTGAGCTCAACCCTTCGTCTTATGTTAGGTACGAACCATGCTCTCCAAGTTGGATGATTCAGCCGTACAAAGTAAACTCATGCGCTGACTTGAAGATGATTAACTCACTCCAGGGCTGCAACAGAAGTGTGGTCAAGACCAGGGGACATGTTTTACCTATGATGCCAAGGCAGATGGGCTCCAATACCTGCTAATCATAACGAAAGATAAGCCGATTCAATTCTCGTCGGCAAGGCCCACTCGGCGGACATTCTTACCCATCCGTCCGTGGAATCGTTATGGTATCGAGCTGCCTGACTTTTCAGACGAGACGCAGAGCGTGGTCGATTGGTCCGAGCCTGGGCCCCTGTCAGGTAATCCGCTCGGTTGGTCTCCTGGAGACAATGACCCGGCCGATTCGGAGTCTCATACGCGAGAGTTGAGGTTGCTCGTTTGCCTTGGGGCAGCCCTTCGGGGCGCTTTTGCTAGCGCAGCAGCGTGGTGGGGAGTACTTGAGAATCCCGTCGGATAACTTTATCATTGCATGAGTCAGGGACATGGCTTCAGTTCATGACGTGATGGACGTCACAACGCTAGAGATAATGCATGCATGCATTTCGAAGGGGAGAGTTTTCTAACGCGTTTTTCATTCATACCTTAACAGTACCTGCATGGTACAAACTCCCTAGGCATTTGTAATATACCGCATTCTCACTTACAACAGGGAAGCAAACCACTACGATTGCATTATCGAATGGTTGCTGAGAGAGCACCGGCAGAGAAAGCATTATTTCTCCCTACCGCACCAATCACTTAACATATCAATCGTGGTGCGTCCTGGTCAACTGTGATCGGCGCGGCTTCCACCCGCAACGGGTCATGCATGCAGGAACCTCGTGCTTGTTGAGCTTCGGGATTAGCTCTGCGGCATGTTCATGAACCGATGACCGCAAGATCCCCAACAGGTTCTGACTCGCCAGTGGGAAGAGTTTCATCTGTCCATATTGTAGCTGGGTCGGGTCATTGTCTCTTGCACCTCGGATATATCATTCATTGAAATGTTTCAAGCCCTCGTGATGACTCTCACCCCTCATTTACTGCTCCCATTCACTAAGCGTTTGAAGCCGATTCGACTCCGTCTTCTTGCACGACCTCCATAGAAACATACCGGCCTCACTTCTTAGTTTTCAGGTTGATAAGTCCCAACCGCAGTACTGAAGGTTAATCCTATCTTGTTGAGACTGTTTCCAACACAGTGAGATGGTTGCCTCGCGCCATGTATTTTGCCGTACAAGTTGTCGTGAGTGCTAGTGCCATTCTTGTGCAATGTCCATCAGAGACTTTCCCTGCCGCTCTGACTTTGCTGAACCTTCTGCAGGTCGATGGTCCCTTTGCCCCATTTCGAAGATTCTGGACAGCTGCATGGTGTGTTCACAAACAACATTGGGCTACTGGTAATTCAGGATAGGCTTCTATTGATTCGTTCAGCCTCTTTTACGATATGTGCGCTTATCTCTCGTCCTCGAGAATTTAATCACAGCCTCAGGACTTACATGCCACATCAGCATGCTCTTCCGCTGTAGACTTCTTTCGTGTAAATTCATCGTAGGCTTGACCAGAGTGACATCTCTCGGTTCAAACTTGCGCGTACCTCGTCCAGAAAATGGGGCTGACAATCTGCAATAGCGCTTCTGCGTAGTTTGAGGGTCACTCAACTATATTTACACCACAGGCATCTCGGCTTCGCCGGCGCTTCAGCAATCACCCAATTGCCACTAGGTGATGCCGCATTTTATGTAGCGCTCAGGGCTAAGGTTCTTGGCCTTGCTTGGATGGTGCGTGCCAATTACATTAAATGTCAACTTCTACTTACAGAGTCTTGCGAGGAAGATTTCAAAGTTCACAAGGTATTCAAGTTATAAGTATAGTTTATCCCCTCTGAAAGATTGTCTGTCCTTTCAGAAGTGCATAGGACAGAATCGTCGTGCCATGCAGTCATACAGCTACATCCGCCGCTCCTTCCAAAACTGTTAGCGCTCATTTGGCGGAGGCGAGTTACAAGTGCATTCGTAATCTTCCGTGCTGCAAGATTGAATCGGGTGGCATCGTACCATCAGATACCAGGCACAGCAAACCCTTCATTTCGTCAACATTTGGCAGCCAAGACTCTTTCTACCGTCTATATATCATCCTGACTCATAGAAAGTCGACTACACCATACCGTTACTGATGCCCAACCAAAGTCAGGTCATTCAAGAGTGCACTGGGGACAGTCGATGCCCAAGGCTACTGCTATCAAAGGGTAACACTGTCCTTTGTGATTTTTTCGATGAAGAACTTCCACCCGCTTGGCATGCTCCGAAATTCTTTATTTCGTTGGGTATCTTCAAAATGTGTTGCTTCCTATTTACCTGGCGCGGTGATCTGCGCTGGTTACACTCCCTCTTGAGAGAGGGAGATAACTGGGAACAGTTGCATGGTCATTATTTGACCCAGCTCAATCAATTGAGCACCGTGGTAAGTCGACGATAGGCATCGTTCATCTGAACTGATCGCACTAATTCGCCCTTGGCAGCAAGGACTCGTGCTTGCCACTGCGGCGGTCTTCATGTCATCAAATCCGCCACTTATGCAAGATGTCAACTATTCATCTAATGCATCTTACGCCTGTTTGGCAGAGTCGCTTGTCTTTTCGTTGTTTGGGCTGTTGTTCCAGCTGAAAGTATCTGCCAATGGATTCATTTTTCGAAAGCGTGAAGCTGCAAAAGTACGTCATCACGTTGTCGATTATCAGTGTGACAGGTCAGAGCTGACCTCACCGCAGGTCATCGTTGAGAGGCGCTGGAGAATTTTTTGGCACATCCTGGGTTTGGCGGTTCCAGTCATTCTCTTTGGCATATCAGTGGTGCTGATGATTGCTGGTGAGCAGTTCACCTTGTAATGTGTGGTTGCGACTTACGCCGTTCATCGTCAGCCATCGTGCTCACAGGGTTCTCGTCTCACTCCAAAACCGTCCAATTGTATCTGAGCACAACGTTTGCTTTCCTGTGCGCGTGTCATTTGGTGTCGATTCTGGCTTCCCCATTATACTATCATTTGTCGAACTTATGTGTCCACATTCTGAAGACCGCGAGTGGTCAGGAAGGGGGAGCGAGCGCCGCTTGAAACAGTGGAGGTTGGGTGTTTAGTCCATCTACGTCAGTACTCTATATGCCTTATCGACTTCGCCAGGTTGGGAAGGCAATATCTGGCGATATTGTACAATAAAGTAATACGAAGAACCTCAATTAATGATACCGATTTCTTTTCTCGGAGCTATTCGGTCGTTTTCTATGAGCGAGCGGATTTGGCGGTAAATGAAACCACCTCGCACTCCTTGCTAGAAGTGCTTTCGTTGCGCAGGAGATTCTGAATTGCACCTGAAGACACGGCACAGTTGGGTGGTTAGTGACATACGGAGAATGACAAACTGAAGGAGATAAATGAAGCAAAACAAACGCGGACTTCCAAACCGTGCAACCACTGCCTCAGACCTCTGCATCGCATTTATTACTACAGGAGTCAGACGGAGGCGTAGGAAGACATTCTCACTTATGAAGTCAAGGCAGACAGGTTTCAAGATCTAGACTTGTTAATCGCTGCATAAGACAAGCTGATTCAGTTCTCGCCGCCACGGCCCACTCAGCAGACATTCTTGCTCTGTCCGTGAAGTTTCAATCGTTACGACCATGGGCTGGCTGAATTTACAGACGATGCACGGAACGTGGACGTTTGGTCCGATCCTGGGTCTCCGTTAGACGAATCACTGGGTGAAGCACTCGAGTATCCTGGAGAAGATGACCCAGTTGATTCGGAGTCTAGCTCGCGGGGCATTGTTTGCTTTGGACAGCCTTTTGGCGCAGCAGAGTGCAGGGGACTCTTGCCTCAGATCACAATATCATCGCGCAAGTCAAGGACATGACTGGCATGATGGACATCAGGACGCTCATGCATATCGTATGCTGACTTACAACTGGAATAAAAACCACTACATTGCATTATTGAATCGTTGCTGAGAACACCAGCTGAGAAAGCGTTGTTTATCAATCGCGGTGCGTCCTGGTTAACTGTACGTCATTGCTTCCGCCCGCAATATATCATGCCTGCAGGAACCTCGCGCGTGTTGAGCTTCGGAATTAGTTCTGCAGCATGCTTATGAACCAGCAGCTGCAAGATTCCCCAAGGGTTCTGACTCGTCAGTCGAAAGAGTTTCATCTGCCCACATTGTAATTGGATCGGACCACTGCGTCCCTCGCACTTCGGATATATCATCCATTGGAATGTTCCCGGCCCTCATGCTGTTTCGCACCCCTCATTTACGGCTCCTATTTACTGCGCAAAGTTCTCACTTGAAGTCGATTCGACAAACACACCAGCCTCACGTCTTGGCTTTCAGGATGAATCAAGTCCTGGCCGCAATGCTGAGGCCGCCACTGTTCCCAACACAGCGACATTGCCTCGCGCAACGTTGCACGTGTGTTTTGACGCTAGGTGATCCCAGATCTTATGAGCAGCGCTCAGACAGGCAATTCAAGGATCAAGCCTTGCTTCGACGGTGCGTGCTAATTCATACATATTCCTGAAATGAACTTCTGCTTATGGTCTTTCTCAAGGTATTCAAGTTACGAGCATAGTTTATCCCCTCTGAAATGTTTGTCCGTCCTTCCAGGAATGCCTGGGCAGAATCGTCGCGCCACGCAGTCATACAGCTAGATTTGTCCCTCCTTCCAAAACTATTAGCGCTCATTTGGCGGCGGTAAGTTAGACATGCATTCGTAATATTCCGTGCCGCAAGACTGAAGCAAAGTAGCATCGCGCCATCAAGTGATACGCGCAGTGAACCCTTGCCATCGGCATGAGGCAGCATGCACCCTTTCCACGGCCTATATATCCTCGCAGTAGATCCTAGCTTAGAGACAGTCAATTACCCCACCATCCTTTATGTCGAACCAAGCTCAGAATCTCCAAGTGTCCAGTAAGGGCATACAGCGCCCGAGGCTGGTACGGCCTGACAGTGACTCAGACGATTTATTTTTCCAAGGATTTCCATCCACTTGGGATCCTCCAACATTCTGTATTTCCAAGTGGGCCTTCAAAATATGCTGCGTCGTATTCACCTTTCACGGGGATCTGATCTGGTTATACTACCTTTTGAGTACGGGAGATAATTGGGAAGAACTGCATACTCAATATCTGAGCCTGCTCGGTCAATTGAGCACCATAGTAAGTGTTGACGATAGGGTTCGTTCATTCAAACTGATCGCACTAATCTGTCCTTTGGCAGCAAGGACTTGTGCTTGCCACTGTTGCGGTCTTCATCTCCTCAAATCCACCCCTTCCCCAAGATGTCGACTACTCATCCGGTCTATCTTATGCCTGTTTGGCGGAGTCGCTTGTCTTTTCGTTGTTTGGGCTATTGTACCAGCTACACGCATTTTTTGCCGCAACCCGTTATCAAAAGCGTGCTACTACAAAAGTGCGTCCCATAGTAGATTGTGAGGATGACAGGCCAGAGCTGACCTCGCCGCAGGTCATAATTTTCAGGCGCTGGAGAATTTTTTGGCACCTCCTGGGTTTGGCAGTTCCAGTCATCCTTTTTTTCATATCAGTGGTGCTGATGATTGTTGGTGAGCAGTTCATCTTGTACTTAATGCGTGATTGCGACTTACACTGTTCATCATCAGCCATCGGCTTCACGGGTTTTCTATCTCAGTCTACACTCGTCCAAACTTATATGACTTCAACATTGGCATTCATTGGTGCTTGTCATATGGTGTCGATTCTGAGTTCACCGCCATACCACTATTTGATAGACTTATGCACTCACCACTTTGGACGACAAGAGGGGGCGAAAGCGCCGCTTGAACATCCGGAGGTTGGGCGAGTGTTCTAGCAGGTGTGCTAATGGCCACGATCGATTATTCCTACAAATGGACATTGAGTACTAGTATCCCCTAGTTCAGTGGTAGTATCCGGACCCCTAGGCAGATGTACCTTCAAACTGTACACTCGGCTCGACAATCTCGATGCTCCCCGTTTCCACCACATCTACCTTGTTGAACGAGGTGCCGAATTGGACCATGACCGAGCCCAGGTTAGATTTATTGCGAGATCTCAAATTACCAAGTGTCTTTGACGCTCTGCCAGTGCGCTACTGTGATCGACACATTCGCAGAACTCCGGTGTAATGATTCCTCGTGGGATTCAGCCTGCCTTTTCTACGATATTCCACGTTTTTGGCGAAGTATGACACATGTACATACTACAGATGAGCATCTCCTTGCGTAAATCTAGTCGCGGAACCAACATGGAAGTGGCGGTACGCCGTGGCACATCGTGCGGTCAGTCTGTGTTCTTGTATTCTTCCGTCATTCATACATGATCTCAAGTTCTGTATGGTCACCACCATGCCACCCCACCCTCGAAAGAGCAAGGAGGTGTGTGCACGCCATCACTTATCTGATTTAGACGCACTCAAAAAGATCAAGGGATTGAGCTTCAACACCTGGGTCTTCTCAAGCTAGCTCGTCGCAAACTACAAGCTATTACCTCAAAAGTCAGTCTATTGCAAGCCGGCCCCCAAATGCATTTCTCTGCAGGCAAATATTTCTGATAACACCAAACTGACTGGTCATCCACGTCGTCTATCTACGGCTGACCTTTTACCTCCGAGTCCATTTCGAACTTTTTGGGCAGCCGCATGTGTTCCCAAAGAACATACATCTACATACATCCTTGTCCGGGAAAGTGGAGCTGACATTCCATAGTAGTGCTTCTGCATAGATTGAGGGTCACTCGACGGTATTTACTTTGCATATGATCAGACTTCTTGACTTGATCGGCACTTCAGCAAATCACCCAATTGACGCTAGGCAATTTCAACCCTTATGAGCGCTCAACACTCAGGGCTCAGGCAATTCAAGGATCATGCCTTGCTGGGGCAGTGCGTGACAATTCATACTTATGACCAGGGCCAAGGTAACTGTCTTACACGTAAATTACGTTGGTAGTTATCAAAGATGCGAATTTGTTTGTTATATTTACTAGATGAAGCTCTGTGGCTCGGGATGTTCCGTACAGAGCTGTCCAATGTATGTCACTGTGGCACTGTACAGAACCAAGTACATAGTTTACTGATAGAGTCTGGACTCTGCGATCATGTGCCAAGTAAATACAGTCGAGTGGCCCTCAATCTATGCAGAAGCACTACTGTGCCATCAGGTAACAGGTGCAGTGAACCCTTTCATTTCTTCGACATGCCCCTTTCCACTGACCTATATATCCTCACAATGACTTCTGGCTCAGAAAAGTCAATTACCGCCTGTTACAGCTGCTGATGCCCACCCAAACTCAGAATTTTCCAGTGTCCAGTAAGGGCATACAGTGCCCGAAGCTGGAACAGCCTGATAGTAACCCAGATGATCCATTCTTCCAAAGATTTCCATCCACTTGGAATCCTCCAACATTCTGTATTTCTAAGTGGGCCTTCAAAGTATGCTGCTTTGTATTCACCTTGCACAGGGATCTGGGCTGGTTATACGACCTCTTGAGCGAAGGAAATAACTGGGAAGAACTGCATACTCAATATCTGACCCTACTCAATCAAGTGAGCATCGTAGTAAGTGTTCACGATAGTGTTGCTTCATTCACACCGATCCATTAATTCGACCTTGGACAGCAAGGACTCATGCTTACCACTGTGGCAGTTTTCTTATCCTCAACTCCACCCATTCCCCAAGATGTCAATTACTCATCTGATCTATCTTATGCCTGTCTGGTGGAGTCACTTATCTTTTCGTTATTTGAGCTATTGTACCAGCTACATGCATTTTTTACTGCAACCCATTATAAAAAGTGTGCTACTTCAAAAATGCGTCATCACATAATAAATTGTGAAGATGACAGGCCAGAGCTGACCTCACCGCAGGTCATCATTTTCAGGTGCTGGAGAATTTTTTGGCACCTCCTGTGTTTGGTGATTCCAGTCCTTCTTTTTCTCATATCAGTAGTGTTGATGATTATTGGTGAGCAGTTCACTTGTACTTGATACGTGGTTTGCTTACATTGTTCATTGTCAGCCATCGGGTTCACAGGGTTCTTATCTCAGTCCAGAGCCGTCCAAACTTATATGACCTCAACGTTGGGATTCATTGGCATTTGCCAAGTGGTGTCGACTCTCGGTTCACCAATATACCACCATGTGATGGACTTATGGACCCATGTTTTGATGGCCAACAGTGGTGGGCGGGGGAGAGGGGAAGGGGAGGAAGTGCTGCTTGAACCTTGAACTCATCTCGAGGTTGGTCGAGTGTTCTGATAGTTAATGATTGCTCTTGCAAATGGACATTCACTTGGAAGGAAGAAAATTGTTCCTTCTGTACTGTAATTTATACCAATCCCCTTGAATTTTGAGGGAAAATAGTGTGTATTTTCACCTCGCAACAAGGCGGCTGTCAAATGGATCTGTCCAAGAAACTAAAGTGTTCCTTCATCATAGCGTCTAAACGCAAAGAAGAATGGATTGTATCATAAGTAACGAAACAAGACGATCAAACATAGATATGGAGGAGGTAGGGGTAGGTAGGTAGCCGGCATCAGAGGACAGTAATAATAGGAATATTGAAAGATGTGCATAGAACGAAGGGCACATTAATATAGCGTGAAATCATCATGAACAATCAGTTCTTGTTTGTAATGCACGCCAAGTCAGAAAGGCGGGGTGAGACAAACCGAACTGACTCAAGAGACGCTACGTATACACCGCATTTGACTTTAGCACCTTAATATTCATACTTTGCTATGAACTGTCATCAGGCCTCTAGCAATCTCTCTTCTAGGCCTTGTCCAATTAGGTTGGTAAAACCGCTGTAAGTGAGGCGATCACGATATCGTGCAGGAGCCAAGACAGAAGTGTGATTGTCTTCCATGGCCATATCAGCTTGGTGTTAGAACGGCGTTTTTGAGACGTCCTCGACTCCTCATCAATTTGAATGAGTATAAGAGCCAGTTCGGCAACAGGATGTTGGCTGACATTTGGCAAATGTCAGGTGAGAGGTTTTTGGCTCGAAGCGTCCCAGACGTCGGACTTCAAACTTTACTTCTCCTACTTGTACCATGAATTCTCCCTACTTTATTGATTGTCATCGTCGCCAAAGAATTTGTACTAGTGTTGTTGCCCTCATCGCCATCTGTGCAAACTTCGCAACTGTACTCATGGCTCAACTTGAACCCGAGACAACACAACCAGCCAACAGCACAAAGGCACATTGGCAAGAATCGGAGGTGGATGTCCTACTTCAGCACTTGATCGAGAACCAGGCAGCAGGCGGTGATGGTGGAAATTTCCTGATGACTATCTTCAACAGCGCAGCGGCTGCTATCAACACTAATGAGGTGATTCAGACTATAGGCCCACAAAAGACGGGCAAGATGGCAAAGACAAAGTGGGCCTTGGTGCGTATATGATCTTATCTTGATTGATCATGGGTTGACCAGATCTTAGCTCAAAAAAACCTTCAATCAAATTGAGATCTACCACAATGTGTCTGGTTTCCACTGGGACAATGTACGAGGAGCTGGAATCGAGGGTGTTGCTGCCACCAGTGTCTGGGATGCGTATGTTGCACCAAAGGTATGTCACTATGGCACAGCGTGTTGGGACATGGACTGACATCGAAGTAGTCGTGAGCTACACTATGCCTTCTTCGCAACAAAGGATGGTCTCGGTATGATGACATGCAGACCATCCTGGGCGAGAACAGCAGTGCTCATGGACACCACTCTTTCCACCCTGCCACAGCAGCCCCCGCCTCTGTCAATATAGACAATGTGCTCAAGGGTGCTGATGGGAGCCTTGACCTTCTCGATATGGACATAGACCCTAGCGCCGCTGGCCCTAGCGATGTGCCAGACATGAGCGCTGACTTGATGATGCCCCCTAGCACCCTGTTCCATGGGACCTCTGCTACTACTGCTGGCTCCCAGTCCAGTAAACGCTTGCGCACCAATACCCTGCTTGACACCCTGGAGACGTCATCCTACAATTCCAATGCCACCCCCAAGTCCAGCTACACTGATAGTCACCACTCATCAACTCTCCCCCTTTCGCCAACATTGGTGCACTCATCCCAGTCACCAGCCTTCAAGAAGGCTCAAGTGTCGGCATATGACAGCGTGCAGATGGGGATGAGCAGCGCTGCCAAAATAGCTGCCAAGATTACTCCAGCGGCCGCCATCATGAACATGCAAGGTACTATCAATCGCCTCACCGACATTATCGACAAAAATATCGACAAAAATGTGGTCGCTGAGCCGGTGCCAGTTGTTCAAGTGGTTACCATGGTTTCTCATGGCCTGGCAATTATGTGCACTGGAGATGGAGACCTGTCAGTCGCTCAGAGAGCCAAGCTCTTGCGGATCTTTTCTCATTCAGGAGGCGAGAACAATCTCGCTGCTTACATTGAGCTGGAGGATGACTTTGAGATGCGCTGTGAATTTATCTTGGGACTCCTTGCATCTGTGTAGAGCTATTACCGCCTGTCACATTTATCGTACCAACATGTAGTATCCCACATCCTGTATTGTGCGTGTTTTGTATCATGATATATTGTACAAGTTCAACTATGTGCTACTAGTGAGAATTAGCCCAGTCCACCCTCATCCTCCGAGATACCTTGGTCTGATAGATCGTTGTCGTTGTCGTCATCTTCAAGAGCATGTCTTTCCCGCAAAATGTGTTGATAGTCCACCCACATTGCTTCAACAATGCCATCACGCATCAAATGTAGATCGTTGTGCACAGCCGCGTGGTCTTCTGCTGGTGCGCCCTCTGAGTTTGCAGCAGGTGCATCATCAGGCAAATAGTCTGCATCCGGCAGTCTACCTTCTGCAGGATCATGAAAGCAAATGAAATTGTGAATGCTGCACAATGCAGCTGGAATCTGAGCTTGTATACCCATAGCATATGATGGGGATAGAAGGAGGATGCGGAAACGTCGTTTCAAGACACCGAATATTCGCTTGATGATGTTTCAAGCTGATGTGTGACGGAGGTTAAATAATTCTTGTTTGGTAGTTGGCCTGTGGGAAATCAGTGCACAGCGGGAAGAATAATGGCCAGTACACTCACCGAACACTTGCGCGGCCCTATTCTGCGAGGTGGTAGTGCACGTTACGGTAAGGAATGAGTAGTTCAGGCCGCAGAGGGAAACCTGCATCTGCAAGGAAGTATTTCCCTACGGGAATGTGAAGGTCACAACCCTCTGCAGCCTTGTAGACGCGTGCGTCTGTGGCTGAGCCCTCCCAGCCAGTGAGGGCATATGTGAAGTTGAGCTCGAAGTCGCAGGCGAAGAGACAATTCTGGGAAACAAAACCCTTTTGATTTCGATACAGGCCTCGTTCAAATGCACGAGGTGACGCGTGGATGTGGCTCCCATCAATGGTCCCAATGGCATCCTTGAAGAACGGCCAAAACTTGGGGTTACAGCAAATTTTGTTGGGGACAGAGGCATCCGGCAACTGAACATACTTCGTATAGAAGGGGGAGGACGAGAAGATGGTGAGCATTTTGCAAAAATAACTACATAGGACATACAATCAGTCTACCAACAGTTATTAGCACATACTACTTACCGAGAAATTGTATTGTTCGAATGTTGAAATCTTTTGCCGACATGCTTGATAGACAAGCCCATGACAGCAGTGTACAGGAAAATCACAAGTTGTTCTTCTAGCGAAACAAACTTGGAGTTGGTGTGACCGAGGGCACGAATTTCAGAGATAAGTGCTGCAAAAACGTGTGCATGCACACCAAGTTCACTCTGTATTCGATCTGGGTGACCAGACAATAACTCCATGACCCATGCTTCGCCCGAGAGGGCAGAAGTATGATACGGCTCTGGATCCTTCGAATACATGGATTGTAGGACACTGCTTGTAGCGCTGATTAAGATACTGATTAGAAGGATAGAGTAATCCATTGCAGCAGGGACTCTGGCTGAATCCAAGGACGGGCACCTATGTAGATAACAGCGTACAGTAGTATCGGGGGTTGGTCCAAATGCGTCCATACTATTCACGCTCCGACCTTCGGCAAAAATCAAGCCGACAACTTCTCACCTGACAATTTGCCAAATGTCGGCCAACATCCTGTTGCCGAACTGGCTCTAATAAAGATAGTATTTACTACATATTACATCATTGCAGACTTCTCGATTTCGCCAGCGCTCCGGCAATCACCCAATTGTCGCCAGGTTATCACATCTTGTGTAGCGCTCAGGAGTCAGGCCTCAAGGCCTCAAGGCTGAGGCAATTCAAGGATTAAGCCTTGCTTGGACGGTGCGTGCCAATTACACGCATAGTTTCCAGAAGTGAGTAACTTCGAAGTTCTAGTACTTACAGAGTATTCCGCGGGAGTTTCACGGCATTCAATTTACGAGGTAGCGTCTCCCTTTTGAAAAGTTGTCTGTCATTTCAGGAATGCTTGCAGCAGAATCGTCATGCTATGCAATGCAGCCATGCTACATCCGCCACTCCTTTCAAAACTGTTAACACTCATCTGGCGGAGCCTGTGAGTTACACGTGCATTCAAATCTTCTGTGCTGCCAGGCTGAAGCAAAGTCAACACGAGGCAGCTGCATGCACCCTTTTCACCTGCCTACATATCATCGCAGTGAATCCTAACTCAGAAAAAAGTTGACTACCACATTGCCGTTGCTGATGTTCAGCCAAATTCAGTGTATTCAAGAGTGTACTGGGGACAGTCAGTGCCCGAGACTGCTGTCAAAGCCTAGTACTGTCCCCTTCAATGAAGAACTTCCACCCACCTGGCATGCCCCAAAATCCCGTCTTTCGCTGTGTATCTTCAGAACATGCTGCTTCATATTCACCTGGCACAGCGATCTGCGCTGGTTACACGGCCTCTTGAAAGAGGCAAATCGCTGGGAAGACCAGCATGTTCAATATCTAACCCTGCTCGCTCAAGTGAATGCGGTAGTAAGTGTTGACGAGTTCATTCAAATTGATCGTACTACTTAATTTGTCCTTGGGCAGCAAGGATTCATGTTTTCCACTATGCCCTCCGCAAATCCACTACTTCCCCGAGATGTCTTCTACAGATTTGGTCTATCTTGCGCCTGTTTGGCGGAGTCGCTTGGCTTCTTGTTGTTTTGGTGTTATCAGAAGCGCGCCACTATAGAAGTAGGTAATCACGTTGTCGATTGTAAGGATGGCAAGCCAGAGCTGACCTTGTCGCAGGTCTTAATTCGGGGGCGCTGGAGAATTTTTTGGTACCTCCTGGCTTTGGCGGTCGAAGTCACTCTAACAGTAGTGCTGAAGATTCTTAGTGAGCAGTTCACCTTGTACTTGTTGCGTGGTTGCGACTTACTGCGCTGTTCCTCGCAGCTATCAAGTTCTTTTCTCGGCTCGACCTCGTCCAAACTTATCTAATTACAACATTGGCATTCATTGGCGTTTGTCATGTGGTGTCGACTCTCGGTTCACCACTGTACCACTGTGTGGCAGACTTGTGGACTAATGCTCGGATGACCAACAAAGGTAGGGATGGGGAGGTAGCAACTCGTCTGGAGTCAAAAGAGAAAGGCTACATAGAATCTTACTAGTAGACACGCAGTTGGACGCGTGGTGCCGTCTCCGGGAGGCTCCCTTGCTCATTGATTACTCTTACAAATGGTTAGTATGATGTATCCCCCTAGGCACCCTTTGACGAAGGAAGTAGTCATTCCGAATTCTAAGCCAAGTTAATATATTGACTCATAACCAATCCCCTTACAATTTTCGAGTGTGAAGGGAAAAAAAGTACTATCTGAGCCTGCACAAGAAACTAAAGTATCTCTTCATCATAGCATCTAAATGCGAAGAACAATCGATCATATCATAAGTAACGAAATAAGGCGATCAAACATAGATAGTTATTCGACCTGGAGGAGGTAGGGGTAGGTAGCCGGCATCAGAGGACGGTAATAGTAGGAATATCGAAAGATATGCATAGAACGAAGGACACATTAATACAGCGTGAAATCGTAAAATATCATTAGTTTCAGTGCATGTTCGTAGCGCGCGCTAAGTCAGAAAGGCGGGGTAAGACAAACTGACTCGGAAGAGGCGCATACGCCGCATTTTTGACTTTAGCGCCTTGATACTCATGCTTTGCTGTGAACCGTCATCAAGGCCTCTAATCTCTCTTCGAGGCCTCGTCCGAGACCCTCGCGCTGCCATTCGCCACCGATGTCGTCCAGGAGGGCGATGCTATCCCGATCACGACCGCTTAGACTCGCGGCGTCGTGCTGATTGTTCGCGTACCCCTCGACACCTGGGATGTGGGGTGGCGGATCGGGAGTCGCACAGCTAGTGAATGATGATAGAGGAACCATCGATGCGGGCGTCGATGCCAGTAGGTCAGCGTAACTCATGAACGAGAGGCGCTTAGTGGGCCCATGGGTGGGCGATGGCGGGTGGGAGATGGTGATGGGACGCGAGTAAGGTGAAGATGTGTAGGTGGATGAGGGAGCGAGTGTTTGGATGGCGGTAGGAGGGAGTGCGGCGGAGGGATGCTCGACGGTCGTAGTTGTAGGTGAGGATTCGGCTGATGAGAGCGTAGAGTAATATACAGACGCTGGCGTGCTGAGAGACGCCTTGGTACTCGAACTTGATGTGTTCGGACCCTGCTTTGAGGGGAAAATGAGCGGGCTGGTTTGGATACTCAGCCTCTGTGGACTCCCTGCTCCCACACTGGGTGTGGGAATATTTAGGGGGCTCATGTGCCCCTGCTGAGACGGAATGCTCAGCAATAAGCTCGTCCTTCCTGTTGGACTTGGGCTCCTGCTCCTCAAGCTACCGATTGGGCTGGCGAAACCGCTGTAAGTGAAGCGATCACGATCTCGTGCGGGAGTAAGGACGGAAACGTGATCGTCCTCCATGGGAGAGGAGGCTGCAAGAATTGATGCAGCACTATCGAGTACAGAAGGTACACTGTGCTCGAGTTGTTCAGTGGCTTTTGCGCGTGGAATGCGATGGGGGTTTGGGTGAGAAGGGGGAGACGGGGGGTGCATGGGCTCAATATCACGCTCGAAGATTGCGGATGATGATGAGTGGCTGTACGTGGCAATGAATTTAAATGTCAGTGTTGATGAAATGAGATGGAGTGGCTCACGCTGATGTGGGTGATGAGGGAATTGAGGAGGGTGAGCGAGAACCCAACCTCGTATTCAAATGCTGAGAGGTATGTGTAGAGAGTCTGTGCTCCCTAGTTGAATCTTTTTGGGGGGTGAGCAGCGTCGAATTGGAGGTCATACGTCTGAGATCAACAGGGGGCGAGTAGTGTGCACTGGAAGATGGCGACATGGTCATGGCTGCCGCGAAACAAAACGAAAAGTCAGGTTTTAAAAGTGAAAGAGACTAGTAAAAAACATACGTTTATAAGGCTCTGGGGAAGAATGGGTGGACATTGTGGATGTTGCGAACTACGACGGTGTTGGATGTGAACAAGACGTTCTTTGGGTGGTTATAACTCACAAAACAGCGCTGTGCAATTAGTGGAGCCGGATCACTGCCGACAGTCTACTGCGGACCACTGGACCGGTCCTCAGTAGTCCAGCACTTGGTCCATCGATCTCCACCCTAATGATGGTATCACACGTCCACCACAGGCCTCCCAGCACTAGAATTAGGTGTATTCGCCCTACGTCATTTCCTCGTATCAGGCCTCAGGTCTACCGGATCTTCCGTTTTAACAATTAGCAGTGCTTTTCGGAGCATAGCCTGCAAGTACTGCGCCCCCACTGCAGGGCACTGGGTTTCCCAGCTCCACGGGCTTCGCATGTCTCATTCCTTTCGTGCAGTGCGATTCTAGTCAGGGACTGCTGACTGACGCATCCATTCTTCGTTCTTCGTCCATTGCTTCAATGATAGAAAGAAGTGTCATCAAAGGCACACACTAGTCGTATGTGGTTATATATCAAGCCTATATGGACTCATTTCCCTGACCCACCCTCATAACAATAGCATGATACGTCGGTACGTCATACGAATTTTACTCCCTACTTCGGACCTTTGTTCATTGGATGTCGGAGACATTATCATTGGTGACGAGTCCGACCAACAGTAATTTCTGGAAAGGTTGTCTTCGACATCTTTCTCTCACCAAGGTCATCAGCCCGAACAGTGGCGTACCTCGTTCTGAAACATTCCAGTAGTTTCGATTCTCATCTCACACAGAGCCTCCAACATAAGTTGGCAAAGCTTACGACATGATCAACGTTGCGTGTCTTTGTGCAATGCGGTCTAACATTCGCGTGATTGTCATAATCATATCTTCCATAATGGAACGCACAATGCCGAAATTTGACGGTAAGTTCCCTGCCACCGAGCAGCAACAGACAGCAACTTCACAATGCTGCATTGATCTCAACATCACTGTCAGGTGATGTTTCATTCATGTTGCGAACGGTCGCCGGACTCCACCGAGAATGACGGTCATGGGGACGGGCCGTTGATCACTGAAACGACAAGCACGGCGCTGAGTCGATCATCAATGAACGTTAACTCTCGGCACCGCAGTCGCCGCTCTCTGGCAGCCGACTGATCAGTCTGCAAGTAGCAGCACCTTGACGTTTCGCAACCATGGACGAACGGTTTTAATGGCTAAGCATTGCTGTAGCGATCTGATCTCCGGATGTTGTGGCTCACAATAGCTCTCCTTGCAAGAGATCATGAGTTAATAGTGCGCTCTCAAACACAATACTGGGTTAAAAATCGGTACAGGTACATCGAGAAGAACACGTCTTGAAATGAACTGCATGCACTAAGCGCCCTCCTTCTCATGAAGCTCTCCGTCCAACTCATCCTCGCTGTCGTCAGGTTCCGAGTCTGTCTTCCCCCACAAGAACCCATAAAGTCGCGAATAGAATGGTGACGGGAGGATAGAAGCAAACAGACACGCGAAAAGCAAGGCAAAAGTTGCTCCGGTGAAAATCTGAGCCGAAGTCGAAGAGGATAGGAAGCCCGTCACAGATATAGCTAGTCAGGATGTACTGATTAGGAACCAAGACGAGCGGAGGGCAAGAACAAAAACATACCGAAGAGGAGTAGCAGTAGAGATATAGCGAATGTATAGATAGGAATCGAGAGAATCATGATATGACATAGGAAAAGCCATCTATTTCGCTTCAAGGTCTGTTTGGGGTCAGTATGTACGAGCTGGTAGGGACTTTGCGCCTGCTCACCTTGAAGGTTTTCTGCTGTTGATAACTCTGCCCCACGACGGAGACATAAAGCTGGAACAACAGACCAAACAACGAGAATACCAATGATTCTGATAGAAGTGTATACGGTCCGCCAGCACCGTAGTTTACTATTTGTGGCAGAGGCGCCGGAGTGGAGATGAAGACTGCGACAGTCGTAAGGAGCAATCCTTGCTATCAAAAACGATAAGGGAAGGTCATAGCACTACAACATCACCGGACATACCACAGTGCTCAGCTGATTGAGCTGAGCGAGGTATTTAATATGGAAGCTTTCCCAACCCTTAGGTTCTTGGAAGATCTCCCACATGAAATCCAAATTTGAATGAAACGTTAAGCAAAAGCACGTCACGTGGAAGATCAAACGCGGGACAAATGATTTAGGAGGTTTCCATCGACTGGGGAGGGACTTGGTTGGCTTAGTCGGCTTCATATGTCCCTCATGGGATCCGTGTTGTGACAGGGTCTCCTCGGTAGCGTTTTGAGCTGGGAAGTACTCGAGGGTGTCGTATGAGACGCCCACAGACATGGCGAGGGCTAGGAACCAAGAAGGTTAGAAATGAGGAGGATGGATGGATGGATGGATGGTGAGGGTTTGAAGCGTCTGGCGCTCTTGCATGTTGCAGATACGCATGTATATCAATTGTTTGAGCGGCGCACAGCAATGATAGTATTGAGGCACGCTAATTGCAAATTGCCCTTTCTGAGGCAAGTCAGACACTGGTATGTATCTCGGGGACATGGAATGATGAGCGCTCAGCGCTCATATCACTGTGGGTAGTAGTTTCAATGAAATTCACTAGATGAAATCAGAAGATAATTCGGTGAAACTAAGAGCATTAAGAGCTGAAATAGAGGTGCTGATATTGCCGTTTTTTACTCTGAATTCGTACTCTGAAAGCATACTCTGAAAATATGCTGAAGTTATGCCAAAAGAAATGTCGCCATACTATAGCACATGTCACATGACATGATCAATTTTCATTTATTATAATTTGCAATGGGCAGGAATTGAACCCAGGACCGCAGACGTCACACAATTATAAGTGCAGCATCATTACCACTCAGCCACACAAGACCATATGTATAACTGCACAATAATAGCAATATATATACCAAAACAATGTCACATGACAAAAATGCGAAAATTTCCACCCAAGTGACTGAGTCAGTCCATTCAATTATCACTACAACACTAGCTACTGTTCTATTTACTACCACATAAATTCCAAGTACAGTAGCTTGATATAATTGTAATTGCATTAATGATAAACTACTTTATTTCAGATCAACTGGGAAGTGATTAGTCTTGTAAGCCACATACATACCATACTATGAAGAAGTGTTACAGCCATTTGCAGAATGCTAGGCCAAAAAATATTCACTACATATATTCAGCAATAAATCAGGACAACAAAATTTAACTTCCGACAGACAATCTTGATCTACAACTTGGATGGGACGATACATGTCTGTCATATCCCGTACCTCCGGACCCGGAATTCCAGATCTACTTTATTGAAGTCCGGTCCTCCGTCTTACTATTCTGCCCGGCGCTCCGCCTTTATCTCCGCACTCACCCCTAACTCCTTTTAGATTAGCTATTGCTCCGGTTACCGGTTATGTCCTATTCCACTATGCTTACTGATCCATCCATTCTTACTTCACTTCCGACTTCACTGCTTTGATCTGTTATACTTAGTAATAGACTTTCCACATGCTTCGTACATAGCCCTTACCTTTGCTGACTGATTTACCTACATGATACCTACAGTATATAAACCCCTGTAAAACTCCGGAACTCCTTAGTTCAAATATCATCGTAGTTCTGCTCATTCCTGCAATCTCCAGACTTGAGTCTCACCTCTTGTCCACCTCCGAGTCTTAGGGGTTAAACCTTAGGACTACTTCTCCGGCTCTACCTTAGGGTAGTCTAACCTCTGTTCAGTTTCTACTCTGGACTTCCATAGTAGCCTTACTCCGTCCCCGTATAAACCTTCTGGAGTTCCGCCGAACTCCACCAACACTAAGTCCTCCGGAACTCCCCGGACTTCTGTCAGACTTCCCCTCTGTCCCCCAGAAATTAAAGGGCACGTACTCAGGTAAGGGGCGCAGCATACAAGCTGAAGCCGAAGCCCTTTGAGTAACCTCTCCCTTGAGCACGACCTTAACAATGTCCAAGGAACGAAAACAAGTTGCTTTACAAATGAGCTTGCTAAATGTCAAAGACCCAACAATTCATCGTTACACTGGGATTAGTAAGTGGTCATTGCGATATCTTCGGAAGATGTATCAATATCTGATCGGAGAATAGAAGTTGAAATACCCCTGTGTATGTAGTGAATTTTTTTTGGCCTAGCGTTCTGCAAATGGCTGTAATGGTGCTTTGCAACTGAACACCAAATAAATTACCATTATAGGAAGGCATGGGGTACCAGTTACAACACAAGCCCCAACCCATACAGAGCTGAATCTGATTCAGTAAATTTTCTACTGAAAGGATGGTGCTGAATTGAGGGTGATAAGCTGAAATTCAGAATCAGCATTCCAATGAAATTAACTGCATGCAGTTTCAGTGGAAGTTACTCTGAAACATTCAGCACCAGTGCATTTTCCAGTGATTTTCATTGGAACTACTATCTACAGTGATATCACTATATGATAAAAGTATCAATCCATACCAACTTTGGTGAAAAATGGGTTGTGACTTGTGAGGGTGACAAGTCAGACAACCCGTCCTACTGATTATGACGGTCGAGTATGGACAACTCATCTCGGATGGGTTCATTTTTCGACTGTCATACATAGTCAGCAGATCACAGATAAGTAATGGTAATGAAAAGGTCTCCGAGGGAATTTACCTGACACATGTCCAACCTTTTTCTTCAAGGAGTCAGGCGGTGCATCTGAAAAACACCCAACTTCTTGCTTAAGTTGCCTCAGTTGCCAAAGAAGTTTGATGGGTTACAACCTGCACCCTGAAGCATCTGATTGGTTGGAGATGGCTTATGGTGAGGTAAAGCAGCAGAGATCTACAAAGTTCGCAATATTGGGTCTTTCCACATCTTATCTTTGCTTAGATAGTAAAACTGGCACTGATAACATCACATTTGACATACTACTACACTGTTGGATAAAACGAACTACCAAAAATCTGCGTGTAACAAATGGTACCATTCCTTGTCTGAAAAACTATTGAGGTATGATGCTATGCAGCATTACACACTTGGGTAAATCAAAGTCTGCTTGGTGAGCACTTTCGAAATTTAGATGTAGGATCAGTCCAACTTTGAGTGCTTGGAGTCCTGGGCCCGAATAGCACGCAAGGTACAGCTACACGCTATGCCTGGATCCATATCCTGTGACGAGATCTGTATAATGGCCTCCTGTGGGTGTTACTGAAATCGATTTTACATCAAAATGCGCGTGTTTAAAGAACATGGCGACCTGCAGCAAATGATCTGACTCAGCTCCGCAGCAGTCCGTTCGGGGGAAACTATTTCGACCAAAACTACCAGGTCAACTTGGATGGGATGGTCACATAAATCACCAGGACATGGCAGTGGCATTGACAGCGTGTTCCCATAACGCAGTTGCTAGCTCTGAGTCTGACTGTTCCATCATACGATGTTGTTTGCCAGTACTGCTAACATGAGACGTTGATGTATAAGGTGTAGAGCTCCAGGAACGTCGGTGAGTGGAAGCACACCCAGCTCAGATAGACGACTACATCTGACACTGTGCCATAATCATGAAGCGGGCTGTGTGAAGTCAGCATGATGCCTCAAATTATATAAATGTGAGGACTTAAGGGCAGAAACCTCGTGCATTGTAGGAGACTGGTTCTAAAGGAGTCCACTGTATGAGAACAAGGTATGCATTGGGGGAATCCCATGTACTATGTACTGGATGCGATGGGCCCAGTGGGCTAGGAAATCACAAAAAGAGATCTGTTTGAAACAGATTTCTCTTCATCATGAGCCACTCAGCCACCAGGAACATTGTCTCCAGTTGCTGAGGCCCTGATGTAGAAGCTGGAATCGAGAAAAAAACATCGACCATACTTGGATGTCATGGTGCAGCCTGGATCTGGGTCCAATACTAGACCACTTAGGAATTCCACACCAGAGTGGCCCAAATCAGAGACTCAGAGTTTGAAAATTGAGAAGCCAAATGTATATCGATTCCAATGCCTAACACGTTGACATCATGAACTCTTGTGTAGGTGCAACACATCTGAGATCTGAATAGTAGAGAACAGTGATGAAAACAAGATGAAAACAAGTTCAATTCACACAGTCGGCGCTTCCCGAGTACTATCGTATCAGTTAGATTGTTACGACCCCCACATATCATCTTAACCGTTTCACCAGTAACTCCATCACCAAAATTGCTGAAATCAGACACCACATGATATAGGGCTTATTGCTGACACATCTGCAATATGTGTCAGCCACTGGTGACATTGGTGTGTCAGCGTGATACCCGTCTGTCAGACACACTTGTCGGGTAGATACCAACCTGTCTGTAGTGTACTTGTCGGACATATCATAGATAATACAATGGATTGTAGTTGCATATATATATGCAGTGAAACTACTGTACTAATGCAATCAATTCGACGACCTACTGTGACCGTGACACTGTCCACCAATTCGACAGTTCGACTCTAAGCTCTGTGACCGGTGACACTGCCTTATTTTTCGACACTAAGGTCTTAAAAACAATAGAAAATCACATCTTGCACAGAAAAACCAGCTGCAGAGTGGAACTTAGTCACATGTAACTTGTATCCTACTAGTACTCCCAGGAATCTGCCAAAAAAGGCAACATTAGATGATATCAAAAACATTGAATTCTTCAATCATTGACTGACAATCAATGTGCCACCACATCAACATGAACATCAAACATCTGCGATACTTTCACCCACTTCTAGAGCCTCCCAAGGAAGCTTTTTCCCTGCTTCTACCCCACAAAAACCTCTCGGTGCTTGATTTGCTGGCCTTCAAACTCCCTACAGTTGCTGCATCCAAAAAAAAAAATCCCTGCCACCACATTCTTTTCTACGGATCGACCATCAGTCCAGGACATAACTCTCTTACAAGATTTACCTGTTCCTTCTTTAGAAACACTGCAAGCACTTGCAGAGCTAAGTGTTTCAATGTTGGACAATGGGGCACAGTCACTTGAATGCACTCATCTCACAGGTGCCCCAGGGACAAAGCTTCCGTGCTGGGTTCTGACTTACTGGTGTGAGGTCACAACACTTTGAACCAAGTATCTAGAGCTGTGGATCCACGCTAGAGAGAAACTGGAGAGGAGAGGTCAGCTGTGGAAAGATGAAGAGAAGAATGAAATGAGGACCTTAATTGATAAGGTTTATGATGCTCTTGGCCATGTTTTCTGGTCTGCAAACATCAGAGGCTTCAGTAACTTGAAGTGGACAGTCGAACTGGCTGCATATTGCACAGATGAGTGGCTATCTGATGTCCATGAAAATCAAATGCTCAACTTACTTTGGGGAAGGTTACAACACAAACCTGGAGATCAGCAGATTGAAATTGAGAGTGTGTACTTCTACGTTCTCTTGAAGAGAGGATATGAAGCATGTACCTCAGGGGAGTATGAAGACAGCCGTCATTTCGCATGCATACACAAGGCTGGGCATGCACTGTTGTCGGGCCTTGGTCATTGCATTGGCTTCCTCATAAATGTCAATAGAAACCACTGGGTGACAGTCATTATCAACTTCAAATCTCATTCCATCCTCTACAGTGACTCACTCAATCAAGAGCCTTTGAATGACATGCTTACTGTACTGCATTGGTGGATGTATCATCATACTGGTCATCAGTTCACTACACGTCCACTCGCAATCACTTACCAAAAAGATGCCTTCTCATGTGGTCTCCTTTCCTTTAATGCCCTCACACATCATTGTCTTTCTACGGAGTATCCCCTGATTGCTCTTTCACATGTGAGGAATGGACGGCTTGAGATCCTGTTAGACATTATCAATCACCATCTCGACCAGGCAGGTGTAGCTCACATACAAGCATGGGCATTGCTGAATTTTTTTGATAGAGCTTCAAGTCCATCAGTCAAGGATATCAGTTCATCTTTTCTCACACCAAAACTGGTGCCCACCTCGTCTGATCAGAAAGTCCTTCATTTTCTGAAAGTGAGACAAGCCCCCTCCTACAAACACCATCTTGAGCTGAGCCAAACACATCCAGAACTGAGTCAAGCTCACCCAAATCTTCCACTTTGCCTGCACCCCATGATTGGGAGTCATCATCCGAGTCTGATGGGCCACAAGCATCAGCTGCTGCTGTCATTCCTAACAAGAAAGCATGCACCAAGGAATCCCACCACTCTGCAATTCATGAGGTCTGATGAAATTTCTGAAGCCGTGCACACAAGAGGAGTTGAAGGCTCAGCTCACAGTAGTTGAAGCAAATTTAGATGAGGGATGGGAGTGGGCTTGAGAATTGGATGAACTGGAAGAACAGAGGCGAAAGTTGAAGGTGCAAGGAGAGAACAACGAATGGCAGTGTAAACATCGGCAAAAGATATGTGATGAAGAAATTAAAATGAATGAGCACACCCTTGGAGGAACAAAGAGAAATCTCAAGGTATGTAACATCATATACAATGCGGATCTATTTTAACGGTGGCATAGCAGCGAATGCTTGATCCATCATCCATGAAGGACTGTTCACCGAAAATATCATGTTCCTCCATTGTGGAGTTGACATGACCAAATTGCACTGCAAAGGAATGTGAACACGAACGTAAGCAGAAGAAGTGTCCACCAGGATGTAAACGTACACACACAAAGAAAGATGCAGTCTATCACAATTGGCATGGGCCATTCACATGGATTCAGATTGACAATGCTATCAAGAACCCATCAGTCATGTGGAGCTCGACACGGCTAGTTCAGTACCTCAGGAAAAAGGATCCCATCATCTTCAAAGGTCTTGCATGTTCAACTGTCGAGGGTTGGATTGATCGCACTGGCAAACCCAAGTGGACAGAAGCTGCACTTCATATGGCTGAACTGGGAAATCACCAGGGACATTCAAATGGGGGACAAAAGGGTGTCTTTGTAAGTACCGTTTCCATTGTTCAATGTGACACGCTCTAACCCAAAATTGGTCTAGACACATTTCCCAGCTGTTGAGAAAGCAATCATTAAACACCTCGAAGCTCTTCATGATAGTGGAGCAGTCCTCACCCTCATAACAATCCGGGCTATCATGATTGCAATGATCTCTGATTTGGCACCCAAGATTTTTGACCACTGAGCTAAAGATGGTTCCCAGTTTCAGTGCTCGGACACGTTTGTACGGTGCTGGTTGCACAATAGCATAAATTGGTCTGAGCAATGTGTGATAAGGGCTTCACAAAAAACACCCACCAACTGGGAAGACTTGTGTGAACTGACAAAACTTTGAGTGAAGCAGATGCGATCTGTTAGTACCCTAAGCGATGCAGATCGGGTCTGCAGATACACCTAAGTAAAGCGGATGGGATCCGCACTCAGCCGCTGCCAAAGGAGGCGATAGAAACGACTGTATTCACCTAAGTAAAGCGGATGGGATCTGCACTACTCTAGATTAGCTACACTGTGGTATAAATGAATGTAAGTGAAGACATACCTCAGCCGCTGCCAAAGGAGGCGATGGAAACAACTGAGGGAAAGTATGTACCAAAGCACCTCTAATATATGGGCAAAAACCCGCTTGCTAACCAACCATGTGTATCGCCTATGAGTCCATGACTTGTATTGAATGCACTCACTATTACATGTACACCCGAAACATTCCAAAACAATCTGATGCACCTTATTACGTATCTGAGCGCATGCACTTGCATCCGACCACACATGCGAGTGACGGATCATCCATGCGTGCATGGGCAAGCGTCGGATGGGAGAAGGATACCCGCAGATGGGTTTAGGATGGGTCAGATGGATGTGGAATATCATCTGGTTTTGTCACGAACAAGCATCTCTTCGGCTCGCATACACCATCAAGGAAGAAGACATTCCTGCTGCACTTTACATAAATTCTGATCAGACACAGGTGGTTTATGCACAGGGTTCTAACTTTACCTGGGCGAAGACGGGGGCCAAGTAGGTTTCAACTGTGGGTAACAATGAGAAGTGTGCCTTTACAGTCATGGTCTCGATTGCAAATAACAGCACCATGCTGCCCCTGCAGGCCATCTATCAAGGATATTCCAAGGCATCACACCCCAGTCCGTCGGCCCAAGATTACGAGAACTGCATCAAAGCAGGGTTCCTTCTCGAACATTCCAACACGAAAATGTATTGGTCAACCCACAGTACTATGCATTCCCAAGAATTAGGCTTACTGCATACCCAGAAGTCAATCTGGCAGATTGACATCTGGTCAGTTCATCAGTCAGAGGAGTTTCGAACTTAGATGAAGAAAAACCACCCTACCATCATACTGAATTACGTGCCTAGTGGATGCACAGGCTTGTTTCAGCCATGCGACATTGGGATTCAGTGTCTATTCAAACACTCCTTGAAGCGTTCATATCACAGTGATGTTGTCCAGGAGTTGTCAGAGCAGCTTGCCCACAAAGAGAGTCACTTTGTTGTCGATAGGTGGATTGGCATATTGTGAGACCGCAGCATTACCTGGTTATGGGATGCGTTCATGACTGTCAATAAGCCTGACATAGTAAAGAAGGTGAGTAAACGAGTCCCTTTGGTGGCCACATACTCAAGACCGATGAGTTAGGCATTTGAGATGTGCCATGTTCGCACATTCAATTTATCATATGAGAGCCTGACGAGTTATGCTGTGCGAGAGAAGTTGAGGAACCTCAAAGTTGATGATCCACAGTTTTGGGAAGAACTCACAAGTCACACACCCCAAGAGATGAAGGACAGCACCACAAGCAAAAATGAGAACAAAAGCAAAACCCAGGTGAGGCTGTAGAGATTTACGGCACTGATCCTTCTGACGACACCAATGTGCCGTGTGCATCTATCATTGCTGATATGTTGGGGAATGCTTTGAGTGTTGAGGGAGTCGAAAAATTGAATGGGAGACTGATATTGAACACTGAGGCGGAGAGCATGGAGTTTGCAGTGGATGTGGAGGACACTGACTGCGAGCCAGATCAAGTGGCATTAGGGCGGGGAAAAAGGAAGAAAAAGGCAAACACATTGTACTCACACAGATTTTGGCACCACCATGATGATGGAGAGTAAGTAACCACACATTTCCATATATTGTTTGCATAGTTAAAGAAAACTGCCATCTCAGTAATTCAGGAGGTAGCAGATGCAAATTTTGCTTCTGTTTACAATGTTGTGACATTGTTTCAACAAACCTCATTGTGACCTGTGACTAACACCTATTTTTGACACAGACACCATCTGGCATGACATGTGACTATCGAATTGATTGCATTAGTACAGTAGTTGTAGTAGCTCATACTAAACCTTCCTTGAAAAGTACATCATCGTCTGATGATTGTTATCATCATTGATGGTCCATCGTTGGCAGCTATAGTATGAAAATATGCTGGCAAGATATCACTCTGATACTCATGCCAACACCATCAAATTCTCCTTTCCAGCTTTTTTCACTAAGTGCGGCAGTGTTTGTGTGTTGTTTGGTCCCCACTGACCATAATGTGCGACGCAGGTCCATTGGGGCAAATCTTATCTTTAACCCCAACCACTATGATGGTGCATTGCAAGTGTTCAAGTTAGTAGTTCTTCACAGTTCTACTGAGTGTATGCTGCTCAGTGAGGACTCTCAACCCACTCCACTCCACAAGACACAAACAAATCACAATCCAGGAACAAATCCGGAGCTGAAAACATCACAAAAGTGAGTATATGCTGCATATTTGCATATATAATGTTGATTCCCTATACAAGTTAGACTCTCAGAAGACGAAAATTCAATGGTTGCACACCAAATGGGGTACAATCAGAGGACTCTGTGAAGCTGTAGTAGTCAGAGACATGTCAGTCAGGTATGTCTTCTCCATGCATTCTCTTGTGTATAGCTAGCTGACGTGTTTCCATTCAGCCAGCCAGTGGCGGCTTGCATCGTATCCCTTGCTGACTCGCTTCTTCTTGTAGGCACCACTATGGTGGTTTATCCAGTCTACCTTGATGACATCATCTTTCACACCATCTCAACATACAAGGGTATACTGATGTCAGGGTCCAGGAGTTGACAGATATAAGGATTGTTTATTGGTGGCGGATTAGCCAACTGACTTGTTGATGGTCACTGTACATTTATTTGCACTCTAATGACTTGTATCTAGTTGCCAAATAATTGATATCTTGTTGATATTTGAATGAGAACACAATGTCTGAATAATATCTGAGAAGCACTAAAATATTTGGCTAAGTCTGAGCTAATGTGACGATGTCAACCTCGCCTCATGTCATCATTAGTGTTCCTATGGATTGCCAGACATAGCTGGGTTAGGGCTGACACCATCGACAGGTGTGATGCCCTAGTCATTGTCAGATACCGCCATGTCTAACCATGTCTGAGTTGAGCAATTTCAGGCGATGTCGCCACCAAACCTATATATTTGTGAGAACCATGAATGACTCCTCTGCAGCTCAAAAGGTCTTCCATACACATGTTCATCCAGATGCTGACAAGGATTTCCGAGCTATAGCAGCTTCCAGTGAATATCTAAAAGCGCACTGGTCACCAAAAGTCCAAAACCTAGATAAGGTAAGGTAAGGTTTTAACATTGGGCATCAGATAGCCTCAGCCACATCACAGCCATCATGGCCACCCAGCCCAGATCAGACCCAGCAGTTGTCCTTGTCATGGTGATGGAATAAAATGCTGTGATTGCAGCGGTACTGGTGATGCATTTGTCTTACAACTGTAGGCCTGCAAACACTGATGCATCCCAGTTGTCGAGCGATGCGCAAAATGGGATGAGTGCAGAGAACAAAAGAGAATGGGGATTTGATCTGCAACTCAGGTCCTTTTTGACTGGGGTGAACTGGATGTGTGTTTCACTAGGAGAGAGGCACACATTATGGAGGATCTTTATGTGACCACTTACAAAGGCCATGTTTGTGTGCATCAACGTTCGCAAGCTCACAATCCGCTTGAAACGGCCATTTGTCTTACAACTGTAGGCCTGCAAATACTGATGCATCCCAGCAATATAGGCTGATGCCTATGATGCATCAATGTTCAACCCTCTCCCCCTGCAGTACTACTGATGCATCACATTTCCTAGGCTAATACATCCTTCCTACCCTTTGATGCATCCCTCTTACTGATGCATCACATTTTTTAGGCTGATGCATTGCGTTTCCTAGGCTAATACATCCCTCCCACCCTTTGATGCATCCCTCTTACTGATGCATTGCATTTTTTAGGCTAATGTATCCTGTTTTCTAGGCTGATGCATCCCTCCCACCCATTGATGCATCCCTCTTACTGATGCGCCGTGTTTTCTAGGCTCTTACTGATGCATCATGTTTTCTAGGCTCATGCATTCCTCCCGCCCTTTGATACATCCCTCTTACTAATGCATCATGTTTTCTAGGCTCATGCATCCCTCTCACTAATGCATCATGCACCTGCCCACCCCCTA